AGCTGAGGAACTTGCTCTTTCTGCTCGGGCCATGACGTCTGTGCATACTCGCGCAGTAGACGCATCTGGACATCGGCTGCAGTTGCGTCTCTTATTTCATTTAGCCGATCTTGTGTGACAGATATGTGCTCCAGTGAATTGACTTGAAATTTCTCTTCTTCTTCTTGCATTGTTTCCTTCGTGGGAAACCGTGACAGTGCGTCCGCTAACTGCAAGTCTTTTGCAGGTATGAATTTTACTTCCAATGAGTATCTTTGGAGAGCCATCTTCATCCGCTGCAGTCTCATCGGGCACTGATGCAACGGTTTCATGAAAATAGCCTGTAACGGCCTGTGGTCGGATTCTACTGTTACGTTTGGTTGGCCGAATATGTAATGGTGGAACTTGCTGCAACCATGAACAATGGCCAGCATCTCTTTCTCGATCTGCGCATATTTCATTTGTGCGGCTGTCAAAGATCTCGATGAGTACGCTATTGGTCTTCCGTCTTGGGTGATAACGGCCCCTACTCCGTATTGGCTTGCGTCGACTGACAGCGTAATCGGCTTTTCTGCAGTGTAGTAAGCCAGCACTGGTGCCTTCGTCAAAGCGTCTCGCAGGTCTTCGAAACTTCTTTGTTGATCTACCGTCCATACCCATGCAATCTCTTTTTTCAGCAGTTCTCGTAGTGGTGCCGCACGCTCGGAAAGTCGTGGTATGAAGCTCGACAAGTAGGTGATCATTCCGAGAAATGTTCGAAGTTCCTTGCGATCTTTTGGTTCATTGACCTCCAGTATGGCTTTGATTCTCTCTTGGTCAACAGCAACTCCATCTCCAGTCAGCACTTGTCCGAGGTAGCGGACTTCTGTCTTCGCGAATTGGATCTTCTTTGGGTTAAGTCGTAGATTCACTTCACGGCAGCGTTGGAGCAAGTGTCGCAGATTCTCGTCATGTTCCTGGCGAGTCTTTCCCCACACCAATATGTCGTCCATCACGACTGCTGTTCCGGTGAGTCCATCTAGTACTTCGTTCATGACACGCTGAAAAACTTCAGGTGCTGTGCTTATTCCGAAGGGCATTCTCTTAAACCTGTACCTTCCATACGGAGTACTCATGGTGCACAACTTTGAACTCTCTTCATCAAGTTCGATCTGCCAGAATCCCGAGGATGCGTCTAGCGCAGAGAACACTTTCGCTCCCGCGATTCGAACGGCAATGTCGTCCATTGTCGTCATCGGGTAGTGTTCTCTTCTCAGGGCTCGATTCAAGTCAACTGGGTCCATGCAGATGCGCACTTTGTCCTTCTTTGCGACAACTACCATGAAACTGGCCCATTCTGTCGGTTCTTTCACTTTTGTCAGAACTCCCTGGTTCTCCATTCTTTGAAGTTCGCACTTGACCTTTTCTTGCAGTGCCACAGGCACCTTCCTGGCTGGGCGAACGACGCCTTGTGAACCTGGCTTCACCTTCATGTTGTACACAAATCCCTTGACCTTTCCCAGTCCGCTGAAAACGTCTGCGTATGGTCCGGCAGGGTCACAAAGATTTGTATCTGCTGCATTTGTGTCTTCGTGTTCTCTTGACACAGAAGCCAGACGCTTGATCATTCCAAGTTTTTCACTCAGTTCTCCTCCCAACGTCACCGGTACCTCTTCCTTGACCACAAAGAACTCCTCCTGGACAGCTCTGGCTCCATTCGACACTGTCAGTGTTGTTCTTCCACATGCTTTTTTCTTGTGGCCAAAAAACGATGATAGTGTGGTATCGCACTTCCGGACTTTTTTGTTTGATATTAGACGGATCAGTCTTTCTGGGATGACTGAGCAATTAGCCCCGGTGTCGAGCTTGCAGCGTACGCTATCTTTTTCTATTGTGACTGTCTCGCTCCATCGGTCTTCTTTCTCTATCTTATCTACGGTTAAATGGCACAGCAGATAATCTTCATCGCTGTTGTCCGTATCCTCGCGCTCTACTTGTCGTACTTTGGGATCAAATTTTCGTCCTTTTTTCGACTGGCGTCGGTGACGGCTGTCTGGTGTGTGGGTCTCGCTCTTGCAGCATTTTGCAAAGTGGCCTAGCTCGCCACAACTAAGGCACTGTTTTCCAGTAGCTGGGCACGTGCTCGCGCGATGAACAAAGCCGCAACGGTGGCAGGTGGCTTGGTCTGATCTTCTAAGCGCCTTTACTGTCAGTGGGTCCTCGTGTCGCTCGTCCTTTCCGTGGATTTCGTTGAACTGTTCTTCAGTTCGTTCCCTTGTTCGGCATATCTCCAGGACTTTGTCAAAGGTAGGATTGTCGTTAATCAGTTTCTGCTGCAACTGTCGGTCTTTAGTTCCGAGTATTATTCGGCTTCTTAGCATACGTTCTTCGACGTCGCCGTACTCGCAGTTGCGTACAAGCACCCTCAGTTCCGTCAACCACTCATCAAACTTCTCACCTTCCTTTTGGTCTCTTTTCCCAAAGATGAATTCGTGGTACGTGAGGTTGATCGCTGGCTTCATGTGCGCCGCGAACTTATTCTTCAGGACCTCGAGTTTCTCTCTGTCTTCCTCGTTATCGAATGTGAAGGTAGTGTAAATTCGCCTACCTTCTTCTCCGATGCAGACGAGAAGTGTTGCTGCTTGCACTTTGTCAGGTTGGTCCATCAGGTGCGTTGCTACCGCAAACAGCTCGAATTCCATTAGCCACTTCTTCCATGCGTTCCAGGGTTCGCTTGCCATGTCTAGCGGTTTCGGCGGCGGTAGTAGGCTTGTCATGGTGGTCGCCGTTCGCTCACTTTGGCGTTCTTCGCGGTCGCCACCTTCTCCGGGCCTACTGTCCAGCGTTGTTTCGTTTCTTTGAACCGCTACGAACTAATTTGGCTTAAATCGCTGCCACCATGTAGGAAGCATTACGCATCAGCCAGCATGGAGATTCGAACGAATGATCTTTTATTCCACGCGCTCCGCGCTCGTGCTCAAAACACGGCACCCCTGGGAGACGTGGCGCCATCTATCGCTAGTTACTACACTAACCTTCTGTTTTGAAACTCCACGTGTGACTGAGCAGACCTTGTCAGCGCGTCGGCTCAGAAGCGCGGGACTAGAACTAGGTCATGCCGACGACGCGCCACTAGTATCAGTGTTGCCAAGCTGCTTCAACCGGTAGTTTCGGTTTCGCCGTGCCGCCGGACCGATTCTTGCATTCGCGATATCTACAAAGCTATACACACTACCGAAAAACAAATTATATCTCGTGATTCAGGGTCGCCGGCTTCGACTAAACAGATCATAACCCAAAAATGGTAAAAATGGAGTGGAGTTGCCCTTTAACTCGAGAAATTATCGAAGCAGAACATATCGCCAGAAACTATAACAACTGTATTAGTACACCATCTTTACACCTGACAGAAAAAGAGAAAAAATTTTTAGGCATCTAGGAGATCGGTGCGCATGATTTGGGAAAACTCGGTGGTGCTAGAGGTTGAAGAAGACAAAGTTATATACAAAGAGTTGTCAGTCAGCGCGGCTTGTTTGAATTTTGATTTATTTTTCGTGTGCAAGGTGCGAGTGTTGTTTGCTATAGTGCGCTTCGGTGTGTGTAATCATGTGCAACCAACTCGCCCAAGCTGCTACGTTGTCAGTCTTCCTTTCTGCCCGTCTTCTTTTTCTTGACCTTCATCAGCTCGCTTCACTTGTCACTCATTCTTGTGTTCATTTATGCGACGAATCAGCAAGCGACGGTTGCAAAGGGGTGAGAATCTTTTCTTTCTTCATGGCTGCCACGACCATCCGGGGACCACCCGACGTTCACTTGTAAGAAATGGCTTATTGGCCGTGACAATTTTTATCACGCGTTTTAATATTGAACTTAAGTCCAAAAACTGAGACAACATGGGCTGAACAAGTAATGCTTTATAAGATTCAAAGAAAACAAGCAACTATTTCACATCATTTTGAGAAGAATTCAAAATTTTAGCGATGAATATCTCAGGACAGAACGAGTGGGTTGGTAGAGCTAATGAGGCTTGAGGAAGAAAACGAGAAGGGACATACAAACACAACAAAAACGAGCGCCTTGTTGCCTTCGCTCAAACCTCGTTGTTTGTTTGCGAACTTTTTAAATTAGGTTGGCCTTTAATGATGGCTCCCTTTAAAGCTGCAATTGCAACATGGCCCATCAAACATTTCATTAACCCTCTGCCTACCGCAAAAATTTAAAAAAAAAAAGATTTGAAAATACCGATTTCTTTTACGTGCCCTATACTCTGTTTCACCTTGTGTTGTACCGCAGGAAAGGCTACAAGCGCGAGCTCCTTGCTCTAGGGCACATCTCGGCGGCACAAGCTCTTGTGCACCAAGTGCAGCTGCCAACGCTATGAGCTCGCGCTTCTAGCCTTCGCTGCGGTACAACATAAGGTGAAATGGAGTGCATAAACTCGTGGTAACGACACGTGCAGCGCTCAAATTGAGAAAAAAAAACGGCGAGCTGCGCAATTTTTTTCGATAACTCGACTACAGTGCCGCCACGAACTGTCAATACACGCGCCCTCACGAGCTCCCGTTGCCGAGCCGCTCCGGTCCCAACACTACACAAGTATTCTAGTACACTGTAACGGTACTATGCAGTGGCACCTTGACCTCGCACCTCGAGGTTACTCTGAGCGGCCTTACTCTGTCTTTGTTTATTCAGAACTGTAACTTCCTTGCTTTCAGTCGTCAGATATCGAGCTAATTAGTAATTTCTACATATCGGTGCCCTCCATGAAGTGCGAGGTTGAAAAACAGATTTGTCATTCTGCAACAACGAAGGAGCGTATACCGAAACAGAAGTCGCCTAAAAAAATGACATACCATCGTAAAGGGACACCATTGCTTTCATTGTTTGCTCATACATGACTCTACATGTAAAAAAGAATGACAGCCCAATTGGCAAGGGCAGGGAGCAAACCAAAAACGAAACCACACGAGAATGTGCCCGAGTACACTCGGGCATGGCATTCAAAGGGTTGAAAGGATAAGGAAAAGGCTAACGACATCTACCTGAGCACCTCGATCTCCTCGCGGGTGTAGCCGTCACTGCCACTGACCAGCAGCTTGCTCTTAGGGGCCTGTGCGCCCTCCCCGTTGGGTCCCAGTCTAGAGGAGTGGTCTGGAGACAAGGCCTCGGAAGACACCGGGCTCAGCACACGCCTGGGGCCCAGCCTGGCCGGCCCCGGGGACCGGGCCCCCTGGAGGGAGGGAGCCGACGGCGCAGGCCTGATGGTGCTCTCGCTGCTCAGCTTACCCTTGAGGCACTCCGCCCTGGCGTGGGAAGGCGAGCATATCTCCGGTTATGGCACGAAGAAGGTTTTGGGCTACGCTGAATTCACTAAAAGTAATCCACCATTTTGGGGGTATCGGTGGCCGAGTGCATAAACTCTCTCCTGACCATGGAGAGAAATGAATGTTTTGTGTGGCTTTTTATTACATTTTAGAGCACAGCTCTTAGGGGCCCGTTCCCGGCTTGAGCGGCGTCGCCGTCACCAAGGTTATCCCAAGGTCACGCGGCCCCCAAGGTTATCCCAAGGTCACGCGGCCCCCAAGGTAACCCCGAGGTCACGTAACCCCTCCCCCAGGGTCACGTGACCCCCAAGGTCACGTGACACCCGAAGTCACGTGACACCCCCGAGGTCACGTGACCCCCCCGCCAAGGTCACGTGACCTCCCCGATGACGTCATCATCACTGATGACGTCGCCGGCATTCGCATCGTCATCGTCATCAGCACTGATGTCATCAGTGACGTCACTGATGACCTTATCGGCATCCGCATCGTCATCGTCACTGATGACGTCATCAGTGACGTCACTGATGACGTCACCGGCATCCGCATCGTCATTGTCATCATCACGGATGACGTCATCAGTGACGTCACTGATGACGTCACCGACATCCGCATCATCAACGTCATCATCGCTGATGACGTCATCGGAGTCCGCATCGTCATCATCACTGATGACGTCATCAGTGACGTCACTGATGACATCATCGGCATCGTCACGGGTCACGTGACCCCCCCAGGTCACTTCACCCCCCCAATACCCTTCCCTCCTCCTCCTCAAGAGCTGCGCTCTAATTCGGTGTTACAGGGAGTAGTAAACGGCTTTCACTTTTTTTTTTTTCTGAGGAAACTAATAGGTTTACAATATGCCATACATAGAAAAGAAGCTAAGTACATGGGCATCTGAATTATGTAAACGTGAAAACATAGACTTGAATTCTAAAGCAAATTTTACTTCGTCAAACAAAATTTTGTTTTTCTAAAAATTGGTTCAAGCTCAGGAAAGATATGGCTATATCTAAAAAAAATATATATATATATATATATATGAAATGCTTTCCATTTTGACATTAAAAAGCAAAATTGTAGCTCGAGAAGTCCGAGGACACCTAAGCACTTCTTATGAGTTGTGAATGCGAAAGCACAAATGCCGTTCTTTCGCTCTCTTAGTTCATCTGCGGCGTAGTGGAGTAAACGGCCACGTTTCAGTACTGCCGAGGTAGCGGCTGACGGTTGAGCGCGCAATCTCGTGAAGTGGCTGCGCCGCACTGAGCTTGACCGTACAACCTCTTTGGAATTTGCCCGAGGGGGCTCTATGGCCAGGCCCGCACCGCCACACCTTGCTGGGCTGCTACGTGCACTGTGCCGCCATGGGGAGGGCTTCTCTGGTGGCACTTTTTGGAACTACACCGCACAACAGCTAATGGGAGCCTCATTCCTTGATGACGCGCGCCAGCCAATGGGAGCCTATCCATCAGATTTCTGCTACAGACGACATTGGGACAGGGGAAGGGGCCGTTTGGCACAGCTTCAAAGGTGATGACGTTGGTTCCCTCCATGGGAAACTTAGTGCTTTCACATTAAAAAGGCTTTGAGCTACCAAAACTCAAGTCAAACCTCACGATTAACATGACTTCGAGCTAAGCAGTTCCTCAATGTGGTAAAGCAAAGGTCATCAGAACTGAAATAAGTATGGCTTTATCATCAAACCCAATGCTGCTATCCGAGTCTAAAATATTGATGGAAGGTTTTCGAAAATTGGATCACTTTCGAGCGCACGCCAGACCCGTGGAAGCGGCCATGGCTGTCAACAATATCAACGTGATGCTTGGCTCAAATCCCTGCCCCGTGGAAACGGAAAATGAAACGCAGAAAGGAAAACTGCAGTCTTCAGGCTACCTACAAGATGGTGCACGAGTGAGGGAGCTCTGTGGGAGTTCTGAAACAGTTTTGCACTTGTCGATCACAGGTGATTGACGCTCTATAAATGTGGTCAGGAAAGAGTTGATGCACCACAGCTTAGAGCAAGTGAAGTGAAAGCTCGTGCTGTAGAACCCAGGGATTCTCCGAGCTCAATCCACACTCCTGCCCGTTTCAATCTGGATGAGCACCGCACCGGCGTGCGGTCACGCGCTCACTACTGCATGGTGCACATTAAAGACCCCAGGCTAGTGGTGGTACGCTACACTGGTTAAATTTCTCATCTCAGAGACACTAGACGCTCATTGGGGCTGATTAACTTTGCCCTGTTGAAACGTACATGCTAATTGGTTTTCCAGCATTTTCAGGAATCACTAGTTCAAGAGGTTTTGGTATGAGTTTGAGCTGAAGACAGCCTAGGCCCTCCCTCCACCAAAAAAAACAAACAAAAAACTGCTGCCTTTTTTTTTCTGTTTGTTGTTTGTTTGATTGAAAATTTGTTTGATTGAAATCAGACTTATTGGATTTAAATCAGATTAATCTGATTTAAATCACTGTAGTTAAAAAATAGTGATTCTTTACCTAGCGATAAAGAATCACTAGAATATAGTGATTCTTTATCGCCAACTACAACCTCAACAACATTAACAATGATAACTACTACAACTACTGCAACATCAGCAATTAGTACAACTGCTACAAACATCAGCAACTACATCAACAACGGACGTCATTGCCAGGGGTGGGAAGAGCCCATAACAGCTCTCAGTACATACAAATCTTGTCGCAATACCCAACTATCCTCGCTAACTTCAAATTAGAAAGCAAAAATCGTCAAGATATCGCAGTTTATGATACAGTATAGACCGCATATAACGTATGTCTCGGGAGTCGCGAAAATCCGCACTATGAGCGGTACCGCACTATAACCAAAATATCAATTTTTCAGTCCAAAATACATGCCATGAGACAACTTACCTTTGTAAAAGAGTTTATTTTATGTTAGATGAAAAATAAAGCTTAGTTTGAGGAAAGTCTTTATTTCACCAGACTAGTACAGTTCTGTCTCAAGTGTGTCACACATTTTGAAATAAGCGGCTTTTGCCTGGCGCAGCCTTTTAACGGCGTCGTGGGTTGCGGACGGACGTTGCGAGCGTTCAGGATTGCTAACCCTAATCACTTTTCTCCGGAGATGAAAACGCGTGAAAATTCGCATCCTTCATACGGTATGCGCCAGTAATACCTTCATACGGTATGCCCAGTAATACACACGCATGAAATGTGCCAAATAAGAAATCCGGGCGATGTTCGAGGACACAAATGCTTAGAAATCACGACTGTAGTCGAAGTAAACAAACACGACGACACGGGCGTTTCTGCCGTCTTGAGAGCGCCACCACGACATCGCCGCACAAGTAGGTGGATCTTCCCTTCTAGTGCGTGCTGGGTTATCATAGCGACACACAACGAAAATTCACAGTCAAGGATAGCGCTTTTACGCAGAACGATGAGATGCACGCCGTCTACGACGACGATCACAACCAACGCCATGTTTGTGGAATAGAAGCAGCCGGCCGCCGGCCCGCGACCGGAGGAGGAGAAGCGTTGTAATAGAGGTTTATGCAACACGCGCGAACACTTCTCCTCAACCTGCGATTGGTCTGTCGTTGCGGTTGTTTGTTTCTTTGTTTCCAATGCAGCGGAGGGACAACGCAACGCACGCACGTGAACGACTCGTGCGTGCGTCCCTCCGTCGCTATGGCAACTGAAGCCTCTCTCTTCGCTTCTCCCCGCGTTTTCGAGCAACCTCCTTGCCCCGCGAGTGCAGCTTGCGACTCGCGCCGTCAGCGCCGTTATCTAGTGTCGCACAGGGAAGCAAGCTCGCTGCTCCGGTCGTCGGCGCGGTCGGCGAGCTGTGCCAAAAACCGCACTATAACCGGTATTTCCCTTCGCGCGCCTGCATTTTAAGCGGTATGTAATTACATGGAGTTCTATGGGAGGTGAACCGGTGGTTTAAAAAAACCACGTTATACCCGGTTCTGCACTATAAGCGGTTACGTTGTAAGTGGAATATACTGTATTTCAGAAATTGTTACTGCAAGGTAGGGTTGTTACACAGCACTCACCACATTATTTCTTTTTTTGATACACCAGACGCCTACATAGAAACATCCTGCTCTGGAGGGTTGCTTTCCTTTCAGCACGCAGGTGCGCAGCGGTAAAGTAAGACACATCGAATTGTGCAATGTACTTTGTGGTTCTTGCGTCACTGCAGTGCACCGGCATGCAGCAAGATGAGCACTTGATAAAGATAACCAACCCGCCAGAGCAGACCACAAACATGAGAGGCATTGCGAGACTTCCGAGTACTGCCAATGTTCCATGAGGGAATCAAATCGAGTAGTGCTGTAGTTGTAGCGATAATTAAAAGTTCTGAAAATTTGCTCAGGCCTACCATGATGATCCGGCCGTGTAAAGGGATGCGAGCTATTATGTTTTCGGCATTAATAAAGTGAAAATACGTCTTGGTGCAACGTTGGTGCAAATTCATCACCTTTTGGCGAAATATAGCAGGATGTAGCAGGGTAAGTACATTGGCCCAGTTTGGCACAAATGGTGCAGCAATTACACGACTGAATTGTCACCGAGAAGCTCTGGAAAAAAAACGCACCTTTCCAGCCCCCTGGTGGCAATGCTGGCCAACTTCTCCTGCAGAGACTTATCCTCTGTTGCACCTCTCTGCAGCAAAAGTGGAAATAAGTTGCAGATGTTTTATATTCACACCGTGCAAAAACTAACAAAAGTAGCACTTGGCTACATAAGTTTACCAACCTATCGAGTGCATTCAATGTTTTCTCCAAACATAAATCGGAATACAATGATTGAAGCGCATCAAACAAAGCTAAGGCGAACCCTCATCCACACTTCCATGACTTCCCAAAGGACAATATTTAGTTGTCTGACAATCTCGCTCTACGAAGAGGCTTGGGAATTTTCTATATTTTCCATGTTGCAAAATTGAGTAGCCCCAAAATAAACCAAAGGTCTAGCTCCAAACAAATGCATGAATCGAGCTGACGAAAAAAAACACACTGTTTAAAGTATTATTTTTTATGCTACCACCATGTCACTCCTATGCACTAACTAGAAGGTTTTTACCGCCCAAAAATCAATTCACTTTCATATAAAATATTGGGCCTACACTGCAACGCAAGAAATCTAAGGTGTTTCACATGCTGAACGATAACACTGATCTCCTCTTGTCTGCCATCTTGCCTGACCAGCATACCCCCTTTAGTTTGCTGGAGTCACAAATAGGGCAGCGATTAAAAATAGGTCCACACCTGCACTCGGGAACAGGTCTTTATGGCCTTGCAGTGGAAGCTATGAGCAAGCGCATGAGGCATTAACTTCATAAATTGTATGGTCTGGTCTTTGAACAACCTGCAACAATCCACTCCAACAGTCGTCACAAACAAATCTATCACGACATTGCACCCAGGTGGCAGGCTTTGAAGGATAGGCAGCCAAGTTGCAAGTTTTACAACAGAGCTGTTGAGGGCTAGTTTCCCCGGTTTCGCGGTTTCGTGTCCGGTACGAAACAAATGTCGACACGAAACTACACAAAACTCTGGACAGCTACCGCCATCTATGAGCGACGGCAGCAACCAGACAACCAGCCTGGTTACCGCCGTCGCTCATAGATGGCAGCGACCTTTCCAGCTAGCACAGAAGAATGGACAGTTGGGCGAGTTGGTCGGAATACATCGTAGGAAACAGTGTGCAAAACAGACGAAGACGAAGAAGAAAGACATGAAACGAGCATACAACTTTGCTGGTCTTCCTTCTTTACCAGAGTGGAAAGGCTGAAAGTATTTTAACTGCGACAACCTTTTTCCCAGTAAAAACTGTAAATTTTTCATCAACTGCTACATCACCTGGTTAGGCAAACCCAGGGTGCCTTCATGACGATTTTGCTTTGAGTGCTGTTAACTTGCGATCTCCCCTTCCACCACGATCTTGTATTTCCAAAATTTTTATTAAAATATAAGTATGTAGGATTCCGAGTTTTCTGAGTTAATTATTTGGGGAAATTTGGAGGGTGTTTTTCAGAGTTTATTTTTTGCTGAAAAATCAAGGTTGATTGGAGTTTATATTTGTCAGATTCCCAAGTCTCTGAAATTCGGATTTTAATTTTACTGTTTTCAATTTTTCAATATTTCTAATAAAAAAATGTTTGGACACAAACATACTCTAAATTCATAAGAACTCCCCTGTATCGCATGATATTTCTGTAGCTGCATTTGTAATTGACGCATTGCCATTGGCAATATTAGCTATTCTACGACAAATATTGCAATGATGTTTTGCGTCATTAACAATCAATCCTCTGAAATAATTAAACTCCCGGATGTACTTGCTGGGAAGCATAGAAGCTTCAGTTGCCCTTCACTCTATTGAAATATAAAAGTTCATAGCTATCGCTTTTATAAGACACTGCCCTCCTTCCTCTAAGAAGCACACAAATAGTATGGTCCAAACCAGGGCCGTACCCAGAAAAAAATTTCGGGGGGGGGGGGGGGGGGGGGGGCCATTTTGAAAATGTCTATTGTCTTATTTTCGCCTATGAATCATGTGCATCGGTGGCATCTAATGGAGAGTTATAGCAAACCGGAGAACCGGTCCCGGTTTGGTACCCGGTAGCCGACCGGCGCCACTGCACATGCGCAGAGGTGGAGATTAAAATCTGCTGGCTGCAAGTGCACCGACCAGGGCCGTACACAGAAAAAAATTTCGGGAGGGGTCAGAACCCCCTAACCCCCCCCCCCTGGTTACGGCCCTGGTCCAAACTAAAAACCTAAACAATGAATTTAGTTGTGACACAGAGGTACCGTGACCCGTTGTCCTGAAAGAATCTTAACGAGCTAAAACGTAAACCCCCTTTTTGTCAGCAGTCTGAGATTTCAAAGGAAACTACCTAAAGTTGCCACTCCTCAGGACCAGTGACCCTGTGTTCCTGTAAAACGTTTTTGTAAAGTGCCGCTCAAAGTTCTGATTTTTCCAGATAAATCCAAATTGACCAACATTTTACTGGGGAGTAATTATAATGCAATTCATACACTGGGGAGTGCTTTTTGGACTTATCAGAAAAAGGCTCGAGGTACACGTAAACACTTCTAATGAGATATGTGAATGCGAAAGCATGAATGTTGTTTTTGCGTGTGTCCTCGTGAAGTGGCTGCACTGCGCTGACCTCGGCCGTGCTGCCGCTCTTTAGAGCGGCCTTTTTTGCGTGCTGGCAGCCTGCCCAAGCGTGCCAGCCAATTCCTTGTACCAGCATGCTCGCGGCGCGGGCACGCAGCGCCATGGGGTGGCTTTCCTTGAAACTGATGCACAGCGGCCAATAGGAGCCTCGTTTTCACGAAATAATTAGCATGAAGGTCAAAAACAAACTGACAGTACAAGCACTAACTCACAACTGTCGTTTTCATAATCACACTGAAGACGAGAAAGAGGTAGCGTTTCTCTCTTGTCTTTCTTTTCGGTATGAAAAATTTCCAAAATGAAATTGTCTTGATGGAAGAGGAAGTTACGTTGAGAGGACTGAGAAATAACAATAAAGGAAGAGGGCGTTACGTTAAAAACTGAGATTTCCATTGCTACAGTGGTCGTGCACAGGCTCGTCTGACCGGAAACCTGTAGTCGTTTGAACATGGCATTAGCGTATCCCTAAAGGCTCATTCACATACTTGCGACCGACAACGACCAACTCCGACACAGCCATTTCTATGTGACGTCTCAACCGAAGGGGTGTGCATACGGAAACATCGTGCAACGAAAACAGACCTCACTGTAGCAGCCTACTGCTCTGTGACTACAAACCAGAAAGCAATTGTTCGAATGTCGTTATGTAGCTAACGTCCTCGACTCGATGACTCGTTCATTTGAAGCACGCCCATTCAATGTGACGTAACGTGCAGGCGCGGGGTGAGACGGTGCTTTTGACGAGCAGTCCGAGTGCATGCTCAGTACGGTTTGACTCGCTGTAGCTAGCAGATATGTTGTTTGATAACTTACTTTCTGGTGTCATTTCAAAGTTGAATAGATAATACACTACACAATAGGTGCTAATAATGCTAATGTGTACCTAACTCATGACAATGCTGTGTATGTAATTCCACGTGAAAGTTGAAACTTGAGCCTAAAATTGAACGTCGAAGCCTCTGTCTCTGTTCCTATTGTATACGCATCACTGAAATGACGAACATAGATAGACCTCATCAAGTAAACCATGATAATAAAATAATCGAGATATCTCCATCTGTTCAAGGTACATGCACCCAACGAGATTATCATAGTACATCCGACACTCACATAACGTCACCAGTGCCGCCATCCTGTAACACGCCTTGCATGTATTTGATACTTGTGCTTCATTCTATTAATTCCGACAATTACAAATAAATTTGTTACATTCAGTACATGCGATTCATTTCACTAGACTCGGCGAGTAGACAACTTGCAATCATGTCATAAGCAGTTTACATATTATTTTTAAGCAGCTTGTGACTGCTTAGATAGTGGTCACAAGCGGCTTAAAACCTATGTGGCTTAAAACCTGGTTGTGTCAGAGTTGGCTGGAGTTAATCGCAAGTGTGTAAACCAGCTTTTACGGGGATTATTGCTGCGAAACAACATGGCTGATAAAAACAGCAGAGGCAATCATGTAACGAGGTTGACAACACTGGTTTGTCTGCAACTGGGATCAGAAAGAGTGGCACCACACTACGCAAGTGAGCATGAAGGCACCCAGACAAGCAAATTCAAGAGAGAACAAAACAGGACTAAATTTAGCTTTTCCTCTCTGTATGTTATCTAGCAATGAATGTAGAAAAAAGCTGAGAGCACCATTTCTTTATTTTTATGACCGCAAATGGATCAGTGTTTTTTTGTTTTTTTTGGCAAGAATGTGGTTTGAGCTCGATATCAGCAACTCGGGAAAATTTATCTTTCAAAATTCTTAACTGTGAACTGTGAAAGCTTCTGAAATTATTTTTGGTTCACTTTAAGCTCATCCTAAACATTTCCAGTGGGAACAGAAAGGCTGTCTTCCAAATCTCACTCAAGTAGATCCAAGTTACTCCTGTGGGTCATGCCACGTGATAATGCAGAAAGAGCAACGTCGGATGTGACAAGCCTTTCTAGTGCCAACGTACAAAACCGGTACTCTAAAGTAAGATGGAGTAAATATTGGAACATGGCTAAGAAGTACTGCCAAAAAAAACTGGAACAGCAACGAGAAAATCATAAACATGTGACATCAGGATCATGGCCAATTCTTTCAAAAATGCACACACGCTGATGTCACTAATATGAAGGCAGATGTCAGTTAACAAGTATGTAATCCTACCTTTATGACACAGAACCAATGGTACGAAAGATGTGGTGGGCGGGAGTTTTCGGACAGTACCTAGGACCTTGCGACGCCATAAACTCACTCTGATGCACTTGATGAAACCGTTTCCCAGACGGTGTTTTTCGCCTGGTGAGAGCATATAGCGTAGGGTGGCACACTGCATTTGAACAGGTCCCGAAGGTTTTATAATCAACGTTAAAGGTTACTTTCTGCAGAATATTGCTAATATTCAGCAAACTAAATGTAACAACAAAGTCATAAATGGACAGTCAAGCATGGGTTAGGGGTGTGCGAATATTCGAGTTTTGAAGTCGAATCGAATAGAAATTGACCAAATAATTCGGCTCGAATTTCAAATTCCTAGTATGGAATTCGAAATTCCAATGGCACATTGAATGAATTGTTGGACAAAATTCGTGATTATTCAGAAACGCAGTCCATGTGACTAAATACAGTTGAATCTTGTTAATTTGAACTCGAGGGGGACCGAAAATTTGTTTCAATAAAGCAAAATTTTAATTATCAGGAGTTTTCTCTCATAGAGACGCATAGGGTGGGACCTGAATGTAAGTCTGAATAATCCAGAAGTTTGAATTAAAGCGACCATGGAGGCAGTTTCAAAGTTTTATTCGACGGTTGAAATGGATGTCAGGCACGTTTCAGATACTGTTGACCAAGTTCTAGCCCGAACAGAAGTTTGGGTGCCGCACCAATCGAGCAAACAGGCGCGGTAATAATAGCGCCGGGAACGATGCCTGAGACCCCACCGAGGCGGCGGCAGAAAGGTGGACTAAAGTGCGCCGTCAAAGCGTGACGACAACGGGCTCCTCGTCTGGCGATTGGTTCAAACGATAGACGCGCTCTTGGTTTCGATTTCGGTGGTGAGATGTGATGAAAAAAGTTTATTTGAACGTTGGATAATATTTTAAAGTTGTAGTTGGGAATTAATAGGTTTCATACCGTGTATAAAAGCATAATTAATCTGAAGCGATCCCTTTGTTTGTCACTGGTTGAACGCATCCCGCACTGCTACCTCGGGCGCGTAGCAAGCATCGAGCAACCATGGACAAAAAAAAGAAAAAGAAGTACGAGCGCCGGGGGCGGCGGACTTTTGGTTTTGGTTTCGTGCGTCGTCTCGTGTTCGCTTTGCGAACTGGTGTCTCACCAATCCTGCCGCGTTTATGTGCAGTAGTAGGTTGCGCGAAAGGTCGGCTAAAGACGTGCGGTCGATCGGGCGACGTTAGTTTGCATAAACTGCCGACCGTTGCTGCATCGGTCGCCAATCCAGAGTTCTGCGTCCTTAGCAGCATCTCCCGTTCAGTCGGCGTGAGGTCGCTGAACGGGAGCTCAAACTCATTTGCGAGCGCGGCGTTGTCGTCCATTTCTTCCAGGTTTTCTTCACAGACCGCCGTGCACTAGAGCGAACCACGGGAACCACACTGAGTGTGCACTAAATCCTACCCATGCCGACAGTGCTCCCTGACGTCACTTCTCTTTCCAGAGGCGAAAAAGGGAAGAAATCTAAATGTTTGTTTCGGTTTCGCAAATTTATTTGCAGGTACAGAAATAAGAGTCACAACATTCTAGAAAAAATTGAGTGGCATGCCAGGACCCCAATGCTTCCGAAAACACCTTCTTTTTTTAAAAAAAAAATTAAATTGCCTTCATGGTCCCTTTAAGAGGGTTTGAATAAATGAGATTTGACTGTAAACCTCCCAGGTCCGAGTTTCCTGAACCTAAATCAAGAGAGCCTTAAGATTTAAATCTTTCTACAGAAAGTAGTATTCAGTTTATGCTCACTGAAAATAAGAAGTTTTAGTATTCCATATTCGATTCAACATTCAACCTTTTACATACTCCTCGGCACTATTAATCCGGGTCCATATCAGAAGAGCGAATGACATTTTAGCGAAAGGCGACATTTGAGCGAATGGTCGTTTTAGCGAATAACGGGGGCGCGCGTTAACCCATCCGTCGCGCTGCGCTTTACGCCGCTTCGCGGCGAGTCTACGGCAACTCATTACAAAAATGGGTCCATATCAGAAGAGCGAATGACATTTTAGCGAAAGGCGACATTTGAGCGAATGGTCGTTTTAGCGAATAACGGGGGCGCGCGTTAACCCATCCGTCGCGCTGCGCTTTACGCCGCTTCGCGGCGACAGTCTACGGCAACTCATTACAAAAATATGAACTAGTCTTACCAAAAATGATTTCCGTAGACAGTTTCCTTGCGAACTTTATCCTTTTATTCGCTGTCGAAACCATCGAAGGATTCCTCAGAATCTGACCCAAAAACCAGGTCCACACACTCACCCCTCAGCTCGTCGCGGTCTTCCGGGACCACAACGCCGATGTCAGCGAGCCGATCGCTGACGTCGCTGACAAAGAAGTGCTGACGGCGCGTCCAGCACTTCTTTCGCACTCAAAAAATTCAAAAAGCGCGTCGTCCACTTTCTCGCTGAAAACGGGGGCTCCGTTTCCCAACTTGCGTCGTAACTTCGACTTTCCGAAGTTCTCTTGAAGAAGCACTTCATACTTCTTGTCCCATTCGCGGATTCTCTTGCGATCAAGCTTGAACTGACGCGATGTCCAATGCACGTTCTCGCCATTCAGCCTGTGCCACTGGTGCCACTGGACGACCTCTATCTTCTTTTGCACAGTGTACGAGTGCATAGGGTTCCGGCGCCGTCAAACAACAAAATGGCGAACAAAAGGTTCACGTGGTTCACGTTTACTTTTGGATTGGATTGGATCCCTGGCTACAAATAAAAACAAAACTTCCAGAACGAAACTTTTTTCGGGGCCACCGGCAGCGGAAAAAGGGGGGAGGGGGGGGGGGGGGGCGGGGGCGCTTACTTGGTAGTTTACGGAAATGCGAAATGTGCGGAAAAAGGGAGGGGGCGCTTACACGAGGGGGGGGCGATTACGCGGTATTTTACGGTAAGCAAGGCAGGCACATTTATTTTTATCCATACAGCATGCAAATTTCTGGTGATTGCAACCTGAGGACTAGAGAATGACAATGAGAAAGTAATATTCTTTTGTGAAGATACTACCTGTGTTACAACACTGAGCATGATGTTTCACATGTCCAGAACCCCGCACATGCTATAAAGCTTGCTGTTAGCCTAATGTTTTAAAAGGGAAAGGTGTTTTGGGGGGTTTCTTTTGGCGTTAGGGGTGCCAGAGGTGCTTTGGAAGACATGTGAAGTTGGCTACCATTGCAGGGGCATAGCTTGCCCTAGTTCTGCATCAAATCAAACCTTCACAGACAAGAAGGCTGTTGTGCTGGATTTTGTACGCCACCCACTGGAGGCCGATGCGGGCCAATGTCGTACGAAGTGGTGCGTCAGCATTCGGTTGGGTTTTGTTACTTCGGCGACAGAACGCGATTCCCAGCAGAACGCTGACACAGCACTCATACCTAATCTGGGCCCTACACTTGTTTCCGAAATAGAAAATCCAGCACAATAGCCTTGTTAACAAAAAAATGTGTTATAGGGCTGGGTTTCGGGAGAAAAGCATCACGTTACGCGTGAATGACACGCAGGTCATGCGACTCTGCGATGTCACAACTGGATGTCCAATTTGGACGAAACGTGGCATCAGTGTCACGCGGTGTCGTGATGTCACGCGACATTAGGGCGCCGCAAGGAAACACAGCGCATCTTCGAGTTTACCGTATGTGATCGAGACACGCTCATTATCCAGGAGGTGTTGGTTCGACGTCTAAGCAAAAGAAAAAAAAGGAAGAGAGGGTGAGTTAACAGCTCACCGCCTGCAGGCAAAGCTCAATGGCGTGGGTGTAGAGCTCGAGGGCCTCCTGCCAGTGTTCGGCCTCGTCCTCGTCCAGGGCTTGGCCCAGCAGGAACTTGGCCCGGTCCAGCTCCAGCTGCTGCACGCTGCTTGACACCTGCTGGTGCGTGTTGCCCGAGGCTGCAACGGCAGGGAAGCGTTTGAGGCTGGTTCGCTCATCTGCATTTGACTGCGATCGGCTGCGCTACGACCATTTCTTACGGCTCAAGGCTGGTTCATGCATCTGCGTTTGGCTGTGGCCGAGTGTGTTACGATCTCGTGTAACCGCTTAACACACTGGCACTGTATATCAGACCTGCGACACTTCTGAGCTGTGTATAAATAGACTGAGGGTTTTGGAGTATTTGCGATATCAAATCCACATGCTATCTATAAAAAATGACCACTTATAACATTTTCATAAAATTATATGAGCTTGATCATGCTGACAAAGACTGGTAAGCACAGAAAGTGCAATAGGCCTTCCAGGGAAAAAGAGAAAGGAGTCTGAACGGTACCGCCCACCGAAGATATGCTTTCATTTCCGACACACACTGACTGAAAAGGCTGCAAAGCGCACGAGCTCACACGCCGAGTGAACCAGCTCACTCTTGCATGGTCCGTACCGCCGACCGCGGATAGCTCGGTCCGCAAAACACTTGGCTCACAATCTCGAGGTGACGAATTCAAATCCTGAAGGGGGACTGAAGTCTTTTTATAGACCGACACGCTGTTTACAAACAAGCCCGTGTTTGCACACACCAGGTGTGGGCACTGCGCATGCGCAGAAACCAAATTCGGAAGGAGTGAAGCGTGTGCGCACGCGCCGTGCCGTTGACAGCGCCACCGCAGTTGCGTGACGTCAGGACCGCGTGTTGGTCTATATGGTTCCCCATGGGTGTAACGCTTTTTGATGTCCGTTTTTTGTTACAGCACTATTTATTGGCTTGGCAAGAGATGGTGCCAGTGCGTTAAGAAGTTAGCAAAGAAAGCAATGCACTCGATCACAATCAAACGCAAATGTGTGAACCAGCCTTTATGACAAGAGGACAGACTGGCGCCGTCTATAGACCGTTTTACTGAAAGAGGGCGAGAGAGAAAAGGGGAAAGGGCTACCGGCGCTTTTCCCCTTTCTGATTGTGTAGAAAGAGTGGAAGGCCCAGGTGAGAGGCTTGACCGGTGTTGGGTGTCTGCTGTGCCCGAACTTCGATCGCGCTTTCTTTCCTGTTTTAAACTCGCAAACTTAATTAGAGTCACGGGCTTTGACGGCAACAGTCCCCCGGTCATCGGGACACCATTGCTCGGTCATAGGGTGCACGAATAATGACAGAAAGCGTCGAATACCGCCCAAGGACCTTGTAGCTTGCATGGAATCTGGCAAGGCGAGTGCGGCTGCAATGTTTTGAAGCTCCATCGCTTTTCACATGACCCCGGTCTTGGCGGCAGTGGATTGCGTCCGTAAACCGAAAAGGCGTTTCCTCAACGAAATCCTCTCGACTTCGCTCGGAACATTTCGTAAATGGAGCGCGCACCGAACGCTGTACCGCCGATGAACATGGGGACGCTCGCAATGTGCGTGCGAGTTTTTTCATGATAACTGCTGTTTCAGCTTGTAAAATTTTTTAACTGAATTTATCTTAATATTGATAATTTGCAGTGGTTACTGACTCGATTTCATCATTTACAACACTTAGTTGAAGGCTTATTTCCGCCGCCGGGTGAGGCTAGAAATTGTTGAAAAGGTAGTTCTATCGGTTTTCCTGAATAGCGATCCCCTGTGCGATACCAGAGAGCCGGCAAAAGCGCTCCTTGGAGTGCCGCTGGTGGGTTGTTTGGGTTGTTTTTGTTGATTGGGCGCTTTTAAGCGCTGGATAGTCGCTCCAGGGTACGACTCGTGTGTTGCGATCTGCGTCTTCGGGCCCAGTGTGTACGTTTCTTTGTTCGAGTCATGGCATCCGCCAGTGCGGCAACGGGGGGAACAGCGGCAGCGAACGTGTCAGTGATAGAAATTGGAGGTTAGTACTCAAAATATTGCATCAAATAGTAAAATAATTCGTGGCTGCTTTGACGCTTTCTGCGATTCAATATAAGCACATCTAGAACGTCTTCGTCGTTCATCCACAATGAAATATGAGAACACGGACACGCAAGATAAAAGCAGCGCAGCAAAACGATATGTAGCAGCTCGGGGTGTTTACAAAAGTTAATTGAGGTTCCCGTTTCGTGTATTGCTTGTTCATCACTAAAGACGGCTGCGTTGAAATGGGCCTATTGCAAGCAAAAATTTATGAATGGTTCATCATTTCCAGTCATGCGGAAAGCGGTGGAGCTTCAAAACATTGCAGCCGCACGTGCCTTGCCGGATTCCATGCAAGCTACGAGGTCCTTGGGCAGTATTCGACGCTTTCTGTCATTATTCGTGCACCCTATGACCGAGCAATGGTGTCCCGATGACCGGGGGACTGTTGCCGTCGAAGCCCGTGGCTCTAATTAAGTTTGCGAGTTCAAAACAGAAAAGGGCGAAAGAAGTTGGGGCACAGCAGACACCCAACACCGGCCAAGCCTCTCATCCGGGACTTTTACTCTTTCTACACAATCAGAAAGGGGGAAAGCGCCGGTAGCCTTTTCCCCTTCTCTCTCTCGCTCTCAAAATGGCGCTACCCACGATAAAACGGTCTGTAGGGCAGCCCGGAAGCACTTCCGGCCCATGTGTATATTTTATCTATGGCTCTTTCACCATGGGCTTGAGATAATACTGACAACGATATATATGAGACCATTTCTTGCAGATAGTGGGTAGGTTTGGTCTCACAAATACTGCAAAATCATGTCTAGCTATATGCAGATCAGAAGGGTTCTAGGACCACCTGGTATATATATTGTCACGGGTGGTGAGTCGTGACCAATAAACAAGAAATAAACAGAAATAAATAAACGTTTAATGTGGCGAACTTGTGCCAAAAAATAAAGAAGGAAACAGAAGAAAGCAGAGCGTCGCGGGCGTCGAAGTCGGCGTGTCAGCAGAATCGAGCGCTGGGGCGAGACTGACTTGACAAGGTCGCGGGCGGCCTCTTATCTAGAGTGAGTCAGTATCTCGAAGATTCGGCGGAGAAGGTTCGAGCGTAGCGCGCTCGGGCGAGAATGAACAAGCACTTTCTAGAACAACAAAAACAGGGATGAACGATAGTTATGTCCGCCGCAAGAGTGAACGAGAACTTTCTACAAGTCCGTGACCCTGCGCGCGGCAATATAGTGCCAATCTGCCAGTGCATTCTTTAGCGTCCTCTTGTTGTAAGCCATCACAAGCAGACGTAGCGCAGTCGATCTCTGTCGACCGACTGCGCTACATCTGCACACTCCATCACAGTCAAACGCAAATGTTGAACAAGCCTTCATGTGCCAACATGTTTAGAAGATGCACCCATAAAGGCAGAGCGACATGGAGCCGTAAAAGGGTACCGTAATATCCTGACAGATATTCAGACCCTTAACGATAACCCACCCCTAATTTTGAAATGATTTTCTACTTTTTCAAAAACACCGAAAGGCAGCCCACTCCTAGTAATTACAGGCCCCCGGCCAATGGTGACCTCGGCAGAAATTATGTTACTTACCTATCACGGGAGACAAGTGAACATTGACGACTTAGAAGGACAGTCATCTTTGCTTCATTGTCCCTAGCTGCGATTGCAAGTTTCACAGGCCACAAGATCTCAAACTAGCATTTTTCCCACTTTTTTTTTATCACACACCGAGAGTTAACCCACTCCTTATTTTCACTCTAATTGCTTTCAATTTTAGGAGGGCAATCTCCCGGAATATTAAAATATGCACTTGGCCCACTTCGGTAATTCATCACGGATAATAACAGTTCCAAAAACTACGGACAAGTGGAAGAAAAACTAACACCACAGAGGGGTAATCGGGCCATGCAGTATACTGAAAACAGACGTGATTGTGTCCCAACGTCTGACAACACCATTATCTTGCCTCGGAGTAAGAGCAAAGAAACGAGGAAGATAAAGAGGCATTTTCTTTGACGGACTGGGACAAAAGTACATGTGTCAGCACTTCCCCAATAATACTGTTTTTTCTGAGATGGCACATCTGAAACCGTCTGAAGTGGATTGATAAGCATAGATTATTGGGGTGGCGTTGCTCAAGTCGCAGGTTTTTGTGATATCACGGCGTACATGTTTTTGCCATTAGTAAACTTCAGTTGAAAATTGCGCTTTGTGGTGTTCATCATTCTTTTACTTCTCTGTCGTTTTTGGCGCATTTATTCTCTACAACGATATAGAGCTTTTTTGTGCTTACAAACACAAGCTATCTCTTGCTTTCCAACCGGCTTTGAGTCGCTCCATTTCAGCAGGTTTTCCCAGATTGTTTACGCCACTATTTCTCGGATGTGTAAGTGCCTCACAAAGAACAAAGTTGGAGATTTAGCAAGGTGCCATTGCTGTGCCATTCGATGTCTTACGGAAGTATTTACAAATTTCTGAAAATGTCTCGCTAACCAATTATTTAGCTAACATAATATCCAGAGGGATAGCCCACCTAAAATCGATAGAAAATTGGACAAAAACAAAGAATAAGCTAACTTTCTATGTGGCAAAACAATTTTTAAAAATGTTATTTTTATTTTTGTGATTTTTGAAACTTGCGAACGCAGAAAGGGGCGATGAACCAAAGAGAACTGTCCTTCCCAGTCAGCAATGTTCACTTATCTCCCACCGTGGTTAAGTAACAGCGTTTTTGCCAAGGTCACCCTTGGCCACGTCCATGAAATCACTAGAAGTGGATTATCTCTTGGTGTTTCAGAAAAAATAGCAAATCATGCCAAAAATAGGGGGCGGGCTATCTTCCGGGGGTGGGGCATTTTTCTGGATATTACGATAAGCACCTGAAAAACTCGTGATTAAATATTGTGAAATCGTTGCAGGGAGCAGTGTTGTGAGAGGATTGTTTGTCTTCCCATTTGAATGGAAGTTTGTGACAGCACAAAATATAACAGTGCCTCTTTGCAACATTTTTGTGGAAAGGGTTTACAAAGGTAGAGTTGTAGGAGGAACAAGGGCATAGTAACACAGTGACAGGGCTGCCACAACCCTATATTCCCCAGCCCCCACCCCCTGCAATTACAGTGCATACCCAACACAATAACGGGGATTGTTGGCCGGGTGTGTTAACGCACCGCAGTCAGGAACACAAAGGGCGAAAGCTCATGCTGCAAAATCCCAAGGTTCTGAGCTAAATCTCCCGTCCTGCCCGTCTCGACCCAGATGAACATTGTACCCGCGTATGGTAAACATTACAAAATTTAATTTTTTGTGATTGCATGCACCAAAAAGTTTATTTTGCAAATTAGTTTATGTTTTGTGATTGCAGTGCCATAGACGTTTCCAAACGAAAGGGTTCTTGACTGCCCCCATTGCACAATGGTGGCCAGAAGAGGAATAGACTGCAGTGTGTTTTCTGTACTTTTTTTCCCCTTTCCTGCAAGAATACTTACACGGAAAAAATGTGAGAGTTGTTAGCCCTGAATATTAAAACCAGGGGGCAGTAGCTAGAAAATCAGAAGTGAAGATCATTGAAACTTTCCTCGTTCAAAGAATGACAAACAATGAATCACTAGGACAACAGTTCACTGCCTTGCCACAGAGAAAGAAGAAAATGTTTATTGAGACAGAGATAGGGGAAGAGGGCCATGAAAGATACACGCGAGGAGAAAGAGGAAAGGAAGATAAGGTAAGGCCTTGACCAATGTAAAAGACTGAGAATAACATCTGCTGCAAGTAGACAGGTGTTCATGCCACCTGTGTTTTTGCCCTATATAGTCTAAAGTTGTGCTTGAATGCTATGCCAAAAATCCTTAGTACTTTCTACGAGTAGTTTTGACCCCCTCTCTCCCTGTTCCCCATTATGACGCTATGACAAAAGCAACTGGGCAGTAAAGAAGTGGTGTCGCGCACCTTGCTTCCATAGCTCTTCGGCTCGATCCAGGTACTCTGAGGATTTCTCTGAAATGCCAGCAAGCTGGGAGCCAGACAGGAGTGCTGACTGCAGTGCTTGGGCCGCTTCCTAGAAGAGATTAGTATTTGAGACACACTCCTTTTCAAGCCAGAGTTCCCCATATTAAATTATACTAAAAGCCCCATCTGTACAAAGGGGCAGTATGTATAAAGTATGTCAATATATTTCAGCATTATATTGTTCGATCCTTTTTATTCATTCATTTATTTCACCTTAAAGGCCCAGTTAGGGCATTACATAAGGGGCTTTTGGACCTACTAATTTTGTTATCTAGTTGCCTGGTGACAACTACTGATGCTACCTAACAATGAATCCAAACAAAATGGTCCCGGACGATGTGGTCCCGGACAAAATGGTCCCAGACAAAATGGTCCCATGCACGAAACCGGGCAAAATGGTCCCAGGCAAATTTTGAGGCATAGTTTGCTTGATCTTCAGGGGTTAGTCAGTTGTTTGTACTTGATGCAAATTTATTTATTTTACTTTGAAGATACTGCCAGCCAACTTTTGAAGGCAGAGGTATAGTGTAGGCAGAACAATAAAATAAATAAGCATAGCACGTAGAGAAAAAAAATATGTGGCTGAATACTTAAATTATGAAACACTAACCATTTAAAAGTTTGTGTAGTCAATTTAAAACAGACTGCATGCCAGTAGCTCAGCCAAAAAGAAAGGAAAAATATACTATAGCAATAATTTAAAAGTGCATATATCAACCATATTGAATAAACCTGAGACTGGGGCAGAAATGAATGTATAAGTCGAAGGAACAGAAAGGGACAGGACGACGTCCGTCCTGTCCTTTTCTGTTCCTTGGACTTATATGTTCATTTCTGCCCCAGTCTAAGGCTTATTCAACATGGTTAACATTCACCGGCTCGCCTGCATCCGGACTATATTATCTCTGCATATATCAAATAATGTATCCATAATGTTTTACATTTAGCATGATAAAAGGGTTCCATTACATGCCATAACAAATATGTAGTGTTTGCATAAAGTGACCATGTTCCTCGGGCCCTAAAGCGGGACGCGTATCGGGGGGAGGGGGGGTTTATGTGTTGCGAGACTTAAAAAAGTTCCAATTTCGGTAACAAATCATACCTTTTTACCACTTCGCATACACCGTGCACATTTCTTTTTCTTGCAATTTGCATACTGTTTGGCATGCACATCTAATACGTATGGTTGGAATATTTTTTTGGTATTAATGTATTTATTTTTGTATGCAATGTCCGTAGCATTGTTCACACGTCATTCACAAATTAACCTTCAGCATCTTGTCTGCCGAGAATACCTTTTGTCTTTGATCAGAGAAAGCACCCTCTCACTGGTGTGATCTGTTCGTTTAACTGCATATTTTATCTATTCGCGGTTCTGGAGGATACCGAAGCTAAAGTCACTGGATCGGGTCCAGTGACTTTAACTGAAGCGGGAGAAAACGCCGTCCCACAAGCACGCTGGCAGGACAGCGGGACCACGGCCGGAAAAGCGGGACCTGTCCCACCTAAATCGGGACGTCTGGTTACCTTATGTATGCATAGTATCTTTGATTTATTATGTGCAAGCATTTTCTTGCAGCTCCACCAAGCTAATTCTAAATTAAAAAAATTAAAATGCTGTCTCAAGAGCGGCTATTTTTCTCTCACACCTATAGGAAGTACCCACTGGACGCCATATTTGAGAGCGATGTTTAGAGCGCATGCTCACAAGGAGCTCACATTAATAGGCTGCTACAACCAGCAATCTTGATGGCGCGGAATGCACATTGCAAAAGAACTGTGAAAGCTTGCCGTCAGCACACACTCAGCAGTTGAGCCCACAGCTATGGCCGCCAGTGAATACTTCCTATACTTATGTTTTACTAAAGTCACTATGCAGCCAATGCTACAAGCTGATAGGGCCAATCAAGCGGTGCCAACAACAAGACATATTAATGGCATTCAAGGACTTTTTTACAGCAAAGCTGTCAAGGGCTAGTTTTCCCCAAAGAAATGAAGACACAGAACTCTAGACACCTACCGCCATCTGTGAGCGATGGCGACAAGCCACGTATCTGGTTGCCGCCGTCGCTCATAGATGGCGGCAGCCTTTCCACTCTGGCTTGCCAACTTGCAGCCAGTGGCCTAGAAGGACTGTAGTACAGCTCCGCTGCTCTTCCTTCTTCACCACCTAGAGTGAAAAGGCTGAAAATTATTTGTGTACGATATCTCTGGCTAGTCAAATTAAGCGCAGAGAGTGAATTACGACCTCGTGCTTTTAGTGTGTGCATGCATATCTGTGTTGCGATTTCTGCTCCAGCCTTGTACAGTGCTCAGACCTATGCGAATAGCAGCCATAGAGTCAAGTGAGTAATGCTAGCCCTTTAACTTTTGGGCTTTTTTAGTTGTTTCCTCAAACATACCACTAAAAGCTTGAATACATTAAAATATACATTACATGTGTGTAGAACAAGGCTTCAGAGTAGTTGTTCACTAAATCAATCAAAGAGCACCCAAAGTGTCAAAAAAATCACTAGGGACCATTTTGTCTGAGCTTGCACTTGGGACCATTTTGTCCTACACCCAGGAAAGTTTATTGCTCCCCAACTGTAAACTTTTCTCTTACCATGCTGCAATAGTGAAGATGTAATTGAAACATACATACCTACATTTTGTTTTAGTTCCTTTGGTATTCTTATTCTTTCGTTTCTTTTTTGTTTTTTTTTTAGTTCTTTATTACTACATAACTTACTTTAGAAAACCGAAATACTGCTGGAAAAATATGCCAATCGGCATCTATTAACTTTATTTGTGCCCCGTGTGTAGGGGGTGGGGTTGCGGTGGGCATAGGCGTAGACTTCAGGGGGGCATCGGGGCTCGTGCTTCCCCGGGCCCGGGCCATGATCCTTACCGAGACGCTGTTTACGTGACAGGTAACAAGCTTCTAGTAGTGGCATGTAAACAAAATAATGCCCACGTTGCCTTTATTGACAAAATACATGGGAAATGTAATCCCAGCGTGCTTTCGTTGGCTTCAAACTTCAGTTATGGTGAAAAGGTAACGCGCAGCACCCCACCTCACCCCACCTCCCGGAGAACTTCTCAACCTGCCCCTGCCCTGCCCTGCCCCCTGCCCTGCCCCCTCCCCTCCCCTCCCTCCCTCCCTCCCTCCCTCCCTCCCTCCCTTCCCTTCCCTTCCCTTCCCTTCCCTTCCCTTCCCTTCCCTCCCCCCTCCCCCCGGGAAAATGGAAAGTCTACGCCGCTGGGGTGGGGGTGGGGGAGGGGGAGATTATTCGGGCATACAGTATTTGATAGTTTAGTTTAGGTGCTCTGCAAAACGTGAAGGACTGAGCAGTGGTAATCTTTCGTCACTGGGAAGAAGCGGACGTCAAAGCACCACGGCTCGGTAGTCACAAGCTAGTTTCGGAACGACGGTCGAACCCCGCCATCACATCACCTAGAGCCACAGAAGAATATCTGAAAAAACCAAAAGACCGATTGCATCGCTAAAGACTCGTACCCTGTAATAAAAGGCGGCGGGACCAGCACTGCCTTCCTTATCGAACTGGACCGCCCTGGAGGCGAACTCCACGGCATCGCGTTCGAACTGCGCCCTCTCATCACTCATGACGCCCAGCCCGGTCGCCCCGGGGCATGACACACCTGTAGAAGACAGAGACGGTCGTGTGTAAAAGAATTGCCTCAATTAAACGCATCCCGATCACGCATAAAAGAGAAACATTTCACTTTTGTTCGTACCTTGCAACCACGCAAGCGCCGCAACCCCAAACCAGCTGGACAACTGGATCGAATTGGATATTAAATTACTTTTCTAGCCAACAGCTGCCGTTAGATGTTTCACAAACCCATAATTAATATATATATAAATATATAATTTTAACAAAATAAATGAATAAAAATTAATAAAATATATATTATGGTTTTGTTTTGGATATTCAGGACCTCTAGCAAAATCTCTAGGGCACCACCCGCACCACCAGGGCATGATCGAAAGTGCGGCTATAGCACATACCGGAAGCTTCGTCGGCTCGCTGTCTATGTACGCTTCCGGCTCATCCGGTGTAAATATTTTGCGTTACTTGATTTACATCGTAGCAAACAGCTTGGAAGATAAAACCTCCTTCGTCGCCTTCCTGACCCAGTGAGTAAGCCAAGTTTGCTTCTTTCAAAGGAAAAGCGAGATGCTGGACGGGCAGTCGCGTTGGGTACGGGCGAATAGTCCTGGCGACTGTCTTGTAAAAATCACCACAGAAATTCGACACTGCTCTCGACTAAAATCCTCGAGCAAACCGCCCTCCATCGTTTCACTTGCGCTTCGGGACTTTTATTGCCATTTTACTTTCGCTGTCTGTGACCCAGCACGTTATTGGGGACATGCGTGTGTTTTCCGACGACGCTGTTTTGGCCGAGGAATTTCGTAGCGCAACCGTTGGGCGTTTCTGCTCGTGAGCTCGAAGGGGGTGAAAACGCGAAGCGCGTGTATGTATACCCTTGGATAACAATCAAGGCTGCTCGAATTTTATCTTAGTTCCTTTTTTTCTTTCCCCTCGACGTCGAATGCGTGACACAGCCGGACTGCTTAAACAGGAAATCAGCAATTTGATCTTCTCGCTATTCTGTCTCTGGTATTATTGGCCAACGAGCTATATTTGCTGACGATGAATCAACTGGTGCTACTGTCGCGAGGAGCCTGTAAACCGTGGATGTTTTCTGTGTGCGCTCACCCCGCGCGCTTTTATTATTGTTCTTTTTATTTGAGGGAACCCTCGAAATATCCGTCGTCCAAACGACTCACTGCCGGCGGCCGTCAGCGCGCCGTGTTATTGCCAAGGTTGCGCCTGGCTGCACTAAAGAATTCCGCCTGACAATAGCCGAGGAACGAGCGGGGATGATGTAAAAAAGAGAGCGTAAAAAACAAAACAATATAGCACGCGCATCGGCTTCGCTCGCTGCGAAATCCCTGCGCTAGCAGCCTACGTCACGGATCGAGGTACAGATATCCGTATTATCCATCATCGCTGTGACGCGGTTATGCGACTATCACACCTAAGGTGTTAGCGCAAAACGCATCCAAGCGTGCGCGGCGCAAGCGCGTCGTCGTAATACATTTTTTTTCTTCCTTTCTTTCCGGGACCCAACTTTCCTTGTGAGGCGCGTGTTGTTTTCTTTTCCTAATGGCCCCCCTTTTACGTTTTCTTCGAAGCACGACTCTGATGTGGTTTCTTTTCGTGGCAAATGGCCGTGCGTGCGTGCGTGCGACCGTTTCGCTAAATGCTTTTTGCTCGAGGCTTTTCTGTCACGCTCACTTGAATCGCCGAGCAGTCGGTCAACCAGTCACCCAATCAGTCACTTTGCTAAAGTGAAACGCTGCATTTTTTTAAAATTATTTTACCCCGGAATTTGCTTTTACAAATGATTGAATGCTTGTCACTCTAAGGTGCGCATTAAAAATAACTGTTAATGGGAATGGAGCGTATCATTTATCTGCATGTTCAGACATGCAGTCTTCACACGGGTGAATGCAAGTCATGCAAGTGTGTCTTTAAATGTGAGCCATTGTTGCAAGGGCAAAGTTATTTTTGATTTCGCAGTCAACTCTTGCTAACTTATCTTGCTTGGCAATTGGTACTCCTATGCACCTTTCTGTCGCTTATCACCCAGGCGAAAAATGCCGAGTCTCTGCGCTGTGGACGCATGCACAGTGTCCGTCAGATGTTCCACACAACAGATCAAGAGCGCATGCTCAGAAGGAGTTCCACAGCCCAACAGACAAAGATGGCAGCGCGCCGAAAGCAATTTTTGTAAAGGTCTATAGCGCTGATCGGTGGTTTCAAAAGGGAGGTTACATAATGTGACCGAAAATGTGGTCTGTAAAGGCCTGTTCACACATCAATCTCGGCGCTGAGATAATGCGAACTCAGTGCTGCATTGGCACCACATTGTGTGTAAGCAAGAAAGGGTAAGGTCCCAAGTATTCAGCACTGATAGCTTTTTATAAACCTTTTTCGCATAACCTTATACCAGCGCGCAAGTGATGCACCCTCGACCCTATTCATTTGACACAGTATGTGCAACTCCCAAGGGTATGGGTGAAAAAGACATGGAGACGGACATCATGCATGAGTTAGTTCCAAATCTTTATTTTTCTCGTGTTATAATTTCCAAAAATCATTGGTTGTCTGGCTATCACTGTGTCGTCGTCAGGTGCAGAAATAATATTAATAAGCAAAGAACAATAGCAAAAAGTGTGCGATAAGTGCAGGAAGCTCCAGCGCAAGTGTGGCTGCAATGTTACTGAGATTCACATGTTCCCCAAGGATTCTTATCTATAAAGTCAGTCGATTGCGAGCGTAAATCATGGGGGCTTTGTGTCTGACTCATTGTTAAGTTTATGCTCACGACTTTTTCGTCTAAGGCAAGCAGACCGATTTCAACCCAGTGCCGGATTAGGTTATCACTGCAAGGTATGCTATTACTCCATGGCGTGTGAAGGGTATGGAAACGTCTGTGTCACCACCCAAGATGCGGCTAATAGAGAGTTTTAGTAGATCGTTCCCATCACTCCGATAACGATACCCGATACTCCGCCACCACCTCCCTTGAGCATGCATAGTTTCGTTATCGGGGCTATCGGAGGTATCGGAACGATCTACTAAAACTCTCTATTAAGTGCCGAGAGCTTACGTGCATAGACTACATTAAACTGCTCATATATTCCTTCGTTATGGAAACTCAAACACTTGATCGTCTTCGTCCTCATTCTTTTTGGAGGCAAAGTGATGGCCTGTCATTAGTCAACTTGATTCAACCGGTCAAGTTCCAGCCATATTCACCATAGCCAAGTCTAGCCAAGTTCCCCCCATACTCACACCGTTGCCTAACCAGACAGCTGTGCTGCCACAACTAGACACTATTTCAAGTTTTAAGCTGCTAGACGGTGTCTTCAATGCCGCCATTTTGAAGATGGCAGTGCCTGTAACGCTGTGGTTTATGTGTGAACAGGCCTTAATACTCTAGTAGTCAATTCTTGTTATAGCAGTCATGAAATCATCCTTTCACTTTGTCAAACTCTAGCGCTCGGAATGAATGCTTCACTTTCATGAAGCTCTCAGCAAGTATGCGGAGCGCAAGTTTGTCTGCTTCTTTTGCAGCGGTTGTGGTTGTGGTGACCACTTTGCAATGGAAACAAGGGTAACCATACTAATGATAATGGACTAGTCTAATAGAAGATAAGGATACCTTTTATCACATTATACAGAGTATGTGCAGAATAACTTCTGCCCACCTTAATATCTTTCCACAGTGGTGGAAAAAGGTTATTGCTTCAAGATTAATTTAGCAACAATGCTTTCTCAACTATTCATATCAACAATTTTTTGCAGAGCTATTGCCCCAATCTATTTTTTGCAAAATAGATCGGGGCAATGTTTTGGCCGTAACGTCATATCTCAGCTGACTCCCCCCCAAGCCTGACCCACAAATTTGCACCTGATGCAGACTCTGCAGGACCAAGTTGGATGAGGTCACCAAAATCAATAAATGCTTTTTCACGTAGTCGCGTTAGAGGGCGACTGCGACCACGTGCGTCTTAAGACTGCTTGCGTTGAGCTGTTGCTATGGCGACCCTTACGACAAACCAATGAGCGGTTGTGGTGACGTCAGAACGCCAAGCTCTGATTGGTTCTGAATGAAGGATAGGGGGTAGACCGCAAGGCAGCTTGCTTTGAGGTCTACCCACTCTCCTTAAATCGGAGCTCGGCATCTTTTTGACGTCACCGCAACTCCTGCGCAAGAAGCAGACGACTTTACATGCGCTGTATAAAGGAATAAAAGCGTTATGAAGTTCGCTTTCTTATTCTTCCTCAACTACCCTTCCTTCCCTAGGACAATCAGTCACACTCCTTAATGAAGCAAACAGCAACAGGTTATCCCTCGCTAATCAATTGTCCGCTTACAAGTTGAGCAAGTCAGAGGCAGGGCACTACTGGGCCGTAAGCTTTGGAAGTAGCATTATGGGAAGGGGAAAAAATGCAACTTGGGTAGTAATTCAATTAGTGTCATTGAATGACTGTAACTTAATTACTTTCCTTGGTAATTGTAATTACTTTTAGCTAAAAGGCATTGTAATTTAATTACTTTTTGGTATCAGTAATTACAAAATTTAGGGTACAATTACAACTACCTTTGCAAAAGCTTGCGGCGCCGGCGGAACCTCTCTGAAAGCCTCAGCGCTTGTACACATACCTCGGCAAACCTCACTCATGAGGGCCCTCACCCACCCTCACTCACCCTCATCTTCACAGGTGAGGTGAGGGTGAGTGAGTTTCTGAACCAGGAAAATTCGTGAGGGTGAGTGAGGGTGAGTGAGGGTGAGTGAGGGCCGTGAGGGCGGTGAGGGCCGTGAGGGCCGTGAATGCGGTGAGGGCCGTGAAGGTGGTGAGGGCCGTGAAGGTGGTGAGGGCCGTGAGGGTGGTGAGGGCCGTGAGGGCCGTGAGTGCGTGAGGCGCCCTTCAGATCGAGCATCTTTTTCAGCAATTTTGGTGTTAATGGCGGGTTGTTCTCTAGCTTTCCCTAGATCGACACGAATTGCTGAGATCGGGTCCGGCTCGAAATAAGCAAGCAACTCGGAGCAATTCGAATACGTTTGAAGCGGCTGCATCCAATCAGGGACGCAAAATTTTCACGTGATACCTGGTGACGGTGATGATGACACCCAAAGACTTGGTTCTGGTTTGAAATCGATCGTTTTTTTTTAAATAAACTGTTTCAGAAAGGTGCATTAGTATTCTTAACAAGATTTAAATGTATAAAAACACGTTTATAACGCGTAATTGTGTCTAAATAGTGCAAGAAAAATAAAAATTTATGATGACGATGGCAAATTGCAGCAATTGGTTGCTGCGTGTGATCGCGGGAGGCCCGTGTTGCTGGTGTTGCGACTTAAAGTTTTTGGGCGAAATTGCCCCATCTGAAGCTGGCCTGAGTAGCGTGAGGGCCATGACTGACGTGAGGGGCGTGAGGGGCGTGAGGGGCGTGAGGGGCGTGAGGGCGGTGAGTGGCGTGAGGGCAGTGAGTGGCGTGAGGGCGGTGAGGGCGGTGAGTGCGTGAGGGCCGTGAGGGCGGTGAGGGCCGTGAGGGCCGTGAGTGCGTGAGGGCCGTGAGTGCGTGAGGGCGGTGAGTGGCGTGAGGGCGGTGAGTGGCGTGAGGGCGGTGAGTGGCGTGAGGGCGGTGAGTGGCGTGAGGGCCGTGAGGGCGGTGAGTGCGTGAGGGCGGTGAGTGGCGTGAGTGGCGTGAGGGCCATGAGTGAGTGAGGGCCGTGAGGGCGGTGAGTGCGTGAGGGCCGTGAGGTTCAGTGAGGGTGAGTGAAGGGCTGAAGGTGAGTGTGACTGTGAGGGTGAGGATGAGTGAGGGGCTGAGGGTGAGTGTAGCTGTGAGGGTGAGGGTGAGTGAGGGGCCTAGGTGAGTGTGGCTGTGAGGGTGAGGGTGAGTGAGGGCGACCTAAAATGCCGACCTCTGCTTGTACAAGTGGCATAGCTCTCGGTGAAACACTCACACACAGGCACAAACTCACACACACAACATAAATAGCGTCACATTGTTTGTTGTGTTGTTGCTTACGCTGCAGGCTTAGAGACAATCCTCTTAGGAGCCTATCTCAACGGTGCTGTGTAGCGCCGTCTGCGATGCGAGGAGAAAACTATAGTGTAAACGTGCCAAAATATTGAAAGAAAAAATTTAGCTTCAGCTTTCAGTCGAGGTTGGCAATCCAACGATTCGGGGGCCCCGATTCGTTGTTTACATATTTCTGAGCCATTATAATTTCAACTCAATGTAAATAATTTACAATACCATGACATTTGTGTGTGAATGTGGTTGTATTAGTGCATGTGGATTTTACTTTTGTGTTAACACTTGTAAAATATTCCTATATGACTACTAATTGTCACATTTTTATTTGCCTGGCCAACGAAAGTGTCAACCCAATTTTTCTTTAGCGATCTGGCGTCTTCCAGCATATGAACCAATTTAACATTATTTATTAAAAATATATGAGCGTAATGCTTCATTGCCGTATACGGTCAAGTTCTATCATGAATTTAACAAAATTCATAAAAATAAAGTACAATACATGAACATTGGAGTAAGGAATAAACAAATATGTTGCATTCTATACAATTTGTTTAAAGTTATATGGCCCAAGTCGGGTCGCTTTCAAAAATAGGTAATTGTAAAGTAATTGCATTACTTTTTTAAAGTAATTTGTAATTGTATTTAATTACTTTTCTCGTAGTGTAATTGTAATTGTAGTTAAAGTATGTTTGAAGCAAAGTAATTGTAATTAAATTACATTTTGGAAGTAATTTACCCATGTATGCTAATAGGTGTTGGGACCCATGAGAGTTGAAGGTCCCTTTAATATCCTAACAATTTATACATCTGGGAAAGAAATGAGTTGTGCTTCCCTATTGCTACATCTTCCTTTTTAAGGTCTCTACAGTGTGGTCACCTCTGTTTCTGATGAGGGTGCTCATAAACAAATTAATCGGAAAATTTTACAAGTTTGGTCACACGCTATGCTTTGTGATCAAACTTGTCAAATATGGCCAATAATTCGTTTGTGACCACTTTGCAATGGAAACAAGGGTAACCATACTAATGATAATGGACTAGTCTAATAGAAGATAAGGATACCTTTTATCACATTATACAGAGTATGTGCAGAATAACTTCTGCCCACCTTAATATCTTTCCACAGTGGTGGAAAAAGGTTATTGCTTCAAGATTAATTTAGCAACAATGCTTTCTCAACTATTCATATCAACAATTTTTTGCAGAGCTATTGCCCCAATCTATTTTTTGCAAAATAGATCGGGGCAATGTTTTGGCCGTAACGTCATATCTCAGCTGACTCCCCCCCAAGCCTGACCCACAAATTTGCACCTGATGCAGACTCTGCAGGACCAAGTTGGATGAGGTCACCAAAATCAATAAATGCTTTTTCACGTAGTCGCGTTAGAGGGCAACTGCGACCACTTGCGTCTTAAGACTGCTTGCGTTGAGCTGTTGCTATGGCGACCCTTACGACAAACCAATGAGGAGGCGCTCTGCCGCACGATACAACGCAACGCAGTCGACGTAACTGTGGGAACGAGCCTTAACTGCAGGGCTCTGCAACACATAAATGGCAAGCTATCGATAGCTGTAACCACAAATAGTAAAACATTGTGAGGATATGTCGTTTGAGTTTAAAGGGCAACTCCTGTCAGTATTTTCGAATTTGGGTTTATGACTGTTTTTCAGCCCAGAGAATGTCGCTAAATTACAAGGTATAATTTTCTTTTCTCAATATTACGTGTAGTTTTATAAATATCATGGGCTTAAAATTTGGTTTTGGGCGTCTACGGCACAACCAAAACTATCTGCTAGAGAGGGATGGCAACACTGATATCAGCCGTACAACCATGACGTCACGGTGGTGCTGTGGTACGGGGTACAGCGTGTGGAATAAACCGCAGCACCACCGCGACGTGACATCACGGTGATCCTCCAGTATGCTCCGCCCAGTGTTCCTTGACTAAAACCTAACCCACTTGACACCTGCTGGAGAGCAGCTGGCCGCATCTGTAACCCTTTCATGCCCAAAGTTGCCCAAAAGCAACAACTCAAGAATTATTTATTTTCTCCGTGCCTCGTGCGCCTCAATAAATCTAGGACGCCCTGTCGCAAGGGCGAGGATACCTGCGCTCAACAGTGGAGGATTGAAATTAACCTTCAATACAGATCACTCGTCCTTCCACCAAATCCGACATTGGATGTGAGGTATGATTCTGTGCAATACTGGCCGCAAAACCGCGAGAATGACCGGTGCAAAAATTACAAATTCGGTTATACCTTCCTTTATCGCGCGAAATTCGAAATGTGCCCGAACCTTCTCCCATGTCGTAACTGTTATCAATCGTTCGACGTGAAGTAGTGCCGAGAATTTTCAATGTTGCTCACAAGCAACATTTAGAAAACGTGCTTACAAAAAACGGCAAGTTTTTTCCGAGACCTTTTGTTATTTTGTGTGTTCTAAAGCCATGTCAGGGTTTTTGTAGGTCTTAAGTATTTCAAATAAAGATTTGGGCACAAAAGGGTTAAAATTAGTTTTAGTGGAGGGTATGGCTTCACTTTGATGTAATATTTTGGCTGTGATCATATTTCGTGCCACTAAGCAATAACCAGTCATTATTTTGGTTTCATTTTTGACCAGAGTGGCCCTTTAACTTATCTCAACAGCCTGAATTAGAAGAGAGACTCGAGCAACCATGGAATGAGGATACATCGTCCAGTGGGGGGATAAGAAAGTGGGACAGGACAAGATAGGCAGAAGTCAAATAGTCTTTTGTCTTCCTGCACCGTAACCTTTTCTTCGACATTTCACAATTCATTAATTTTAGTCTGATAGCAGGCACCACATAAACTCTCCATTTATATTACCAACTTTTTCAGTAAAGACTGAAAAATTCCTAGAGTAGGGTGGTTGAGAAAAGACTCTTTTCGGTAACAAACTGCCAGCCACGACCGATGTCGGGGATTGCAAAAAAACATACAAATTGGCTAATTAATTAATGGACATTTACTATAGCCGGTGACAGGTCAAGAACGAAGTGGAAGCTCCTCTTACCCCTTTCCACTTCAGTGGGGCGAATGGTAGAGAGGAGGTCGCCTCTTCTCTAGCGTTTGCTCTACTAAAGTGGAAAGAGGTGGGAGGAGCTTCCACTTTGTTCTTGACCTGACACCGACTATAGTTAACTTTGTAATTATCACAGTTGGCCATCCAGTGTCAGTGGCAGTTTTTAGGTGCAGGCAAAATTATCTCGCATTCATTTTTAAAATGCGGAAAAAGTCCTATGCCCTGCAGCATGAGAAAATCTCAAGCTTATTCTCCAGAAAATGTTTCAGTTAGTATGTTTTTTGCCATTCACGATGTCCACCGTGGCTGGCAGTCTTTTTCTCCAAAAGAGTAATTTTCTCAAGCAACCTATTATTAGGAATTTTCAAAAAGTTTTCGCTGAACCACCTGGTGCAATTATTATAATTCTCAAGAGTAGAAGAGAGACGTTCTTTTCCCCTGTCTTTCTTCTTCGACTCCGTTTCCTTGCTTTTACCACAGTCTCGGGTTTTCTACATTATGATCAGTAGAAGTCAGTTTTTTTCCAAAATTTCCGTCAGTGCACTACAGTAGAATACCGCGCATCCGCCCACTCCACACTAAGCGCCCATTCCCAAATTTGCAAGATCTGAGAAAATATGCACAGTACATAGATATGTAAAACTGATGACCAGACAAGCGCCCATCCTCCATTTTTTTGCGATTATCTCTCAAATTTGAGTGGGCGCTTGCCCCGTATTTCACAGTAGTGCGGCTTGTATTCATTTTTTCTACAAGTCTGGACGTTAACGCAAAAATTTGCCTCAGAGGTTATTTTTCTCTTTAGATTCGGTGACGAGGATATTGAAACTTGCTCTGGCTTGCACATAAATTGCAAACGTGATTCAGACATTTCAAATCCGTTTCGTCACCGACCGCACAACTATGTAGGTGAAAATTATAGACCAGAAAATACTGACTATATTAGATAGATTATTGTTGTTATTATTATTATTATTAGTTCAGTCATAAAGTGCAGTTTTAGTATGTGATGCCTATAGTCGTCAACAGGTTATGGGTTCAGGGCAAGAGAAAGGAAAACTGGAGAGGAGGAAGCAGGCGGAGTTCCGGAGAGAGGGGACGTTTCCTCCTCTTCTTTTCAGCAATCCGTCTGCCTCCTCCTCCCCAGCTTTCCCTTCCCTTGCTCTGAACTTTTAGCCTGTCATCGACAATAGAATGTGCAATGCCTCGTCTCGTGGTTCCTGCGAGGGTTCCAGCGATGGTTGGTGCATCTTCCATGCAGGCATGAGACGAAGATGAGAGCATGTGCGAGCAGGCCAGGGTGCTGTCGGAGTTTGCTGCAACCGGCGAAGGCACGGGCGGTTCTGCACCGTGCCTGCACCGCGGGGGGGAGGCACTCCAAGAGAAGAGCCACACCAGGTGGTGGCGCGTGACCAGGCACCACGCCCTCCGCGGCTCCTCCTTGACGGGCGCCAGTGACGTTCACGGCGACGACAACTTCTATGCACCCGTGCCGATTTCTGTGTCGCTTCAGGTGGGTTGGGGTTTCGAGACGATCGAGCACTGTTTCGCAGACCTTAGCAAGTGCTGTGAGACGTGGCTGTGGTAGGGGTTTGCTTGGGTTTCTGAGATAGATAACGGCGAGGACATGAACACTGAAGCCTGCACGTAGTAGACCGGAAGTATGTACTGAGGGAGGTAGGTTTTCAAAAAGGGCAGCGATTTAGAGATCAGTCTGATCAATCTATGGGGTGTGCCCCAAGCACTATTCAATTGTAAAAAAAAGAAAAAAAAGCCAACAAACAGAGTGCACTTCAAATTTTCCCATATGTGTCTTCAGAAGGTACTCAGATTTTGTAAGTGTAAAACAAAAAACGAAAATATTATTCCTATGCGGGTGAAGAAAATGGATGTTCAACTCGAAGAAGTTTTCAAATTTTTGTCCCATGTGGTGCCATCCATAAGTGGCAGCCTCAACCAAAATGGCTTGTTTTCGTTTCCCTCCCATGCTCTAAAAATACATGTTCCTTTTTTTTCTACAAACTTAGAAATTTGAGTATAAAAAATGCACTACCTAAAGGCACCTTTGTGAGAAGTTTAATTGCACTTTGTTCATTGGGAACACCCCGTAGTACTAAGCACTTTTTCAAGTTTAGGGGCAGTTGCAGTTACTTTTGTCTAGATAATGGTAGCAAGTGGAGTTCTGAGTCTCATGAGAAAGTTCATGGCAGCATTTATTGTGGCTCTTCGCTGCTATGAATTGTCTTTCAGTGGTCCTCTGGGCATCATTAGCTGGTGACACTTGGAGTGTTGCTGTAGCCGTAAATATGGATGTCATAATTTCGCAGCATCAGCGCAGTTGCCACAACTTCATTGGTGCGTGCAAAATTTTTAACGAAAACAACAAATATTTTATACCAGAATCGCTTGCGAAAACTGCGATTGTCGTTGATCACGTTTTATCGTTCTGTCACCGACTGGTTCCCATTGGCAAGAAAATCGAATGCCACTGCAAACTCAGTGTTTCCTACAATGTTTATGGAGAGTCTGACCCTGGGTGTGAGATTGAATCACACCAATATATATATAGATGCCAACCAGTTTTAGCCAGGGAAAATAAATTCTAACATATCTGAAACTTTCAGCATCTATGGTTCTACAGTGTGAAAGCTACGTTTGTAATTTGTGAAAGATTTGCTCAAAGATGCTGATTATTATCGGCTCCTTGCTTCATAATAATAGGTTCAGCCATGATGTCACTTCTAGGTCACATAAGTTAGTATCCCAAATTCAGCCATATATCTTGATCATCCGGATGGTGTCCACTATTTTGACAAGCGGTGCCGTCTTTCGTACAAGTTGGGAAAGTTGCAAATACACGACTTGCATGTGACATCATTGTACCATGCTGGTGATAATTTCTCCTTGTTCTTGCCGAGGCAAGCAAAATAATGGCATGATACGTATGCTGCCAAAGAGGAAAAAAATTAATACTTTTTGGGACAAATCATATAAATCAGATTTATTTGATTTAAATCTGATAATTTGATTTAAATCACCGTAGCTAGAAAATAGTGACTCTTTGTCACTACACGGCAGATTTATTGATCAATCTGCCCTATCACCGATAACAATGCGGAAGAAAGAAGTACTGTCAATTTCGAAGTACAGTTTAATTGACAACTTTTTATTGCTATAAACACCCGACATAAGGACAAAAGCAGCCTAATCTTTTTAGTTTGCTAAAAGTTTTAGGGGTGAAGCTCCGTAGGGCCTAGCCTTGTCCGTCCGGCGTCCGTGCTCACATCGATCTTGCTGGTGCTCGTGCTCATGATCGTGCTCGTAAGCTCACGTGCTCGTGTAAAAAAAAAAAAAAAAAATGATGAAAAAAAAAAAATGTTTGCGCAGTTGACAGGATTGGAACCTGTGCGGGGAGACCCCAATGGATTTCTAGTCTATCGCCTTAACCATTCGGCCACGGCTGCGGGACGAGTAGGGGGCTCTGAGATGCGGTAGTAACTCAAGAGCTGGGGATGTCATGGATGAAACGTTGCATGTATCCGCTCAACGTCTATACAGGAGAGGCCACTGCGGTCAAATGCATATATAATCGCGTTAAACTTCGCCTGCATTGGCTCACCGTTTATAGACGAGAGGGCGCTGCGGTCAAATGCTCAAATGCGTATATAACCATGTTCCATACCACACATTCTCTTTCTGACATGGATGAAAACGAATGAAAGGCTCGGCATGCTGCGGCTCAGCATCTACGCAGACAAGCACCACCAGAGCTTCGCCCCAATCAACATCATTCACCACATGGAGATGCGGTCATTTTTTTGTTATTAGCCTTTTCTTTTGCATTCCTATTTGCTTTCAATAAGACATTACTTTTCTACTTTTCCTTTCTTTCTCTTTTGTTTTGATTTGCTTTTAATCGGACATTACATAAGCGACAAATGAAATGGAAGGTTGAAAGAAAGCTCAATGCTCTGATTTGTTCAGAAGAGCACTGCTTTTTGCTCATGTTCAGCCTGGTGTAAATTCTTTTTACTTGATGATTATTTAATATCGGTACGAGAACAAAATGCACGAAAGTATCAAACATTAGATAAACAGTAAATAAAAACTTTTTTCTGGATTTTTGTTTTGTATGAAAGATTTGATTTAAAAGGGGCCCTGCAATCATATTTAGGCGTCTAACTTTTTTGCGGTTTCCTCGTCTTTTGGATTTCGGGCAAGCCAGCGGGCACGGAGAGAGTAACTAAATATCAGTGAGTCATATTTTAACCGGACGACGTGGGAACCTCCTCCACCTACAAGGGCGGCCCGCGTTGCCGAAAGCGCGCAATATGTGACGTCTTTGGTCCTGGGCTTACTACTAGTCAGAGCCGCTAAAAGCTTTTTTTTTTTAGTCGATACAAAATATAAGTGTCGCGAACCGTTTCAATTATGTATGAAAGTAGTTTTTGTTCAGTATTTTAGATCAGAAAAGAAACAAATTCAGTTTATAAATTACGGAAACGAGAAAAGACTTGTCGACAAACCCGCCACCAAGCGGCGAAAAAAACGGCGCATACTAGAAAGGGTTAGTGGGGATGAGGCTCTGACGAACGGCGAGTGTAGAAAGGTCCCGGATCTACGCGGCGGTGCCGCGGTCGTATACCGGTTTTGGGATCCGACCGGTTCCGAGCGTTCCGAAGGCTTTCGGCATTGGCTTGGCTGGCGATTTGGCCATTTGGCAGTATGGCAGCGCAAAGTGGCTCCCGTTCTGAACTGATCTTTACCCCGTGTTTGCTGTCGTTTGTGGCCAATGAAGTGTTATGCCAATTTAGTCTTTAATCGCACATCAAATGCAATGCGAGCCGCCCTGGCCGCCCACCTCATACAGCCTATCCAACACGTGCTTTAGTGGCGCCCTCTCCAGCCGTCGACACGGAGTGCGGCAGTCGTGAGCGCTCGATGAGCTCACTACTCCTCCTCTAGTTCACGGCCGCTCAAGCCAGGACCTAAGACGTCATGAAGGAGGTTTTGTTTGCTAATTTTTTTTAATTTGCCTATAACTTTTAAAATAAAGCGAAATTTGAGAAAAGAAAGTTTCTTGAAGTTACTATGTTCAGCGCGCTCAGGTTCAGTGCAAATAAAAAACTAGTCAAAAAGTTGTTGCAGGGCCCCTTTAAATTATTATAGTAAAACTGGCCTGATTTAAATTCCAAGATTATTTAAATTGTCATTTAAATTGCAATTTAAATCATCTTGATTTTTATTCACCACTCGGTATGCTGCAGAAGAGATGTGCTGATGCGACATCATCACAGTGGCAGCTGACGCGACATTGATGCGAGCCATGTACCGGGTGTTTCTGCGAATACTTTCAAAAATCCCTACCGAGGGGTGATTGAGAAAAACTCTTTTCAGGAAAAATCTGCCAGCCACAGTGGACATCAGGGATTGCAAAAAACCTGCTAAGTAGCTAGATTATTAACTAAATCTACCAATTCCCTTTTTAACAAGTGAAAACAAACATAGAGCCCCAATTAAGAAGTTGCTGAGCATCATTGAAAACCCCTAATCCAGTCATTTTTAGGAAGACTAGCAGCACACGTGAATTGTGAAGGTGCTCTTAAATTCCCACTCGTGCAACAACTGGAAGGCTGGCAATACAAATACACGGATAACAAGAAAATCGTCTGCATTTCCGTATTGCCATGAACGCCGAGAAACCGAAGCCCCCGTCGGCCGCCGCGCAGGGCTCGTCAACTGCCCTGCCCCAGGAGGAGGTGGAGAGGATGCCGCAGCCGCTGTCGACCTTCCGATCCAGTCGCTCTTCCTCGTCTTCCCTGGACCAGCTGGAGGAGCACTCCTCTCTGGACCAGCCGGAGGAACACCGGAAAGGTTCCTACGAGTCCCTCGACGAGCCCGAGGTGGACTACTCCGACGGCGAGCAGGCAACCGGCTCGGCCGGTTCCAGCCTTGTGGACGTGTCCAGGAGCTCGTCTGCGGGGGCGCAGCATCCCGAGCGGCCTGTGAGCGCTTCTTCTCTACCTCCGATCCTTTTGTTTCTTCTTTTTTTCGTTGTGGAATCGTATAGTTGCAACCGACTTGCTTTCTTGCATTGGCAGACGTCTATGACGAGCGGGGGTTAGAAACGGGAGCAGAGCGCGGCGGGGGCCCCGAGAGAAAGAATAAGAGAGAGAGAGAGAGCGACGGAAGAGCGGAGAAAGAAGGCAGACACTTAGTTAGACAGGTTCAATTAGCCACGACGGAAGTTGTTTGAGTGCTTGTCAACTATTTTTTTTCTTCGTACAGTGCACAATGCCGGTATTTTCCTGCAAAGTAAGCTGGAAAGGGGCTAGGTACCGACCTTATGGGTGTCATTTTGCTGCTTCTTTGTGTATAATAAGGCGTTGCCAATGATGTGGGCCCACCGAGACCACCAGTGTCTGCGTCTATGCCCACTGTCCTTGAGTGACCAGAACACTTGAGACCTTTTCCTGTCAATAGCTATATTAACTTTATGATAGTGTGTGTTGTGCACAAGTTAAAGAGCATTGCAGACTTGTCGCACAGTTAGTTGGCTTGGTTTCGGTTTCTGGCTTTTAGGCTGAGATGTTGGAATGGTCATGCTTTTTTGTTTGGTGGAAGGCATGTTAAGTGGTGCGCTTTGCACATCTTGTCTTGCACCGTCATTTGTAGTAGGGGACGAATTTTTTTTTTTTTTTGTCCTTTCACTACCAAAGGGTTTAGAACTAGTAGTGTGGTGGAGGGCTGTCGTTAAACATTTCATTGCGCAAAGCAATTTCTCCATGGGCAGTCAGTTTCCTTGAGCCGTTTGAAAGAACTCTATTTTGCTGTACTACCGCTTTAAGTCCCATTCACACGGTAGTATTTGCTTATGTTGCGTTACGTTATGGGAGCTTATGTCTGCTTATGCCGCTAGTCACCTGCTTATGCCACTAGTCCACGGGTGGCCAAACCGCGGCTCTTTGCTGGTCCAAGTGCGGCTCGCGGATCCCTCGTAGGGGGAGCCCCCCCCCCACCCCCCCTTTTCGCCCCTTTCCGCATTTCCCCAGGGAAAAAAAAAAAGAAAGAATTTCAGAATAAAGCACACTGCAGCTTGCAGTTTGACAGCCTTGTACTCCCATACGTACAGCCTTGTGCCCCCATATGTACCGTCAGACTCTGAACAAAAGTTAAATTTGCCCCCCCCCCCCCCCCCCCCCCCCCCCTTCCCCCCCCTCGGCTCTTAGAAGTTCCGCGGTTTTGTTTGCGGCTCTTAGGCCAGGCCAGCCTGGCCACCCCTGCACTAGTCATTGGTACTTCGTGCAAAGCGTGGCCACCAGTTCAAAGGCATGTGACATATGAAGCACGAATGTCCGGAGACTCGTAACCAGAATTCCGGGTTTTGAAGGTTTTTTGTTTTTTTAATTAATAAATGCTTTTTTATAATTTATTTTTTTACGGATTCAGTGTTTTTTTTATGTCGTACAAGAAATTTATGTTTATTGGGTCCCACGTTGAAGAAACAAGACATGGGCATGGAATTCCCCAAGCTTTAGAGAACATGCTCTTGCCCAGAATGGTTGGAAAGCATCCCGGTACCGATAAAAGTAGGAAACTGGATGAGGGGCCTGCTTTCCGAAGAAAGTAGAAGCCTCGTGGACAGTTCAGTGTGGCTGTGTTCGAGGTAAACACAAAATAAAATTGTGTTTGGAAGATTTTTGTTTGGGAAGCTCGGGTTTTTCTTGTGGAAGAAAAGCTCCAATTTGGGGTTTTCTGGCCCTTCCCGATTTTGATAAAACCGGTCTGGGGATTAATTTTCGGGATTCATGAGTATTTACCAGAAATGTAGGTCCCTTCCACTTCCCATGAATGAAGGACCAGCGAAGCTGTTATCTTCACGACGTCTAGGACGATGCCTAGAGGACGACGCCAAGGACGACCTCAAGGACGATGTCTAGGAGGACCTTGAGGATGACTTCTAGGACAACCTCGAGGAGAACGTCAAGGACGACTTTTAAGATGCCTAGGATGACCTCAAGGATGACTTCTAGGACGACCTTCAGGACAGCCTCTCGGACGACCTCAAGGACGACTTCTAGGACGATGCCTAGAGAAATTAAGCCTTTCCACTTTGGTGAAGACCAGAGTGGAAAGGCTAAAAAGGTTGCCGCCATCTATGAGCGATGGTGGTAGCTGCCCAAAGTTTTGTGTCGACATTTGTTCGCCCGCGGACACGATACTGGGGAAACTAGCCGTTAACAGCTCCGCTGTAAAAACGCAGAACCGTGCTCATAATCGGTGACGTAAGCAAATGATCCTGAGTGAACAGGCCCTTATGCTAAGTCTCCGTCTGTCCAGAGACGGGACGGCTCCCCGATCTACGCCAACTTCCCTCCTCTGCCAAGCCCGTCCAGTCCCCCGCAGCCGTCGCCAGAGGACCAGCCGCTGCGTTTCCTCAGCGACCACTGGGCGGAGTATGACGCCCGCCACGTGGGGCGCAAGTACTACTACAACTTCCGCACCGGGCAGCGCTCCTGGAAGCCTCCGCGGCGGAGGAACGAGGCACCGCGACCCCCTCTGGCTACGGTTTATCAACCTCCCGTAAGTAGGACGGATTCCTTAAGGTTCTAATGTAAACCCTCTTCCGCTTGAGTTGCCTCACGTCGGGAAAACTAGATTATTCCGAATTGGAAAATATTAATTCATGTTCGACTTTGAGTTTGTGAGTGAATGAGTTGTAGTTCGTGAATTCATGAGTTGAAGCTCATGAGTTCAGGTTCATGAGTTCATGTTTAGGATTTTGAGTTTGAGTTCTTGAATTTACAATTTTAGTTTGGTCTGAGCATGTGAGAGATTGAAAGTGAGTGCACAAGAGCATATAAAACTATATGTACTGCTTAAAGTAGATAGGAGCTTGTAATGAAGTTACGATACATGACAAGTTTTTAGTCGCCGATAAGCACCCTTTTGACGTTTGTACTGTATCCAGGAAGAGATATGTGCCTCAGTGTGCAGTGAGAGCACTGGCCACTGGGCTGTGTGTGGCTTCTATTCATAGCTTCCTCTGTTATGAAAGCGTTGCCGCCTCCTCCCTGTAAGATGCCCTAAACCTGAACAATAGCTTGTTTATAAAAATGTTGCCTCCTTTTCCATTAAAACGCCCAAACCTGAACGGTAGCTTGTACGATGCACACGCCTAGATTAATGCCTTTTGTAACCCAGGAAAGCAGCAGCAGCAATGATTTGTTCTATTGAACGTATGATTCTTTTTGGATGGGCTTTTTAATGCAGAATGCATTTTAAGATGAGCCAAGTTGGAATATGTGTAGGGTGTGTACTTTCCGGTGTGTATTTGTGAGAAAAATCGGCGGATGTTTTTCGGTGTTTATTTATTTTCGAAACACCGGTGTATTTCGGTGGAACGTCTCACGACGACGCTAAAATCGGTGATTATCGGTGGAAAAAAATGCGATTGATCACAGACCAGAGAGTTCTAATTTTATTCACATATTTCATACACTTCTCGAGAAAGCATATATTTCTCACACTTGGTTATTATAGTAGTTGCAAGCATACTTCGAGAGGCTTGCATCCGTCATGGCAGCACGTTCCTTGCGGTTCACAACCCGCAATTTTGAAAACACACGCTCCACATTTTCGCTGGACACAGGAAATCCCAAAATGTCCAGTCAGGCTTGGGACAGTAGTGGCCAGTCAGGTAAATGAAGTTTCCAAAATAGCACTGGATCAACGGTGCTAGTCACAGCATACTGGCGGTAACAAAGAAACTGATTCTGGGTCACTCAGCTAGCTCTCGTCTCGGAGACCAGCCGATAGATACTTTCATAAGGCACAAATCCCTGTGGCAGCTCCAGCCTCCACGCTTATGCACGAATTAACAATGGGCAAGCGGAGGCAGAACGACGATTCATCCATGAAATCTGTAGCGTAGTCATTCTGAGCTTTCCGCTTACTTCCCATCCTGGTGGCCTTCTATTCCGCGTGACGACGAAGGGAAGCAAGTCTCAGGTTGAGAAAACCCGCAGACGCGGGACGGACGCGTCTTCTCAAACACGTCTACAAATTTTCTTACAGAACGGGTCTTTTATAGACAGCCGAAAAACTCCCCCGCCAACAAAACCCTCTTTCCGTTTCCCCAAAAGCCCATGGAAACTAAACAGATAACAAGGAACCCATCTCAGTTCTGAAAGGTCGGTAGCCCTTTACGACACGGATGTTGGTAGTGTCTTCCAGGAACCACGGCAACCTCTGAATACATGGCTTGCACCGACATTACTTGGCCAGACACAATGGGGAAAAGGCACGTGAGAGCGTACCCTACGCTGCATTAATTTTTCCACAAAAGGGAGCCATGGGCGACACAATGGGGGAAAGGCGTGACACAATGGGGGAAAGGCGTGTGAGAGCTTAGCTTTCACTGCGTTAACTAGACGCTTTTCACCCCCAGAAAGGAGGGCGGACTGACGCCACGTGCAAGCCATGTATAGACACTGGAAGGAGGCTGGATCCACGAGATAACACGTTTGACGAACCTCTACGGGGAAAGGGTTTCGCTAGGTCGGAAACGTGCAACGACCGGTGTGTTTCGGTTTTAACCGGGGCGAAAATATCCAACCACCGGTGTTTTTCGGTTTTAACCGATTTTGTATTTTTTTCACCGACGGATGTTTATCGGTGTTTTTCGGTTAAAACAGGAAAATACACACCCTAGATATGTGTCACGTCACCATAGCCGTACCGTGCCATCATCTGCAAAATTTAACAGGCTAACATTCTGCTAAATTAAGCTGGCCCCCACCCCAGCTCACATGGCCATGCGACGGGTGTTGGGGGGGGGGGGCACAAGGTCACGTGACTTGCGGTACGAAGACATGGTGTCACGTGGCAGCATGGTGTCAACTTTAACAGATACTGTAAACGAGTAAACTTTCGCGGGGACCTAATTTTTGCGAATCGCCTACGATTCGCAAAAGATACATCCCGCGAACAATTTGGGCAATATGTGAACGCTACGGAAGCTAAACTCGATTTGCGGAAATTAAAACCCGCGAATAGTGTCAAATTTGCAGCTTTGGCCCGATTCGCAAAAATTCGAGCCCGCGAAAATTAAGTCGCTTACAGTATGCCTAAGTTGAGCGTAACGTGACATTTGGTCATCACTGTGTGACATTACATTACGTCGCATAACCACATTCTGTGACATCGAGTCATTACAGCTTGACACTACGACGTCATGCTGCACGGATTTCACAGATTTGCGTATATATCGTAAAATACTGAGTAGGTGCCCACCTAAAAGTTTAATATTATCTAAAAAAAATGGGGACGGATACTCATTAAGTGAAAAAGCAGAAGGAATGGTTGCTTGTTTTGACCTGACGGAACAGTATAGGAGTCTGGCAGAACACCTCATTTTTAAAGCAGCAAAGCTCCACCGTTTTACACCGGCTTGCGCGCATAAAGCTTCATTACTCTGCATTAGTGTGCTTTGACAAGCGGCTGGTGCAAAGAAAAATATCAGTTACCTTTATATTGGGAGGTGCGGTTATCGCGACAGGGGCACATGCTCAGTATTTTACTGCACATCGCTAGTGTATTCTTTGTACAGAACATTTGGGAAGTAGATCAAAGGAGAGTTTGCGTTCTTAAAGTGACGTCGTGCAACGTCAGTCAACTGACCTCATGATGTGACACTCGCGCATAGCATGGACCCAGCCTAGTCACAGCGCGATCTGTGCTTCTCAGTCTTTGTCGGTACAATTGAGCTAGTGTAACTTCTTTATTGTTGTGCGCTCTTCCAAAACGCAATGTCCACCGCCGCAGGAGTCTCAGCGGACGGTGGTGGTGCTGTCCTCCGCTTCGCCTCCGGCGTCTCGGCGCAAGGGCCCTCCCCCGCTGCCCCCCGCCAAGAAGCCGGGCCTGTCCCACAAGGGGTCCCTCTCCCTCCCGAGGGACTCCCTCCAAGAGAAGGCCGTCCAGCACAACGGGAACAGCACCTTCTACTACGGACGCGGAGCCAACGCGCCGTTCCAGGCGGCGTCCGAGAAGGTGGCATTGCGTTTGTTGTCTCTCCCCTCTTTCTCTTTTGTAAACATGTTACACAGTCTGCATATGCCTACGTTATTCGAGCAACATGCCCTTAATTGTCGAGGAATCCTGCGTGGAATTCGGAGTGTATGGGAACGTTTCAAACCTAATAGATAATTCTTGGCTTTTTTTTTTTTACCAATAAAAATAGTATGGGTCCCTTTTTGAGAACACAAGTTTTCATGACTATTATTAGTTAACTTAAAATATGTTTTTTGCAACAAAAAGAAATTTAACAATTCTGCGTTAATCCTCTGTACAGTCATAGCGATGGCCGCAACATGTCGTGGCAAAGTTGTTGGGCACCGCCGTCGTGTTCACACACCGGGGGGCAGTGGAGTGCATGAACAAAAGCGCTCAGAAAAAAAATATACTGTAAGAACCCGAGAGATAGCCCGCCTAAAATCGAGAGAAAATAGGGTGAAAATAAGGGGTGGGCTAACTTTCGGTGTGGAGTCAAGAGAAGTCGAAGAAATACCATTTTTAGATCATGCGCTTCTGCCAAACTTGTTATCGCTGCGATTGGCAGTGAAGCAAAGTAGGTGACTGTACTTCCCAGTCAGCAATGTTTGCTTATATCCCGCCACAGCTAACTGAAACATTTACGCCGAGGTCATCATTGATCCGAATATTATGATTACAGGGGTGGGCTATTTTTCGGTGTTTAAAAGAGAATAGCAATGCAAGCCGAAAATAGGCGTGGGTTACCTTTCAGGGTTGGTGCATCTCGGGACTTTTACGGTGCACCTGTTTTTTTCCAAACACTTCTCTTTTTTTTTTTTAGCTTATGAAAGCATTTTTTTTTTTTTGCACGAGCTTTTGAGTTTTTGGCATTGACAGTGCTACAAAACAATCTCGTTATGGGCTTTTTTTTTTTTTAACAGAGAGAGTGTGCAGTGGGCATTGGATACTACAAAAAGTGAAAGCCGTTTACAACTCTCTGTAACGCCGAATTGGAGCGCAGCTCTTGAGTAGGAGGAGGGAAGGGTACTGAGGGGAGGTTATATTCCTCCTCCTCCCTCGTGATCATGCCTGCTAGTCCTCCTCCCCTCCTCCTCCCCCTCCACCCCCTCTCTGTCCTTCACCGCCTCCTTGTCCTTCAAGCTCCTCCCGTCGCCTCGCCTCTGCCTCCTCGTCTCTCCTCCGCCTCCTCCTCCACCTTCGTACTCCTTTCCTTCTTGCCGCTCAAGAGCGGTCGGAAACAGGGACAAGAGATAAGAGTCTTTTAAAATAATTTTTCGGAGAAATGAAAATTCGGATTCGTCCGCTCTGCTCATCCTCCCTGCTCCCCTGCGTTCTCCTCTTCCCCTCGCGGGGGCCACGTGATCTCGGGGGGGAGGGGAGGGGAGGGGGTAGTCGCGTGACCCTCCCGAGTTCACGTGACCCCCCTCTGAAGTCATGTGACCCCCTCCCCCCGAGGTAACGTGACCCCGGGGGGTGACTCCCCTCCCCCCGCCGAAGTCACGTGACGCCCCGCCCAAGGTCATGTGACCCCCTCCCCCCGAGGTCACGTGACCCCCCGGACTGCCCTCCTCCTCCTCCCCCTTCTCCTCCTTGCCCCCCAAGGTCATGTGACCCCCTCCCCCCGAGGTCACGTGACCCCCTCGGACCATACTACATAATGAGGGGAGAAGGAGGGAGAGGAGGAGGAGAGGGAAGAGGAGGAGGGGAGGAGGTGGAGGAGGAGGAGGAGGGGGAGGGGTGCGGTTACACCGACGGCGACGCCGACGCCGACGCCGCTCAGGCTGGAAACGGGCCCCTAAGAGCTGCGCTCTAAAACCATAGTTTTAGAGCGGGTTATTAATGCTGTGGCGTAGCCCGGCGTTAATGCCTTCGCTTTGCACGCAACAGACCCAGGTTCAAATCTCGCTTGCGACAGGCAATCTTTTTCAAGGATTTGACCATTATACTACTTGAGAATGCCATGTGCTTCATAAGTTCACTAGGAGCACTAGCTAAAGATATTGGTAGCAAATTCATTCCTAGAGCCATCTTTATGAAATGGAATAACTCGAGCATGTTACCAATAGTCGGGTACTTCCCGAGTTTCTAAGGAATTGTTTATAAATAAAAGCGAGGACATAAGAACATTCATCTTTACCAAGTTTGAGGAGTTTCAAACAAATGTTGTCCGGTCCTGGAGCTGAGCTTACTGTTAGGTCATCAAATAGTTTACGTAAATGTATCTTTGGCAATAATTTTATATCCTTGAAACGTTGGTATGGTGACAAATCACATGCATTGGGGTGAAGTTGTGCATTTTAAGACCACCCCCATAGACTAGCCTAAAATGTCGGAAATCCTTAAAATCCCAAGGCTCAATAAAAAAAAAAAAAAGAGCCTCGTTTTGTCTTTTCTGTTTGGCTCATCTAGTAGAAAATATGTTGGACTTTGCAAAGATAGTTTTTTGAGTACATAAGATCCTCTGCATATTAAAGAAATTTGGAGAAGATCAGAAGAAATTCATCTACTTAGCTGAACAAATCTTAGACCAAACCGACTTCAAGAACAATGACTTTAGGTGAAAATTTCTTTGGATGAGCCTTCTTTAGTTGAAACAGGACAAGGGAATGTAGTCTGCATGGCGGGCTAGAGGCAAATCAGTGTTTCAAAGCACACTCCATTACATATGTGGCATACTACACCGTCAAAGTTTCTGGCCTAAGTGCAAGGTTTTAACGAGCACTTCTCTCGTACAACAGCACATGCAAATGAAACGCTAGATAAAGCCGCACAATTGCGCAAGAAGTTCTTGACAGCATTGTACTATACAGGGGAAGAGAAGTGCCTAAGTGAAAGGCAAACGAAAGCTGCAGTTAAGATGACGTTCTAAAGATGCAGTGCACGAAGTCGAAACGCCTGTTTACTTTCTTCTGCACTTGTTTCTACTATGAGCTCAAAAAATTCGAATTTTCTCCCGACGTCGGTGATATTCCGCTCACCTGAAATTCTGCGTGCCCTTCTCCCACGCGCAGGACTTCCTCATTGTTGCCATATCCTTTGTTGTAGACCTCCGAATGCACAAACAAACACATCTGCACCTTCCGGCGCTCACCGCCCGGCCTAGCAAACATCGCAGAAGCTGCACACAGTTCGAGCCAAACACATTTTTTTAGGTTTCTGGGAACGGCCGGATGACATCAGCGTGGCAACAGCCAAATTGGGGGCTGCAATGACCCCGACGACAGTGCCATCGGTCGCAACGAGAGAGAAAAAAAAAAGTTCAACGTTTGGCCACCGCGTTGCACGCACAAAGAAAACGACCGCATCAGTCCCGGCGTCTCAAAACTGGAAGTTGAAAGGGTTTGCTTCCTGGCGTCCCTATGCTCGCTTCTCGAAGGAAGTCAGATTTCCTGTCTAGATGCGGGGCGGGGTGAGGGGTGGCCCGACTTCCCGCGAGGTGTGTTGACGCGCGTTTCGCCCTGCGTCGTTTCGTACCCGGTCTGCAAACCCGTTGGGTCTCGGAGGGGGTGAGCGTGTGTCATTGGGATGGATGCGTTTTTCAAGAGCTTTCTGGGGAGGACCAGCTCGTACGAGCTTGAATGTCTCACTGCGGGCTCGGTGGAGAGCAGGGATTCGGAGTATGAGTTCTTCTTCGCTCCCCTGGAGACTATGTCGTCGTCATCGTCGAGTTTGTCCGAGGAAGAGGTTTGTTTTCGAGAGCTGTCCTGACCACTCGTTGTCCTTTGATTTTGTTCTTATCTCGGTATTCTTTTTGGTGTCCGAACTGCCTCCTTGCTCGAGTTCGAAGCCCTTTCGCTCGTCTTAACGCATGTTGGGTGTGAGTTGTAGTATTGGTGATGTTGCTCATGTGACTCATTGCTCTAGTATTGCTTTGGATGTGTCGTGAGTGTCCACATATTGGTGTTCGCGTACCCTGGAAGGAGGGGGCGTTGGCACGCTGCAGTTTATTTGTAAGCAAATTCGTGGTGCCACCTATAGAGATATTGCGTCACTCTTTCTGTTTGCCGAGTTTAGCTTTTTATTTACGTTGATTCCTTCTCAATCTGCATAGATTTGGGTAGGTGCTGTTTGAGCATTCGTAAAAAACTGCAGGGGTGGTACACTTGTGCCAATTGGGACATTTTGATAAATTTACATTTGCCTGCACACAAATACCAAAGTTTGTCAGTCTCTAAACGGATTGTTTTATAGATGATTCGGCATTCTGGATTGGCAGCTTGGTCGAGACCCGGTTTTGTTTGGCAACGTTTTCACCGGGGCCACCCAGCCATCCAATTGAACCATTGACAATACCTACATTATTTTGTGGACTCTGCCGTAACTAACTCCAGTCCAGTTCAGTTCACCCTAATTGGTTTATGGGGGGTACTGTATCTGAACCAGCCCAAATCGTCTTTTTTTCCTGCTTTTGCTTAGTAAGAAGGTGGAACTCGCACGTGGTTCTCATTTCCTTAGCATGCTCGGTGGGGAATTGGAGTGTTGCGAATAGTTGCTTGTTTTATTTTTTTATCAAATGCTGCAACTTTTGATCAAGTGTCTGTGTTAAACACCCACAATTGTTTTGGCCATAAAGCTTAAAACTTTGTTTCATTTCCTAAATTGCTATTGTTTCAGTTTATTGCGCATCTGAGCTTAATCAATTGCAATCGAGAACTCGTCGCTTACTTACAGTATCCACTTTAAACATCACTTACCACATCAGTATTGCCTTAGCTGAGACCAGACTTATTCTTTAATGTGCTTGAAAATGTTATGGCAACCACAGTTGCTGACATTCTGCTCATTTAATTTCCTCTCTACTACGTTCTCTCACTCACATGCTTTCCAAGATTGAGGAACTTATGATGAGTTAAAGGCGCAGATTTAAACGTGAGAAAGCTTTAGCGTAAATAAAATGGTTGTTGCAGAGCATGTTGGCTCATCAGAAAAATGCAAATTTTCATGTCTCGCGGGAAATTGACTTGTAATGTAAATTCAACTCTAAATTGGCACTATGCACCAATCTCTGGTCGATGATAGGCAGGTTTTGTAGATTGTTTTCGCCGTCCCTCGATACTCTCCTCAGCCCGTTATGAAAGCCTGAACCCTTCTACGCTGTGTTGCTCCACGGCTCAATATATTGGTGGATATATGGACGGATTGATCAATCAATTGGCTAATCACCCGATAATTCGACAGTGGTACAGCTCCACCGAGGATGCGGGCAAAGCGTCTCAGCCGGACCGGCCCAAGCTGTCGGCGTCCAGCTCCCTGGAGGAAGACCCAGAGGCCAGGGGGCGCGACCTGACAACCTTCTCTTCCTCGACTTCCTCGCTCAACGCCATGCCCGGCTCCCGTGCCACCCAGTGCCTGACGCCGAAACTAGGCCGACTCAAGCCCACGCCCCCACCCACTCTGCCCCTGGTGTCGTCGACCACAGCAGACGCCAACGCCAAACACGCTCGAGCGCTCCGGACGCGCTCCATGATTCTCCCGGAGGACTTCACCCTGCGAGGCAGTGCCATCGCGGATGCCATCGAGAGTCTGGATGCCTTTGAGGCGAGTCCTTTTTGCTTTGTGTCCTCCATTGGCCTTAGGCTCATCTAATAAGCCTGCACCTCCTGCACCAGCTATATCCGTGCACACTGCCACATTCAATTCACGAGCGCAGTCTATCTTAAGACTCGCACCGGAACTATGTTGCCCAACACATTTTTTTACTGCGCTCCGCTTTTCTGCATCTGTGTAAGCAGGTGCAGGTAAATGAAGCAATTTCATTCTTGCATCCTGGGGTTCCGATTTTGGTCCTGGGTTAGAACGAGGGCTTTCTCGCCTGCTAATTTGACGCGCCGTCATAGCTTTTTTTCTGTACAAGTGCAATCGACCAATGAGGAATTTTCTTCCCATTTACAAGTTTGCGATTGGGCGTTACTTTAGTGAGAGCGTCCCACTAACCGACAGATGGTGAGAAGTGTCTTCCATATACTTGTCTCATGTGCTCCTCACTGCATCAGTGGATGTCAGCTCGTGTGTGGCAGTGTAACAACTTGAAACTTCTAAGGTAAGCATTGGTTGCCGATCAGCATGAAATAGTAGATGATCACAATTTCAGCCTGCATCCGATATCGCCTTACCGCGGCACTCTGTTCATAGCAGTTGATCAACTTTTTTCAGTTCGTTAGCAGGCAACATACATTTTTTTCTTGTTTTATTTTCAGCTGCAAATGGCACTTCGTAGCAGAATCACCCTATTCTTGGCTTAGGTTAGCGAGCGAACCGTCTGAAACAATAGCTAAGCTCGCTTCATGAGAGGAAAGTTAGATACCACTTTCACTCTGGCAGTGCCAAAAATTGGACCCCTATGACTAAAAACGGATGTCGGCACGATTGTCAAAGAGTGTTGTAATGATCACTTGGATCAGGGCACAGGGTTAAAGGTACTGAGTTTCGCCCATGCTCTGGAAGCTGTAGGATTGGACGAGTTAAATAGTGGTAGGATGGAGCACGAGTTTTAAAACTTTAGATCTAAAGGGAACTCTAGTCACTCTGAAAGACGGCCAAGGAACTTGCTTCGGTGTGTTCCTCCAATAAAGTTGCCGACGGGCTTGGAAACATGTTGAAGTGGACATGTTTGACTTAGAGCAGTTATTTGATGTGTACATAACTTAGTTGTGCTCAAAGTGTCCTAACTAAAAAGTTTAACCTGGAGTCGGGGATGAGTGAATATAGACGCTTTGCAGCAGCTGTGCATGGATGCCGCCATAACTGACCTTCAGTTTTTGTTTCCTCTTATTTCGTTTATTTCACTTCATCATTACCATAGCAGGCCAGGTTATTGCCATATTAGATTCAATTGTGCCCTTTTCTAAAGCATCGTCCTTTGTAGAGGATCGTCAACTACCGTCTCAGTTGGTCAGCATCTCGGTAAGACAAGAGAAGGTCAGCAATGGCGGCTGTAATTTGGCGCGTGTGTAAAGTGTCTATATTTGGGGACCTCAGTAACCCCTGGGGCAGGAGTTCTCAAATGTTTCGATCTTGAGAAACACCTTTCTGTCTTGAATCATAGCCAAGGAACCTTTCCCGATGTCGGCACTGAGGCAGTAAATCGGTTCAGAATTCTAGACTTCGCAAGCAACGATGCTCTGACTGGGGGAGTGTTTGGCACATAGTTGGGCATTAGTGACTGGCTTAGACCTTGTGAAACTGAAAGAACATTTTACAAGGGGCCAAGGAAATTTGGGAACTGCTAAGGGGGCTCTGGGGGACCTGCTAAGAACCCAGTTCCGGAACCCACGGCCTGGGTAATACCCGGAGAACGCCCATGATCCCGGTCCCACGGCTGCTCATGGGTTTGAGAGTGAAGAAAAATTGGACAAGAACAGTTGCCGGACGTAGCGGGGGCTCGGCAAAAAACGTTTGTTTTGTGGATGTGGGCTGCTTGCAGATGGTGACGCGGCAGGGAACGCTGAACAAAACCGAGCTGGTGAGGGGCGGCAAGAAGCAGAAGAAGAGCTGGACGCCCACCTTTGTGGTGCTTACCAACCGGAACCTATTCCTCTACAAGGACATCAACTCAGCCCAAGAGGTGGGGAACTCACCTTCATTCGTGTTTCTCCCCGCACTATGCTCGCCTGCTTTTAACATTTTTACTCGCATTCCTGTTGGAAGGTTATAGCTTTCTCTTGATTGTGCTCTAGCCGCCAAATCTGTTTCGACACTTAGGAAGTTGACTAGCATGCTGGAACTGTTCCAAGAAACTAGCATGTCTTTTCTCTGACTGCAGCAAAGGAAAATATAATGTGATAGCATTGGGGATTCTTTGTGTCTCTTTGGACCTCTATTGAGCTTGGCAGACTCAATTTTCCTCAGCATGGCACCGTTTTCTTGCCAATTATTCCTAAATTGAATTGATGTACAATAATATACACTGTTTCTAGTTTTCCCACTATATTTAGCAGAGAAGGGCTTCCCTTTATGTTTAGTGGGCACATTGAATTGGTTCATAATTACTATATACCAATTCTGTTTGTTTACTAAATATAGGCACTGTCGAGATCGGTTATAACAAAGTCAACGGGAATCGAAAATCACTTCGCTATATCCGCTTCTTCGTTGTAGTATCTGGACTCCTAAAAGTACCCCCCCCCCCCCCCCCCCCCCCCCCCCAAAAAAAAAAAAAAAGATAACACTGGCCGTTACTGGTACATGTTTATCGTGCCTGTAGAAAGTGGTCAAAGCTCCCTTGCATGTGCTTTCTGCTAGATCGAAGCTGCTTCTCGCCAACTGCGAGAAGCTATGATCGAGAAAAGATCTCGCAAGCTACGTATGGACTGTGTAGGCAGCTGCGACTGCTACCGCGGAGGACGCTGGTGGTGAACGGGATTCCTTACGTTTATGCATACTTCGATGAGGATGGCACGCTTTTGTTTCAAGGAGATCGCCTTCGATTTCCCCGCTGAGGTGCCGGCGGTGCAGGGACTCTCCATTGTTGAGCGGCGATGACTCACCGAATCGGTGCTTCAGCGAAGTTAGACTTCCGCACAAGAGCGACCATACCAACCAGCGATGCCGACATGAAACACAAAGCAAACAAAGAAGCGCGCACGGCACCGAGTTCGTGCTCAAGCTTGTCTTTCGTCGGTATAGAGAGCCTAGATTTAAGAGAAAGGCAACTGCTCGGTCGTGGTCATGTGGTTTGTGAGCCGTGTTTGCAAAATGAGTTGCAGCCTGCAAGGAGTTGGAACTCAAAGCGTTCACCTTCTGCAAATGCGTCCGCCTCTGCCCTGTTTTCTCACCATACTGGCCATGCGACAATGAAATGCATCTGTACAAAGGTCACTCCTGGGTGTCTGCCTTTAAAGGCAGATAGATGCCCAAGAGGCGTCTGCCATTGAATTGCAAATGCTCTCAATGGTTAGAGTTGCTCCCTCTCTTAAGGGGAGGCACGGCCTAGGAATCGCGATTTTTTCAAAAAAGTCACATTTTTGGAAAATAGGCTGACCAGCTTTTACAACTCATAAAGAATGCTGTCCAAAAATTTTATTCCTGTAAGTAAAGTATTTACTCCGAAATAAATTATTTTTGAAGTGCTGGCGGCTGCACGTGCACGCCAATGACGCGGCCGATTACGAAAATGTGCCATTTTCAAAGCGCGCTCCCTCCGCGTTTCTTAGGACTAGCTTGGCAGGCCCCCCTTGTTGGAATGAGTGTCTCGCCCTCTTTCGTTCTGTTCGCAGCATTGTTCGCGATATCGTGCTCACAAACCGTAACACCCCGTAGAAAACATAGCTGTGCACGCTCTTATTGGTCAAGCTGGCGAAACAAGAGCTCTGATTCGCTAGGACGAGCCACGTCACGTGGCTCGTCCTAGCGAATCAGGAAGCTCTATTGGAAATGGGCATACAGCCAGGGAGCTACCAAGCCTCATACAAAGAGAGGGCCACCAAGATGAAGGTTGCGAAGGCCCAAGTGAAAGCGCTCGAGTCCTCCAAGATGTCCCACAAACAAAAGGGAGATGGAAGCTGTGGCCAAGGCACAGAGGGACCGTGCAGAGGAAGGAGTGACATATGCCCCTGGAGCATTTTAGATGAAATGGCAAGCCCCATCTAAACTAAAACAGTGTTCGAACTTTCAAACCCGTTTTTCTCAGCTTCATGTTTTCACCATTTTTTCACAGCTCTAAAACTATCGTTTAATGAGTTAAGCGCCCCCAAGTCTAATGTATGGCTTTTTTGGCATGAAATTTACTGGAGAACTCGGCTATGGGCTTACTTTTTGCAAATTGTTATTTCTTCACACAAAAATGTTGACGTTTGTGAAACAAGAAAAAAATTAAAAATTCATACCATTATTGAAAGTTAATTTTTACATGAAATATGGCCTTAAAAATTATTTCAAGCTTACTACCGATTAGTTTAGCCATTCAGCGTTATATCCCAACAAAGAAATTGTGCCTTTTTATTCATATTTTGAAACAATAGTTTTTTTCCTTTGGCACTGTTACATGTCAATTTTTTTCAACGAATAAGGCTGTAACTTGTCAAAAAAATAAACCTTTTTGGTTGAAAGTTGGTGTAGCCTCCTAAGTTTTGACGTTTAACATACCCTAAAAATTTCATTGACCTGGCACAAATACTTAAAAAGTAGACCCTCCAAGGGAGTGCCTCCCCTTAAATATAAGCTGTCTCTGTCATCGCCGCCGGTGCGTTGTTATTATAGCGCTCCGAACGGCCCTTTCCGCATGCCTTAACGGCTTCAATGCGTGTGATGCGGAAAAGCAGCTTCTCACGTAAGGAGCGGGAGAGCAGACGATGATGCAGAGGCTGCCACCGGCAGCCTTTGTAGCATGTCCGCAGCCCATTCTGGGAGGCTGCTCGGCCGCGACGGCAATGTGCAGCGGTCTGCGAGTTAATAAACTTTCCAAAATTTATTGTTTTTTTTTTAATTATCACAAAATTTCTTTTGGCTATATTCGTGGGAGCCACTCAATTTCCTTTGCTCAAAAGAAACTTAAATGCATTGAAAAAGTCCAAAAGGGAATGGGAAATTGTGATAGCTTCACTGTAGCCGCTATTTCGTTATAACCGATTTCATTATAACCGTTCTCGACAGTATTGAGTTGTGACAGACGAACATGCGCAATCTCATGGGGCCCTAGAAATGCTCTCACATTAAGGAAAGGAGCGGAGGTGATTCGCCCGAGTGAATGCAAGTTCCATCTTCGAATTTGCATATGCCCTCCTTAATTGTCACATTGTAAGCAAGTGGTGTTGTTATGTGCATAGTCTGCATCGCTTTTACCGAATTGCACATTATCCTTACAAAGGGCGTCTGGTGTTTTTTATTAGTGGTAAAAGAAATTTTGAAGTGTCCAAACTCACCCCTGTATGTTTGTGAAATTATTTGGTTTGAAGTTTCACTGAAGTTTTGTTTTTTCTGGTTTAGAAGCCTCCCGGGAAAAGCGCCGAGCTCCAGATCAACCTAGCCGGAGCCGTCATTGACTGGAGCCCAGAGAAGTCGAAGCGCCGTAATGTCTTCCAGGTGAGCTCTACATCCTGCTCATAGTGCACTGCTGTTATGTCCCCGTCCCACTAGAGCCGTCATTCTCAACCACCAATGTTTCGAGGATGCTTTCTGAACCAGTGGAAGTGATGGGGGACCCCATTCACTTGGGAGGAGGGGAGATAATAAGTGATTACGATGGTAAAAGGGTACAAAGAGGAAATCCAATGCACGCAAGCCAAATTTGAAGCTGTGAAACATGGACTAATCAACCCTACTTACTCGGTGTGCATGTAAAGCAATCTACATAATATATGTATATTATTGCTTAGTTGAGGGCTTTGGGGATTCTAAGAAGGCCTTCAGGGACCCGAAAGGGTCCGCAGACTCCCATTCGAGAACCATTGCACTAGAGCGAGAAGCAAAAATGACCGACATCGACGAGTCTCGAGTACGTGCACCATGCATGCGAAGGTGTCTTTGGCAGGCCTCCAATCACTTGTGCTTACCTCACGAGCACCAAGAGACCGCAAGCCTGCCTAAGGTACACTGCACAACACTGTTAGTGCGTATAAGCAATCGTCAATTGTTACCATTTTTTTTTCTTATTTCTAAGGGTTGTCTTCAAAAGTAATATGGTGGTGGAAAGTGCTCACTTGGTACACTAACCTCAGACCGAAAACTTGGAACCTGACAATACCGGTTTTCAAACATAATCGAAAAAATCGCATATGTCTCGTTTGCACCATCAGTGTCACGCACTGCACGTTTGTGTGCATGTTGCATTTAAACGAGGCTCCTCGGTGTCGGTTGTTTTTGTTTGTCGACCTAGTGGGACTCGGGCATTGGGACCCGGTTGTAGCTTGCACTTCCTTACTTTTCCGAAAAAAGAAAAAAAATATGCGGCCTTTTGCTAAAGTTATTTCTTATCCTCGGTCCATGCTGTGCCTTCTCAACTCTTACAAAAACCATTCAAAATGTAATTTATATGAACCCTTCTTTTGTGAGAAGTTGTGTCCCTTTTTGTTCGCTCTTCCCTGCCGCTAGGAGCGCTCGAGTCGGGTTATCGAATCGGAATTGGCAAGCTGGTAAATGACTTCGAATCCTAGTTATTACTTGCACAAGGCTTTCAAGCACTGGAACGTATGCTTAAGCCTTGCTTCACTGTCATGGGTGAATATCGAAAGAGTTAAAGGAGGTTGCAGAAGGCATTCTCCTAGTAATCCTACGAAAGCTTCAAAGAATAATAGGTTGAAATACCCGTCGAAAGTCAAATAGTTTCTGGGGTGGGGGAGATGAGACAGGAAATGCTGCAGGAAGTGATAAGGGAAATAAGGCAAGCAAAAAGAAAGTATGCTACCGGTCCAACAACGTAAACATGGGTCACTTATCCGAGTTGAGGAAAAAAGGACAAAGTGAGGAACTAAAAATTGCTTTACATAAGTTGATGGACCGTGGAAGACCTTTCATTTGCGATGCAAATGTAAAAAGTGGGGTCATAGAAGCACTCGGCTTGAGCCCTTGTTGAAGATCGGCGTGCGAGTAACGGAGTAATCAAACAACGGAGTTTTGCTCTGAGGTGTGGATCAAACATAATGAAGTTCTGAAGTCACTTGCACCACGTCACAGGCATTGGCCAGTCCCCCAGCTCGTGGGAAGCCGCGGAGAATCTGCGACCGGATCACAGAATATCCATCATGCCGTCGGAGCGACCGGTCCCACCGTTTGGGAGGGATTATTTACGCAGATTGTGTTTTATCAGCCAATTTTCATTGAGTTCTGTAACGTTTGGCTGTAACAATCAGTTCTGACGAAAAACCAACACCGAAAAGCGTTACACATATGGGGAACCATATAAGACGACTTGAGTCCCCTGGCAGGATTTGAACTCGCCACCTTGACATTGTAAGCCAAGTGCTTCGCCGACCGAGCTATTCGGGGTAGGTGGTACGGACCACGCAAAAGAGAGCTCATTTCCGTAGTGTGTGCTTCGCGACCTTTATGGTCCTGTAGCGCCATCTCATGCCGTGTCAGAACTGAAAGCGAATCTTCGGTAAGTGATGCCATTCAGTCGCCCTTCTCTTCTTCCCTGGGAGATTCATCATACATTCTGTGCTTACCAGTCTCTGTCAGCATGATCAAGCTTGTATATATCTTTTCTTGTGTATTTATTTATTTATTTTAATACCCTCAGGGTCCATAGGGCATTGACCTGGAGGGATGGGGGGGGCGTCTTCCTTTGTTTTTACAGCAGAGCTGTTAAGGGCTAGTTTCCCCAGGATTGTGTCTGTCAGCAAACAAATGATGACACAGAACTCTGGTCAGCTTCCGCCATCTATGAGCAACGGCGGCAGCCAGACAACCGGCTTGCTGGTTGTCTCGTTGCCGCCGTCGCTCTAGATGGCGGCAACCTTTCGAGCCTTTCCACTCAGGCTTGCCGACTTGCGGCCGGCCATTACTTCATTCCCCCCATAGTACAGCTTTGCTGGTCTTCCTTCTTCACCAGAGTGGAAAGGCTGAAAGTTTTTTCCCTTCATTTTGTTCGATAAGCCCCCAAAGGTTGCAAAGGAAAAAAAGAAAAAGACTGCCGACTCAACTACATGCGGCTCTCTCGTGTGAATGCTCGCTCCGATTTTCTGAACTGCCACCTCTTTCTTGTGGCATTTATTGTCGCAGCTCTACACCATACTTGGTTTTCCCAGGAGATAAAAATTTGCCACGCGAATACACCGTAAATGGCGTCTCTTTCTCTCTGGGTGATGTTGCAGCTGAGCACGACAGCGGGGCAGAAGGTGCTTCTCCAGGACGACAATGTGCAGACAAGCAAGGAGTGGTTCGACACCATCTCTGCCGCCATCAGGAGACTGGTGAGCTTGCGCCTTTGATAACCTCCACGTACGCACATTGGGCACTGATTACTGAGTGCTTTCAGCCACCTCGGTTACTCTTGAGGCAAAGCGCTGGCCTATCGGTCTCCGGGTGGCAGGTTCAAATCCCGGCCGAGGTTCTTGCGGTTTGATGGGGGCTCATTGAGAAGAAGGCGCCGTGTAACCGAGATTTCAGTTTCAAGTCAGAAGATCCTTGGGGGGTCGAAAGGAATCATCAGTCTTCCGCCGAGGCATGCTAGATGCTTTCTGTTGGTTTGGCACATAACCTCCCCCCCCCTTTCCCCGCCCAAATTTGAACCAAGTATTTTCTTGCTTTTGGGAGTCATTCAGTCTGCCTGTATGAGATCGTCAGGCTAAGCGAAAATGCAGTTGTGCACAGCAATCGCCTTACGGGATGGCTTCATATGACACACTAATGCCACAAAATTTTTCGCTGTGCCCTGTGTTAAACCTGTTTGTAGAAGTCGCTTAGAAGTCTGTGTTTAATTTGTGCCGACTCTGTTGTGGTACAAGTCCTCGAGAAACTGTTCATAAAAAATCTTGTGTATGTCAGTGGCACGGGGTAATCCAAACACGGCTTTTGGGCATGCCTATTTGCACGTAGACATCCTATGGACCAGGTTTCTTTTGTGAATCTTTGGTGTGGCAGTCATTTTCTATTGCAGGTATAACTCAAGTCTAGTAACGTCTAAAAAACGCTCGTAATAAATTGAGTTTTTTTGTTTAATTAAGGTGTTTTTAGACTGCGAAAAAGTTCAGAAAGATTGGCAGAGGAGGTGTAAATGTGCTATGCTGTGATATTAGCACCAATGACTACTTGTTCATGTTGCCACGCTTTTTTAATGCTGAATGCATTTTAAACGAGCCGAAGTTGGGATAGCCAAGCAATAAGAAATCTCTTCCGGTCTTATAATTTGCACATAAAGTGGTGCAGAAGCCTGCGGACGTTTTTAAACAATAGTGCATTGCACAAGGGAGTGTTCGGCTCATGGTTATGCTTCAGTGGCTGCTTCAAGTCTGTAGAAATGGTGCTTAAACCGGAAAATTGTTGCATTTAAGGCAGGGACGGTCAAGGAAATTCAGGCGCTTGGGGAACCCCTGGTTTCCTAGGAAACCATGTCATACCTTGTTGCATCGTAATCAGCTACATTTAGTGGTCTAACTGCCTGCTAAATTTAGCGAGGTACTACGTGGTCACATGCTCGGTGCCACCATGTGTTACATCGTCACGTGACCGTGCGACGTGCCTCAGGTTATGCAATGTCACTTTCTCGCACTACTCGCGACGCGAAGTTGTGGTGTCACGTGAAATTGCGGTGGTCGACATTCTTGTTAGAACCGGAAACACTGGGTGCCAGGTTGTGGGGTAACGTGACGTTGCATCGTGCAACGTCGGGTCATGCGACACTGACTTGACACCATGACATGGTGCGACACAAGGCTGCCCAGATATGCGTATATATCGCTTATGCATTCTGCATATGGCGTGTTTGTGCGATAGATCAAAGCTTGTGCCTTAATCTTTTAACCACGTTACAGCCCAACGGCCTAGGACTCGTGATGGGCTGGAGACCAGAGGACATCCCGTCGTCCGTCCCCGAGGAATCCCCGAGCCACCAGTCCGCCCCACAGCCCACGCCAGAAGCCACCCCTCCCCAGACCACATCCTCCAAGTGGGGAAAGAAGCCGAGCCGATCCAAGTCAATCAAACAGCATCAGCAAGCCGCCCGCTCCCCGCCATTGTCGTGTGATGCAGCGGCTTCGGCCCTGGATTCCGGCGGCGGCGGGCCGCCAAGTCCCCAGGAGCGTAAAAACCGCATCAGGGACAAGCTGCGCCACTTCTTTGTGCGGCGTCCAACCCTAGAGAGCCTGCAGGAGAAAGGCATCTTCAAGGACGAGCCTGTGTTCGGCTGCAACCTGGCCCACCTGTGCGAGAGGGACCGGAGCAGCGTGCCACGCTTTGTGCGGGAGTGCATCCTCGAGATCGAGAGGAGAGGTGGGAAACTCTCAAATTCTCGCGGCTTTCCATGCTTTGTTGTTTCCTTGTTCCTTTCTGTGTTTCGCAACTGGCAGAATCGACCAACTTCAGCCCTACTGTCCAGAATTTTTGACGAAATAAAACGTAAGCTGTGGCAGCAAAATGATTACACTTAAACTATCATATTTGCTAGATTGGTTCCCAAGGCCATAAAGGATTAAAACATAGTTAGTGAAAAAATGGGAAAATATTTCTCACGGGTTTTTTGGTGATGCCTACTTTCATCAGGGTAATGACGCGGGGTAAAAATTTTGACGATAAAGTTGAGGGTTCAGCAAATGCACTGCCCACTACATGGGTTATCTGTTTGCCTTTTTGACGATTGCATCTGTCATCATTTTTAACATACAATACATGACAAAAGTGAGACGTGAAAGCGAGATTCAAAGGCGTTACATTTGAGAGAACAATAGGTAGTGTCACCACCGCAGCAGGGTTTCCTTGTGGGTGGAATCTCGCTCCCATTGGCTGGCATCAGCAATTGTGCAACCATAGTGACAACCAATGGCGTTCTCTTCAGAAGCGGTACGAGTCTCGGTACCTAAGTGATTGCACCAAGATTTACCAACCCAAATACAGTAGACTCGTGAGAGTTCAAACTGATGTTTCATACTTCTGGTTGATTCAGGCAAAATTCAAAATTTTGGTTGTCCCGCTATGTGTTAATGCGAGAGCATTAACTGTCCCATGGAGCGAGCTGACGTCATCAGTTTGAAGCTCGAAAACGGCAGATAGTTTCCGCGATTTCGCCTTCGGTTCCCTTGGCTGGTGCGCGTCAACGGGGCTCCCATTGGCCGCTGCGCTCGTCAGTTTCCACGACTGCTCACCCCATGGTGCTGCATGTCCATCAGCGCACGCGTCCAAGGTCACCAGGGGAGCACGCGCGCTGACCAGCGACAAAACGTGTGCAGCAGACGAAAAATTGACCGCATCTCCTCGTGGTGAATGATGTTGATTGGGGCAAAGCTCTGGTGGTGCTTGTCTGTGTAGACGCTGAGCCGCAGCATGCCGAGCCTTTCGTTTGTTTTCATCCATGTCAGAAAGAGAATGTGTGGTATGGAGCGTGGTTATATACGCATTTGAGCATCTGACCGCAGCGCCCTCTCGTCTATAAACTTTGAGCCAATGCATGCAAAGTTTAACGCGATTATATACGCATTTGACCGCAGCGCCCTATTCTGTTTAGACGTTGAGCGGCTACATGCAACATTTAATTCATGACATCCCCAGCTCTCGAGTTACCACATCTCGGAGCCCCCTACTCGTCCCGCAGTTGTGGCCGAGTGGTTAAGGCGATGAACTAGAAATCCATTGGCGTTTCCTCGCACAGGTTTGAATCCTGTCGACTGCCCAAACATTTTTTTTCTTTTCCTCATTTATCAGTTTTTCTTTTCTTTTTTTTGCCGTACACGAGCACGTGAGCTCACGAGTGCCAGCAAGATTGATGTGAGCACGGACGCTGGACGGACAAGGCTAGACCCTAAGGAGCTTTGCCCCTAAAGGCCCGTTCACACTCTTGCGACTGCTTGCGACCTCTTAAACCTGGGTTCCTTAAAACTTCTTAAACCAGAGAACACACTGGCGCCATCTATTGGGAAGCAGTGTAAACTCGGCGGTCCGGCATATTTGTTTTTATTTCTCGCGCAATATCCTTTCTTTTTTGGCTCGAAAAACTTTTGTCAATGTTATAAACGAGCCTTTCTATGGGTATTACGCACATTTGACCTCGGAAATCCCGCAAAACCTTCGCTTTTGTGAAATGCAGTTCTAGGGTCACCGCATAGATGGCGCCACAATGTCAGTGTGTCCCCTCATTCTAGAAACATTTAAGAAGTTGTAAGAGATCTCGTCTCTCTCAGTCGTACTCGGTCGCAAGAGTGTGAATGGGCCTTAAAAGGGAGCGGACGAGCGGCTTGCATGCTTTCGCATTCACGACCCATAATAGCCGCGTCCCACTAGAGCGACAGACAGCGACAAACGACAGCGATACACGACAACGAGCGACAGACGACACCGACAGACAGCCTGTTTGTCGAAGTCCGCCGTCCCACTTGGCGGACACGATGCAGAACACAGGGACAAGGAAACTTGTTTCCTAGTGGGACTGGAGTTGTCAACAAAACACTTCGAAATACACAGACAAACTGAGTCTGGTGACGCGGTTTTCGTGTTTTGCTCTTTGGGCATAAAACGCGCCGACAAACACGGTGTAAGAGGAAACGATTACTTTATTTCTTGATTAAAGCATTCACTTGTCTTCATTTGCCGTTGGCGACCTTCCGCAAACAGTCGTGACAATCGACACCAAGCTTTTTCCGAGTTAGAATACCCGAATCGTTCCTTTTTTGAGTCGTTCGAGGAATTCTAGGTGAGCGCCACGGAACTTCACGCCGAGTTCGAGGATGTTTATAACCTCGTATCCGAATGATCAAGGGAAGGCGTTTTTTTGGAGGACAATAAGGCATCCCGATTATCACAGAACGTGATGACAAGTCTCTCGTCTGCCGGAATGGCTTGCCGTGGAACGTGGTGTCCTACATCGTGTTGAGAGGTCTTACTTTGGTTAGTCCTCGAACATGAGTGGGTATCCATCCTGATGCAGGGCCGTAGACCTCGGCGTCTTGAAGCACCACCTCACGCACCAAGTTTTCGCGAGCAAAACCAACCACAGCGAATTCCCTTTCGCAACCCGACCGCCCGGCGCAAGCAAGCAAGCCGCGCCCGCGACCACTACGAGCAATCGAGGGACCGGAACTGCGGGAACGAGGAGTGGCCGCCAAGGGCTTCTCTGAAGGTCGAGCGGCGAAGCGAGCCACGGGAGGAACGGGAGGAAGGGTAGAAGGGTGGGAAGGGAGGCAACAGAAGGCACAACCGGGCGAGGAGGATACCTTTGTCTCCGAGACATGTTCCTCAGTGGGACTGCTTGCTGCGTTTCAACTCCAACGACAGACAAGGACTCGTCCTTGTCCGCGAATGTCGCGGGCAATGGTCGTTGTAGTGGGACAGCATCGGCGACACGGAACTTTGTGGTGTCGTCGGACAAAAATCGGTGTTTGTCGCTCTAGTGGGACGAGGCTATAAGAAGTGCTTAGGTGTACCTCGAGCTTTTCGATGTATTCATAAGCCACTTAATTCTAACGGCATTTTCTTGTAATTCATACTTTATGTTCCCGCGGCCTCGTTGAGTGCACTTCTTTCGGAGCACTGGTGCACTGCAGGGAGGCAACACCCAGGGAGCTTGCTTCTGAGGGTGTTGCTTCTTCGCAGTGCACCGGTCCTCTGTAAAAAGCGCACTTAACGGGGCTCAAACAGGTCACACATGAGCTATGAAAACGGGCTCCACGTGGAAATTTTCACAGCATCTTGCACGGACACTGACGTAGCGGCATGGCATAGGTCCACGTCACAGCGTCCACGCAAGCTATGAAAACTACCACGTGGTGCCCATCTTCATTGTTCCTATCCCCTGCTTAAGGGGGGACACAACCTTAAAACGTGAATGTCTGAACCACTTGTCTGGTTGAAATGCCGTTTACAGGGCTTGTTTCTGTTTATGTTGAGAACATTTCTGCCAAATTTTGTTAACCTGGGTGAAGTACAAAAACAATTGCAAATGATCAAAGATGAAAGTGGGCATGTCTGCATAGGAAAACTATAGTTCTGAAATTACATACTGATAAATTTGTCTTTTTCATGTGTTATATTGCTTTAGGACAGTTTAAAGTAGGTAGCTATACTTCGTTTCAGCTTCGGTCCAGACGCAGCCGATGCTACAAGCGCGAGCATGTGGTCCAAAACAGTGCTTGCACTGCACGAGCGCGCGTGCTTGGCAGGAATGCTGAAAGCCCGGAGCTCGGGCTTGTAGATGTGGCTGCGTCTGGACCGAAGCTGAAATAAAGTCTATATGCATCTATATTTCGATATTATAGCATCTTTCACAACAAAAGAGCCACATAAACACAAATACTGTTTTTGTAGACTTCTATCCTTTGTCCATAATTTTAGTTCTTCAGCATGAAAAATTACGAAAAATAAAAAACACAAGCTCATAGCTATCTTTCCCTCAAAATTTCACCCAAGGAAAACTGATAAAAGTGAATCCAAGTTTCATAATAACAAAATGATAGTTTTCCTAAAGGGAAATTTCTGCCAAAAAGTGGAATGGAGAAAAATGTTTTCAAAGTGCTCCACCCCTACCTTTTCTTTGGCATCAGTGGACCAAATTAAGTCATAAAAAATGAAATATGCAGTGTAAACTCGTTAAACTTTCTGGGAATACTTTCTAGATGATGTTGGATATCAATATGGCATTTTTCAAAATCAACTTTTTTTGCAGAAATTGTTTTTTCTGGGTAGTGTCCCCCCTTGAAGTTCATGCTAGACAACTTCTTGGCCTGATGAACAAACTTTTTTTTTTAAGTAGTCATGTGCTGTCTAAACAGTCGACGATAAACAGCATTTTTGAGGCATAAATAAACTTATGTCATACATTTCACAAATGTTTCTTGTGGCATACCTGCTTATGATCAGTAGGGTTATGTAGAGGAAGTTATGAAATATCTGCTTTGTATGTGTCGTCATTCATACGGCAAATCATAACTTTATCGTGCATCATATTTAGATGAATTTCAGATAATTCAAACCTCTGATAATTCATACAAAATTTGTGGCTTCCTGGAATTTGAATTAATGAGTCTCTAGTACTCATTATACCTATGATTTTGTGAAATATAATCGGAGCATTAGTTGTTATATGGCCTTGTTAACTTTTTTCCGCTGCCTTTTCTACCTTCTGTACTACGGTTTTTATGATCAAATGCATCACATTTGTTTAATAAATACAAATTATTTACTTAGTGCGGAAAGCCCAACAAAAACTAATGCTGTCTTCAAGGTCCAGGGTCGAAAGGAACAATGTGGGCCTGAGAAAACCTGAAGGTAGTCAAATGTTGCTGAATCAATTTTTTATTTGCTCAAAATCCTGAATGATAGTCATCTTGGTTCAATATTGGCTGACTTCCTTGTATCTTTTCTTTCAACCTTCTGGTGCATTGTCAGTCTTCCCTATCTTGTTATTTGGAGGGCAGGTAATTAAAGTTGCATTGCAAACTCAAAAGGCTTCTCTTCCTTTTAGGGGCGAAGCTCCTCAGAGTCTAGCCTTGTCCGGCGTCCGTGCTCACATCTGTCTTCTTAAAAAAAAAAAAAAAGTTTGCGCAGTCGACGGGATTTGAACCTGTGCGGAGAGACCCCAATGGATTTCTAGTCCATCGCCTTAACCACTCGGCCACGTCTGCGGGACGAGAAGGAGGCTCTGAGATGTAGTAACTCAAGAGCTGGGGATGTCGTGGATGAAACGTTGCATGTAGCCATTCAACGTCTATACAGGAGAGGGCGCTGCGGTCAAGTGCGTATTTAATCGCGTTAAACTTTGCATGCATTGGCTCAACGTCTTCAGATGAGAGGGCGCTGTGGTCAAATGCTCAACTGCGTATATAACCATGATCCATACCACATATTCTCTTTCTGACATGGACCGTTGACTTAAGTGGTGGAGATGCGTTCCCGCGGCTTCTAGCGGATCCAAGCTGATTCGCTAGAAGAACTACTGGCTCTGCATTTCACCGACCTTAAAGCAGTAATAATGAAGTCGAAACGCAACCTGGAACTCAGCACTACCTATGAGCAATAAAAAACAAAATCAGCACCATCAGCACTACCTATGAACAATAAAATCAGTATCATCAGCACCACCAGAGCTTTGCCACAATCAACATCATTCACCTTGTGGAGATTCGTCCATTTTCTTTTTTTTTTCTTTAACAGCCTGGATTGGCTATGCAAGTGCTAAATGCACTTTTCCTGAAAAATAAAATATGGGGCTTTGTATGTTATACAGTATGACCATGGAACAAATGCTCCTCAAGTGCCTTCGCTGTGCGGTAGTTAGCCCTCTCAGTAGCAGTGTTTGCCAGTAACAAGATTGTTCCGCACAGCAGTGACTTGCTCCTGTTCTTGCAGACATGACGGCAGATGGTTTGTACAGGGCGAGTGGAAACTTGTCTCAGGTGCAGAAGGTGCGCTGTCACGTCAACCAAGGTGAGTAGTGCAAAATAAGTCCTTTTCTGACATCTAATCAAAAGTTTGGGGGTACCTTTTGCTCTGCTGGTTTTTAGCTCTTGGAGCAGAGGGAGACACAGTAACCTTGGGGGAAGGGTTAGGTAGCTGTCTTTGTAACATGACATTTTTTTTCTTAAATGCCTTATCTTATTTATTTTTTTTTGTGTCAAATAGTACAACCAAATGTGAAAAAAAAAAAAAAAAAATACATGTGGTACACATTGCGACACTGTTAGCGCGAACACGACATCGGCGCATTTTTGCATTTTACTTCTAAATAGTGTCAGCAAGCACGAAATTTTATCGCTTACATTATAGAAAAAAATGAGCTCTTTCCGTACCAATAATAACTTTGATGACATCCCTTGGTTTCAAAGAGAAAAACTGGAAAAATCGGCGATCGCTTGATCGCGCTAACAGTGTCGTGCTCTGTACATTAACCATTAACTAGACTGCAGATTTTTCCTGTGTTTATTTCTATGTAAATTCAACTGCTGTTTGTTGGGATTTGTTTATTTTGTAAAGATAGGCACACCTCTGTGTCTTGAAAGATGCATCCCTTGTTTGTGATTGTCGGTGAAAGCTATTTGCTCGATTTGGTGCGACTAAAATTAGACAAGGAAATAGAGTTGTCATTGTCAAAGCAGATGATTTATACTTTTATTGGACATCATACTTTGGCCATATTTTTGTGTACTAATGACTATCGTTGAATTATCACCATTTGAGTTACTAGCCGCTGTTTAGATGGGAAATGTTAAACTTCAATAATGTAAGAAAAAAGATAACAGCTGATTTGAGCACATCAATATTTGCAAGTATTTAGTGAGGTACAAAGTGTTTGGCAACACTGACTGCAATGAAATAAAAGAACTAGAGAAATGATATGTGATTTTCAACATTTCTGCTCGTTGATTTGTTAATATTTTCACTTGTCAGTCTTAACCCCTTGCCTACTCCTTTTTTTTCTTTAAAGATCGTACAAAAATCTTTATTTAAATCAAGCAATTTGCGTCAAAATAAAAAAAAAATGTTTCCTTGGCTTTCAGGCGTAGTCTCGTGCTCTATACCAGGACTTCTGGTCGTCTCCTCTTCTTCAGTAGTTCTTCACAGTATGATAGAAATCGAGAGATTAGCAGAAACCTCACATAGGACATCGTTTTGCCGAAAATTGGGGTCTTTACTATGGACCTCTTCGACCAGTTCATTTCGGCTGTGTGTTTTTTCACTTGCGTCATAATGATGCACAAGGCAAAGTATGCCTTTATCTCATCTGGAGTGGTGTCAAACCATTGCTCCTCATAGCATGTCTTGGAACGATCCTCGTCGCCCATCTCTTGTTCGGCGTAGCGATTTGTCTCAGCAGAGACAGACGCCCAAAAATCATGACTTGCAAAGACGGAAAAGGTCGACAAGGCGCTTGTCTTCTCACCAAGACTGCGTTGAACCCTTGCTGACACACCTGGGGTTTCTACAAAGGTGAACTGAGCAGGCTGGTTGTCCCTCTTCTCCCAGTTCCACTGACGTGCAGACGCCGAAGTCGATGAAATGCTTCCAGGATTCGCATCGTTTTCAACACTTTTCTCACTGTCCGTTGAACTCTCATCAGATTCCGAGTAATCGGAAAGGCAACAGGATTCGTCGTCAGAAATACTGGTGCATTCATCATTTTCAAAAAGAAGTCTTTGTATATCTTCGTCCGCCAAAGCAGACCTCCGCGCCGAAGACATGTTTTTGGCGCGCTTGCTTACAATAGCGCGCTTATTTTTTGTCAATGGAGCGCCCTCTCTCTGTCAAAAGGCAAAGCGAACAAGAAAAGAGCCCAAGGTAAACAGGAACAACAGGGGTAGTGCTGCCATCTGCCGCAGAGCTCACAAAAAAAGCTCTGAAACCGAAACACGAGTCACACTCGTGGTCGGGTTTTATGGTCCGTAAATGGCGGCACGAGTGACACTCGTTATTAGTAGGCAAGGGGTTAAAGGGCAACTCCGCTCAATTTCGAAAAATTTAGGCTTCCATGTGATTCACATTCACAAAGCACTACTAAACAACTCTACGTCTTCGGATTCGCGAAATGTGAAATATTATTTGTGTAATCCTAATTTAAACATCAGCAGATACCGAAACCGAAACTTCGGTTGCGTCGGGCAACATTGGTCTCAGGTCGTCACAGTCATGATTACGTCACGTCGAACCACGTGGCCTTGTGACGTTCGGGAGGGAGCGAGAAACAAGACACGCGAAGCCGGCAGGTCTTTTTTTTTTTTTTTATTGGACGCGGGCAGGTCGCTTTGCATGGCGTGGACGGTGATGGCCCGGGGGAGAGGGGGAAGGGGAGAAGACGAAAGAGGAGAAGGGGAGCGGGGAAACTGACCGATAAGCGCGCAGGGCAGCGCAAACTAGCTCATCCGTGTTACGGTGATCACGTGAACGCCCGGTCAGCCAACACCGGGAGGAGAAACTCATGACGTCGTCGTTCAATTTCGCTCTGAGAAGTAAAAACAAGCAAAACGTGAGAATGACGTACACATGCCTCTGACGTAGTGGTTCAGCGTTGGCCGCTCCAACTCCGTGGCATTGACTGCGCTGATGATTGCGCCTCGCGCCGCACGCTAGAGTTGGCAGATTTCGGTGACTTGGCTCGCTTGAAGGTTTGCTGGCCAGTTTATTAAATATATAAACGGAATTAGATCGTAATATTTTGCATGGGGTCTTCCTATATGATACTGAAGAGGGCTACATAGTTTTCTAAATATCAAAAATGAAGCGGAGTTGCCCTTTAAAGGTGCCATGAAACAATTTTTAAACTTTTTTCTTTTTAGCTTTCCTCCTCAACTCACAAATCGCGCAGCGTACCAAACAGTTGACTAGAAGATTAGCCCGTTACTCAAAATTTGAATAAAAGTTTCTTTCCCCAGCCCGTTCACCCCTAAGCTGACAGTGCTGTGGAAGCTATATGCTCCTTAGGCCAGCCACACTTTTGCCACGTGATCACACATATTCAGGCGCAGGGGATGGGGTCCGGTGATGAAAGGGAGGCGGCTGATTGGTCCGGCAAGCACGTAGCTCCCACCGCACTGTCAGCTTAGGGGTGATCCGATGTCGTGCGACGTACGTTGGGGCCGGGTGACGTGCCTTGGGTACTGCGGATGTACACGTTCAAGAGGCAAAGAGGTTTCGAAGGGAAGGACATACGAGATAGTCCGCTATATTTTTCAAATTTTCGTACCGAAAATTAGGCTTTCGACTTTCTGCCTTCTTTGTTTTGGCTTAATAAACCATATGCTATTAGTAAAATCCAAATTTTAATTCATTTATCTCAGCCCAAAATTCGTTCCATGACCCTTTTAGTTTCATGTTATGCAAATAGTATTTTACTGTTTTTCTCCGGTGCTACTGATTTCTGCATCTTTTCTGGGGCTTCCCCCTACACCTAACGTGAAGGTGCCACCCAGGTTTTGTTTGCATGGTTCCTGTTGTAAGAGGGGGGTCTGTGTTCTCTTGTTCTCTGTGTCAGATGACTACTCGGTGCTGGCCCTGGAGGAGGACATCCACGTGCTGACGGGGGCACTCAAGATGTTTTTTCGGCACATGAAGGAGCCACTCTTCCCCTTCAACCTCTTCAACAAGGTCCTCAGGGCAGTCGGTGGGTGTAGCCGACGGCATTCTGCTCTCAAACACCACCATAAGCGCTTTGTGTTTGTGTTGGCTTTGCGCATTCCACACTGCCCGTACGCAGAGCCCGAAATTGCGGCCTTGGATGGCGCATCGCGATGAGGCGCATGCACAACGTGGGGCACGCAACTCTATTGTAAACGCACATCGCTTGCATTTGGTTCTATGCGCAATACTAGAACCCTCCAGTAAGGTACAATCCCATACCGGCTGCAGCACTACGTTGGGACAGTGAAGAGTTGTTTGCATTCGGAAATGACGATTCACGAGCCATGATCGCGAACAGTTCCGCCGTACCCGCTGAGCAGGAGAATCGGGGGACCCTCACTAGAGCGCTTCCTGTTTCCGCGGCCAGAGGGCGAGCAACGAGCTGGAGACGCGAATTGCCCTCAGTGGATACCAGCGACGTGCTTGCGTCTCCGGCAACGCGCCTGCCGTATCTGGCAAAGTGCGGCAACTCAGCTCCCGCCGCGCCACTTCTCGCTTGATCGGGAAAGCTCCATGCATAGCGGCACGCGGTTTAAATTATCGGTACCGGAAATGATTTGAGCGCAAATTAATGGGTTGTTTTACACATGTACCTCTATGCAGCGTGACCGGACCATAGCAATTGGTTTGAATTATCCAAAAGCTTGAATTAATAAGTTGTGAGTTAACGAACATTCTTTGTGTAGCATAGCTTATGTCCTTGGGATTACCTTCTAATCCCAGGACAGGCATGTGAGTTATTAATACAGTAAAGGTGCCGATTCTTATAGTAACAAAACATTACTATGTAGATGGGCATACTTTGTTTCTGTGGCTTTTCTTGGTTTCGAATTGATCTTGTTGTTTTCTCGGCTTGGTAGTGGGTTGCTTTCTCATTGTAACGCTGCAAGGTTTTTTTCTGTTAATGTTTTGCAGGTCAGCCCACTCGGGCTGCTAGGCTAGCTGCCTTCCGAGACCTTCTGGGTGAGCTGCCAAGACAAAACTATGACACCCTAAAGTATCTGCTCAGGCACCTGCTCAGGTGAGCTGCAACTTCCCAGGCCTACAAAATTGGGGGGTGGGGAAGGGGCTGTGGTGCAGAGTAGGGTAATTCCATACACTCCTCTTACGAGAGAGCAATGTAATGATGTGCCCTTTTTGATCCAAAGTCAACGTTGCCACGGTGGGGCAACAAACGGTAACTCTCTCCCTCAGAGGCACGGACATATGTGCTGTGCTGCTTGCATAGTTGCCGTCTGCTTGTGCATTGCTGAAAAATAGGTATGAGGCATCTGTTTAAAAAAAAGGTGTACTGTCGAGACCGGTTATAACGAAGTCGACGGGAATCTAAAATCGCTTCTCTATATACGGTACCCGCTTCTTCGTTGTATCTTGACTCCATAAAAATAACGCAAAATAAAATAAAAAATAAAAATAAAATAGATTGTTATGGGCCCACATGTTCATCGTGCCTGCAGAAAGCAGTCTAGGTTTTCCTGCACGCACTCTGCTAGATCGGAGTTTATTCTCCCGAAATGATGGAAGTTTCGGTTGAAAGAAAATCCTGCTAGCTACGTACGGTCCGTGTCGACAGCTGCTATGGCCACCGCAGAAGACGCCGGCGGTGGATGGCATTCTTTACGTTTATGCACACTTTGTTGAGGATGGCGGTGCGCCTTTAATTAAAGGAGATCGCCTTCGTCCTTTCCATCAAGGTGCCAACAAAGCTGGGACTCGCCATTGTTGAGTGGCAAGGAATTGCTGAATTGGTGCTTGGGCAAGGCTAGACTTTTGCACAGAGAGTGACCACACCGGCTAGCAACACTGACACGGAACATGAAGCAAGCAAAGTGCGCATGGCACAGAGTTTGCGCTGAAGTTTGTGTTTCATCGGTTTTAGAGAGTGTAGATTTAAGAGCGGAATCCACTGCTCGATTGGGCTCTCGTGGTTTGTGGGCTGTGTTTGCAAAACGAGCTGCAGCCTGCAAGGAGTCAAGAGCGTTCACTGTCTGTATACCCGTCCGCCTCTCTGCCCGGTTTCCTCGCCACACTGTTCACGAGACAACCAAATGCAGGTGCACTTGCACCAATCTGCCCAGGTGGCATCTGCCATTAAATTGCAAATGCTCTCCAGGGTTGGAATTGCTCCCTCTCTTAAATGCTCTGTCCGTCGTCTCGTCGGTATGTTTCAGTACGTTGTCGCTAGCGCTCCGAACGCCCCTGTTGGCAAGCCACGACAGCTTCTCTGCGTGCGATGTGGAAAAGCCACTTCCCAGATGTGGAGCGGGAAGCGGACTCGATGCAGAGGCTGCCGCCGGCGGCTTTTGCAGGGCATGTCTGCGGCCCATTATGGGTGGCGGCTGCGGCAACAAAATGGCGGTCTGCAACTCAATTAATTCTCCAAATTTGAATATTTTTTAAATGATCAGAAAATATCTCTTCACTATATCCATGGAAGCCGCTCATTTTCCTTCGCTATAAACAGACACAAATGCATTGAAAAAGTGCAAATTGCAATGGGAAATCATGACTGCTTCGCTATAGCCACTATTTCATTGTAACCGACTTTGTTATAAATAGTTGCAGCAGTAGCACCAGATTTAGGTGGTACCTCCATCAGTGCGGTATAGCCTGTACACATTTTATCAATTGCATACTAGAGTGTGACACAACCAACACGAACAAGCAATCAAAAGTTGTACCTGTTTTGCATTTAGACCTCGAAGTCCGTCATCAAGAAAACTAGTGTGGTGAACATTGCTCTTCAATTCACCGACCTAAGCGGAAAAATTTTATGCTTGCCAATACCCTGTGTGTGCAAAGTGGGCTAAAGCGCACACCCAGCTCGACGCGCGTGGAGCAAAAGCTCGCGCTGCAGAACCCAGGGATCCTGGGTTCGAGCCCCACCCCTGCCCGTTTTGATCTGGATGAGCATCGTACCGGCGTGCGGTCGTGTATCGCTACTGCGTGGTGCACGTTAAAGACCCCAGGCTAGCGGTTGTACTGCACTGACTGAATTGCTCATCTACAGCGTGTGACTCGTCGCAACTTTAATGGCAGACCAACTACACGCTGTATAAATATCCCCACAACCCCAATTATTATTATTATTATTATTATTATTATTATTATTATTGAATGTGCTGACATATATTTCCTACCTTGTTGCCAGTCTTTAACCCATTGAGTGCCACACCCTAACGGGTGCTTTCTCGTGTGGTCTCAGTTTCGGTTTTTCTTGTAGTGGCACTTTATGATGGTATGTATTTTTTTTTTTTTTTTCTAGGCGGCTTCTGTTTTGGTGTTCTTTTTTGTTGTTACGGGATGGTGAACCTACCATCTTCTAGTGGTGACAGCGTGCCCAGTGACGAATGTGCTAATGTCTTAAATAGTATATTTATGGAATCTTTCTCCGATATTCGCAACATAACTTACCCTTCGATGAGCTGTTCCTGTTATCTGCCAATGGATTCTATCTTTGTTGATCCTGCTGGTATTGCAAAAATTATAGATGAACTGAAGTTATCATCCTCATCAGGAGTGGACGGAATTAATTCCAAGTTTTTAAAAAACACTAAACTATACTCATCTCTTATTCTCTCAAAATTGTTTGAACAGTCGCTGCAAGATGGTATTTTACCTTGTGATTGGCGAGTGGGGAAGGTGGTTCCAATTCCGAAAGGTGGCGATAAGTATCCCCCTAACAATTATCGTCCCATTTCATTAACCAGCATACCATGTAAACTTCTGGAACACGTTATCTTTTCCCAACTCGTACATTTCCTAGAGTCGAATAATTTTTTCACCGAAGCACAGCACGGATTTCGTAAATCATTATCTTGTGATACTCAGCTCCTATCCTTCACTCATGACATTCATTCTATTCTTGACCGAGGCTCCCAGGTGGACTGCATTTTCTTAGATTTCGCCAAGGCATTCGATAAGGTGTGTCACGAGCTATTACTGTTAAAACTTTCAAAACTTAACATTGACCCTAACGTTCTCGCATGGATTCGGTCTTTTCTAAATAACCGTTCACAATTTGTAACAATTAACAACGAAAATTCTCCTCCCGTGTCTGTGAATTCTGGAGTTCCTCAAGGGTCGGTTTTAGGCCCACTACTATTTTTAATCTATATTAACGATCTTCCCATTAATGTGTCTTCATCCGTTTGTCTCTTTGCCGATGACTGTGTAATTTACCGTGAAATCTGTCACGATTCTGACCTGTCTACACTTCAGTCTGATATTAACTCTGTCTCTCGTTGGTGTGAATTATGGCTAATGAAACTAAACACTAGTAAATGTAAACAGATGAGAGTGTCCCGCAAGCCTAACAACAGTCCCTGTTACCACCTAGATGGCAACTTTTTGGAGCAAGTGGCAACGTACAAGTACCTTGGTGTTCACTTAACAAATAACCTTTCATGGAAACCCCACATTCAGTATGTTACTACCCGTGCTAACTGCATGTTGGGCTACTTAAAACGCAACTTTTCATTGGCACCTATTTCACTAAAATTGATCCTCTACAAAACATTAATCAGGCCTAAATTAGAATATGCAGCCTCCATCTGGGATCCTGGTCACGATACTCTAATCACTGCATTGGAATCCATTCAGAATAGGTCAGCCCGTTTCATTCTTTCCAACTACCATCGTACTGCTAGTGTCACATCAATGAAAAATAGTTTATGTTTACCACTTCTCTCCTTGCGACGTAAAATTTCACGCCTATGTCTATTTCATAAAATGTATTTTCATATCCCTCTCCTACGCAATCGGATGATTACTCCCCCCTTTTACATTTCATCCCGTCTTGACCATCAGCATAAAGTTGGAGTTCCAAGTTCGTTTACCACAACATTTCAATCTTCTTTTTTACCCCGCACAGCCGAGGAATGGAACCACCTCCCTGGTTTGATTGCTACTATAATTGATACTAACCTGTTTAGAAATTCCATCACTAGCTATTTTAGCAGTGACCCATGACCTATTATTATTATTATTCTTTGTTTGTTGTATATTTAATATTGTTGACTTGTTACTATATTACTATCTTTGTTTCATGTATGTGCTCTCCCCCTCTGTAATGCCTTCGGGCCCTGAGGGTACTTTCAATAAATAAATAAATAAATAAAATTCCGAGCAAACGCCTAGTCAAATTTGGAGATAATCATGGTCAACAATGTCTAAAGATGTGTGTATTGTGTATTTTTTTAATGTTAAAAAATTGAGGGGTGGGCACTTATTGTAGAGGGTGTGTATGCTCGGCATTTTACGGTATGTCGTCCTCGCGCTCCATGGGAAACACTGAGATCTAGAAATTGCTAATGAACTCTGATTAGACAACCGTGAAAGCAAGAAAGCTACAGTTATGAATAAACAAATGTCAAGTAATGGAGCTAAAGGAATGACCTTTGGGGTGCATGTTTGAAGTCATAGGTGTAGACCTACGATCGGGGGGGCACAAGCATCGCCCCCCCCTGGTGAGATCCAAGAAGGGGAAGGGGGGGCAGAGCCCCCCCCCCTCTTCGAGCCCGGGCCATGATTCTTACCGAGGTGCTATTGATGGTGCCATGTAACGAGGTTCTATAGTAGTGGCATGTAAACAAATTAATGCCCACGTTGCCTTTATTGACAAAATGCATAGGAAATGGAGTCCCAGCGTGCTTTCCTTAGCTTCAATCTCCATTTCTGGCAAAAAGGTAACGCGCAGCACCCCCCCCCCCCTCCCTTCCCGGCCAGAAAACTTCTCAGTCTGCCCCCCCCCCCCCCCCCGGGAAAATGGAAAGTCTACGCCGCTGTTTGAAGTGCCACTGCATAATACCACGTTTCAAAAAGTACAATACGAGAAATGTGTCATAGGCATGCAGATATCAAGTAACGTTTTGCCAATAAAATATAGTGTGTCTTTATAAATAGGTTTTTTTGACAGAGCATCGTTACTGAGATCAAAACTTGCATTTGGCATGCGGGAAATAGAACCTGGCATGGTTAGCAGTTAAGAAAACCTGTGGTAAAGCTCTATTGTCGTTCCTGTCTCTCATTGGCCGTAGGGTCACAGAGCACAGCGACCAGAACCGGATGCACGTGCAAAACCTGGCCATTGTGTTCGGCCCAACGCTGCTCTCTTCGGGAGAGGAGCCCCGCAACCTGGCCCTGGACATGATGCAGCAGAACCAGATCATAGAGTTCCTCCTGCTGGAGTACTCCTTCCTGTTCCTATGACACCATCCCGGATTCCCCACGGACTCGCCGCCCCCGCGTTCGACCGAAGGAAGGTCGCGCGAGCTCGTTTCCTTGGCCCAAAAGTTCCTACGTTCCCACGGCGACTGCCCGTCAACAGTCGTCATCGCAGTGAATAGTCTGGCAAACTTGTATTTGCGCATTTGGGGACTCCGCTTCTGCGTGGATCGATGCGGGAAAAACGGCCCATCACCACTCCCCGCGTCAAACTTGCCGGAATCGTCTTTCTAATGGTGCGCGGAGGTCTTTTTTTTATCGAGTTCTGGTCGGGAACGTCTAACGCAAAGACGGAAGAGTTTTGGCCAAAGCCGCTGTCTTGTTGGATTATTTCTGTTTTCGGTTTTATTGTTTCGTGTTCTTGTCATTGCACATCTTGAAAGAGGGCAACGTTGTATTCCGTTGGCTTGCACCGTATCGGAGCGGCCGTCCCCTCGATAGGTACAAAATGAGAAAAGGAGAGAGATGTACTGTAAAGGTGACCTTGTAAGTTGCATCCCGTAGACGGGGTTTGGTACTTGCGCTGTATCAAAGCAAGCTCGTACTAGAGTAGGCAACACCCTTTTAGGAGAGTTTACGGTCAAGCGCACCTTAGCCCCAGCTCGTGTCATTGGACAATTGGAACCGCCCGCATATTTATTTTCCATAGTGCGAACCGTACGACGCAGCAAGGCGCTGCATTCGGACATTACGTCACCTATGCAAGTTTACTTTGCACACGCATTGGGAAGGTTTGCCTATGCACAGAGACGAGCACTGCGTATCGTTCGCAAGCTCAACATGCAAAGCTGCCTGTATTAACGACGAAACAAGTTCTTTGGTGCAGGGTGACGCCCCACGTCACCTCTGGAAGTGGGCCTAATACGTAGATTCCATCCAATGTCGAGGCAAGTTAAAGCTGGTGCCACTATGCCGCCACTCATCTATTTTGGGAGATGCAATTTTTCGAGAGATGACGCTGTGTGTGTATGTGTAAAGCAGGTTCCGCCTGGGCTCTACGAAGCGGCATCGCAAACATTTCGGTTGTTAATTCTGTGATATTTTTTTTTTTTTTTTTTTTTACAACAGTATTACAGCCACGGAAGAAAAGTCAAAAGTCGTCCGCTTTGTATGAAATTGTTCTGGCGTCTGCAAAACAGTACCTGGAAGGGCTCTGTTGCGTGCTGTTTGATGGCCCTTGTTTACATATCGGGATAACTTATTCACATTCCACGCAGCGTTACATGTGCCTTAAGAGGGTCATGCTGTATGTAGTGAGGTTTTTGCCCGCCCAACCCCCCCCCCCCCCCCCCCCCCCCCCACACTTTCCTTTTTTATTGTTGAAATTTAGAGAGCACTATAAATTATATTGATATAGCGAATAAAGTTGATCATTTCGAATGTACCAATTGTCTACTTGTCCCCGTTTTTGGTTGCAAATAGTTGCTTTTGAAAGGTCTTCACTTTTCAGTGGTATGGATTTGTAATTTGAGTTTTATGTCTGTAATGCAACAAGGTATTTTCCAATTCGACATTGTATATGTGTTTATATGCCAATTGCTCTTGTTTTTAAGCCAAAAGAGGAAAAAAAAATGAAGGCATTACTGTCGCTTTTAAAGGCTATTTACACAATCGTCTTCTGCTTTCTCCTGCAGAAAGGAAGAAAGTCTCATTATTTCTCGAATGGAGAGGAGGAATTGAGGTAGCTTCCTCCTTTGTGCCTGGTGTGTCAGCCTTTAAAAAACCCCTAAAAAGAATTTTTTTTAGCAGTCTGATTGCAACACGCGTATTAAAAAAATAAATTTTACGCACACAAAAAAAATTGTTAGAGCAATATTGACGGCGCGTGGCGCGATTTAGTTGGTCGTCACCTCCTTTCCATTTGTTTTCTCGGCATTTCGGGCGTATGTCCATTCCGCGGTTTCATGGACTCTTGCGCCGTCAACGTTGCTCAAAAAATTTTTGGCGTAATTCTTTTTTTCTTTTTTTAGAAGCGTGTCCTTCCAACCAAATTGCTAAAAAAAAAAAAAAATTAAGTAAAATAGATGGGACGAATCACCAGAGATTCGGATTCGAACAGATTCGGAAATTTCCGAACTTCCCGCGACGAATATTCGGCAGATTCGGAGATTCGTCAGGTTCGTCGCTAGTTGCAGACGGCGGCGTGGACACTTTCGTAAACCTCGCGAACGCGATCAGCTGTGTTTTTTTTTAGGTACTGTTACTGCATATAACCAGATTGCTCTTATTTACTTCAACGTATGGTATGTACTGTACTCTTACTCTAAACCCTGGCAGGCGCCCAGGTCCAGCTGAGCTGATCGGTGTGGTTGGCGTAGGCCTAACCAATGCAAAGTTTCGCGGTGATCGCTAAAGTAAAATGTAGCAAAATGCTGTGTGTTATACATAATGTGGCGCAACGCGCAATAAATATATTTATGCAAGGAAATGATTCGTCTCCTCTAGAGCTGCGTAAGACGCGAGAGCGATGAAAAGTGTTGCTCATCCCAACTTTCGACCGCGTACCGACACCGACGAAGAAAAACGTCGCACTGTCGTTTCTCGGCAGCAAGTTTTGTATACGTGAACTTTATTTGATGAAAAAGAAACAACACAGGGGTGTCCACCGCAACTTTATTGTTCAGAAACAAACACCAACTAATTCAGATACCGTATCATTAGACAGAAAGGTACAAATGCAGTACAGGAGAATAGTACAGCGCAAGGAGTTTTAGATTGTTTCCCGTGTTCCGATAACAATACCGGAGTGGACACACGTTGAAGATAATCGAATCGAACATACTTACTTGTGTGGGGTGTGCTACTACGACCGTAATTATGGGCACGAAATGTGTTTAAACCCGGTCGTGGTTTGAACCACGCACGTACGGCATCGATCTCTTCCGGGGGGGGGACTGCTTTGAATTTCGGACGAGCACGGTGGACGTCTTCGGTCTCTGGGAACCCCGGAGTACAAGAACGTGATCTTCGCGTAAACATCACCTCGCGCTCCGTCGACCCGCCGCTGCACCGGCTGCACGTCCGCCGAATCCCGCCGGGCTGGGGCGACCATGCCAAGCCTGACGAAATCCACGAGGAACTTATCGCGCTTGCGTTTCGCCGCAAGGGCAGCCGCGGTGGTCTCTGCCATGACCCCGCAGACAACGCCGCAGGTTCCTGGTGCCCAACAAACTCTCGTCAAACCGCCTGCCCCACAACCGACTGTCACTGAAGTGACTGAAGTTCGAACTGGCCGAACCAGGCCGAACCGCCGGGGCCGACGAGCGTTTCGCCGCAGTAAGGTTGCAACGCCTATTGGCTGAGAGAAAAAAGCAAAAACAAGCAAAACAACACAAACCGGAAGTGACGAACATTTTTGTTTTGTTTCTTTTTGCTTCTTTCAATTTTACTTTTTGTTTTTACTTTTTGTTCCTCCAAGTGTTTGTTGGGCGCTTTTCGGAGCGGTCGCGTCGGTTCCAGCGGGCTTTCTTGTATTATACATTGTCGTGTTCTGTGCCGCGGTATTGCCGAGTGGAGTTGGTCGTGATATTCAATGCTTGGGAACGAGCGTCGGCAGTCAAGTCCACAGCACATTCAGCGCATTCATGCAAGCTAGCAGGCCCCGTCTCGCCACATTGAGGCCCGTGGGACGCTTGTTCGGAACGCAAACGGTGAGTGGAATTTACCTACTGGTGGCGTTCGATCGTCGATTCGACACCGCTGTGGTGGAATTTGATAGCGCTTGGCTACCTCACGTAGCGTCGGGGACAAAGAAGAAGATAATAGAGATAATCAACGGGAGTGGCATGTGGCTCCCGGGTGCCTCCTGCGCCGCATTTGCATTCAGTAATCGCACTTAAAGAAGGACCAAGCGCGTTGGGAATGTCAGCTTTTGACGAGCTCGTGCGGTCACAAAAGCGTTCTGTCGAAAGACGGGATTTACAAACAGATCAGGCTTCGCAAATGGCCCTCCCGGCGCGTCGAATTTGTGGCGGGTAAATATGTTGCTGTTCGTCCTGGTAGGCCTGCGATGGTGTTTTCTGCACAAATACTGTATTCTGCCTCGTGGTACATTCACACCTGCAGCAGAACTGCTAAGCGATTCTGCTACAGGTTAATCGCGAAGCGTTGTGCTCTTCCATAATGTGAATGTTAAAGTGACAACAAATAAGTGCCTCTTTGTTTTACTTCTCCTTTGGTATTCAACTGGTTTTATTTTCTACTACATTTTGTTCAGAAAGCCACTGCGAGACAGGCATTATTGATGTATACTATCCAACATAATGTTTGAGCATGAGACGAGGTAACAGAAATACTTCTATATGTGCCTGCTTTTACTGTTTTTGCAAGACAAGGTAACAGAAATACTTCTTTATGTGCCTGCTTTTTATGTTTTTGCAATTCACCGGCTAGACCACTCTTCTCATGGTTATTGTTTTGTTGGGTGCAAAATTTTCCACCCCAGGTGTCCGATGCTTGCGGCTGATGGCTTCTACCTACGTGCATCAAACAGCGGGCCTGTACCTTCGCCAAGACAGCTGTAAAACAGTTCTGGGTAACTGCAGCGACTGGGTCACCGATGCCGTTCCACATCCTGCACTGCACTCCGCGTGGGTCAAAGGGCCAGTGCATGCCTTTTATGGGTTGTCGCCAGCCATAGTGAGTATGGCTTGGAGTCACGTCATAAGAGTGAAATGCTTGTCACCTGAGTGACGTCAGTTGGGGGGGGGGGGGGGGGGGGGGGGGGGGCGCCGCCGCCGCCGTCGTTGGTGCGGCTATGACCGGTGGTCTGCGATCACAGACCACCAAGCACCATTGCACTGTTCCTGGATGAACTAGCCGCTCTTGAGGAAGAACAGGGTGCTTTGGGAAGAGCGATGGTGTCCGCTTTTTCACTAGCTCCAGCTGTCGCCACAGGCATTTTGTCGAAAGGAGCAACATCTATGAATGAGTAGACGACGCTGAATAGCCGCAAGGGGCCTCGCTTCTGACCGAGGGGGTCAATATAGTCCCGTTTCAACAGAGGTACCTCTTGGGGTATTGTACAACACAGGAAATAAAGGGCCCGAAAGTTTTCTACCTCGACGAGGTGTGGGTTATGGCAGGACCAATTTTCTCAAAGGTGCGAGTAGACACAAATGCGGCTTTGTTCCGTGGACACCTTCATGTGTGGTGACACGGGGCAGTCATTGCTTAACCTTGCTTAAAGATCAACGACTGAACTGGTCAAGGGTGGCGTGCATGAGAGTGGGACAGTAGACGGCTGTTATATACCAACTTTAGATTTCATTCACCCCTTAAGGGGATACTACAACGAAATTTCAGCGCTCATTTTTTGGTCTATATGTGTTCAAAAAAGCAGCATCACATCGAACATACCAATATCTTGTTAAAGAAGTCACGAAGAGGAATTTTAAAACAAATTAAACGATTAGCAAAGAGCACCTGGTGGATGTCGCTAACGCCTCGCTTGTAATGCCCATCTAGGAACCTTGACAGCTAGTGACGGAGGTTGTCTCGTCCCCGGCCACGACGAGAGGAGAGGGGCAGGAGGAACTCCCCTCTTCCCGAGAATGCCTTTTGTGTGTCGCAGAAGTCGCTATTGTCCCCCTACAAGATTATAGAAGATTAACCCGTCACTCAAAATTCATACAAAAGCAGCCGCTTCGGTGGCTGGAACGACTAGGCCATCCTCTCGACGTCAGCCTCGCCGTAGCTTTGCTCGTCTTGAGACGACCTACGTCACGATTGCGTTGGATGTCACGTGGTCTCCGCTGGGCCTTCTCCGAGCGCTTGCCAGAGTGGGCCGTTTATAACGAAAAATACAGCCACCAGGCTCAAAATACAAACGTGCGATTGTCATTTACGGATATTGTGGATCATATTCAACATATTTTTGAACACGACGGGAATATTTCAAATTTCGTTGAAGTATCCCTTTAACTGACAGGGCTGTTTTGTACTGAGCTGGTTACAGGAACTAATGCCATCTGTAAATATCTCTTACAGCCATGCTGTTTGAAGTCGTCACAGATATAAACTAAACGTTGCAGCAACTCACAATCGCATTCCTGCCCGTCATTTCGAACAGCGCAGCGCTAATTTCAGTTTGAGGTCTGCACTCTTACTACAATGCAGATGGTGACAGCATCAGGCTGCACTCGGTAAGCCAGTTTGAGACCGGTTCTTTGTGCGGCACTCCGCGAGTGCGGTGCACTCTGGGAGATGACTCGCATAATGCCAGTGCGTTTGAAACGAGCTTGCTATGAGGCCCGCTACTCATGGGATAAGTTACTCATATAGTTTTTGGGCAGCTGATGAGTTATTCCCCTCTCCACAGCGACACGCATTGCTGATTTTGGGTACGACTTGAAACCGACGAGCAGCTCTGACAACTCGAAGGTGTTTGAAGCGGCAGGAGCAGTTCAGGGACACAATATTTCCACGTGACCTCCCTTGCAGTAGTGGTGATGGTGCGTTCAGTAGCGGCTCCCTCAGCTACGAACGGAGTAACTCGACTTGGAGTTCTCGGTGCATTTTAGAACACCTTAAAATATCCCAAAGAAAGCTTCTTTTTTTTTTTTTTTTGTGGATGTCATGTCTGTTGGATTTTTCACTAGTCACTGATGTTAAACTTCCAGAACTCTATGTGCCAAGAAATTGAGAGAGAGGAGGGGTTGGAGAGTGCAGAGATGTCAAAACGCAGAGCTCCGATTGGAACGATTAGTGGGTAGACCTAAAGCTAACTGCCTTTGTCTGTACTGCACATGCAGAACATCGGTGTCCAGCATTTCGCATTTGCATTCGAATGCGTTTGACGAGTGCAGTGGAGATAAAGGCAGCCTTTGTTCCTGCTGCACCCGTTGAACACGTTCGACTGCAGAATGTGGGCGTCCAGTGTTTGGCTCTCGCATTGAAACGTCCTCGACAAGTGCTGTGGAGACAAAGGCACCTAGCTTTAGGTGTACCCACCAATCCTTCTAACAAGTGCTCGGGTGTCCTGACGTCCCCGCGTGCTCTCTTCCACTCTTCTCCCTCATTTTCTTGGCACATGCATCATGGGCACATTTTAAGGATGGGGGGACTAGGGCCCCAAAGTTGACTTTTTTCAGTGAAAAATCTACATATGCCAGCTTTTGTTAGGAAGAAATGATTAGTGGCTTCCATCCATACTCGAAAACCGAACTAAACGCAATAGACTACTTCCATAAATTCCTGCATGCAACACGGCGCTTGTTGCACTCTGGGAACTAGTTAGCCAGGGAGGAGAGTGGCATGGTTTCGGTTTCGATCGACACGTCGACGAGAGATACACAGAGCGTGGACCATAAACGGCCGTTATCTCATATTTTCTGGTATCGAGAGCGTCATTTGTGATCTCTAAACTAACCTAAATGGTCAGACCTCTAATTTTTAGCGCAAGCCCGAGACGTATAGCTTGTCTTAACGCATGCTTGTTGTATTTTTGTACTTGAGCCTTTTTGTTAGCGTTTCGAGGTATGTGGACGAGCCAGTGCTGGGAGTCTCAACGCTGCGAAGCTCGGGGATCTTGCTTGTGTACGAATCAACAAGCTGTAGCAACCAATAAGTATGCATACATCGAGCTCGCGCCTTTACATTAGTGTTGTTGATCAGGAAGTTTTTGTTTTTTCTCGTGCGTCCATCGACGAAATATAACTTTTTGCCATTACTGTTTTTCTTAATACGCCTGAGTATGCTAAGTAAAACTCGGACGCGCCATTGAAAAGCTCCATTCGAACACAATTCTCATCTCTTATCTGTACTGCCCCGCAGCACTGCACGAAGTGAAGTCCCCACCCGCTTGCCTTCCACTAATATTCAACATCACGTATGCGCATAAAGTTATCCTGCAATAATATAGGTACATTCGCACATACAAAAAAAGAAAGCAGAAGTCGAGCACTTGTGTGAACAATGTCGCACCGTTCGCTGGAAGTGCACTGGACGGGCATGAATTCTGCGGTGCATGGAACGAACGAAATTATTCAAAGCGCATTTGACGGTTGCTAATGGCCATGATATTTGTTGTGTGTTTGCTTTCTTCCTGACTGACTATGCTGAGATAATTTCAGACACACCGTTCAGGCACAGATCTTGGGCGTCAGTAAAAGCTCATTCAAGAAGGCTGAGTAAGGAGTAGGGGACGCTTGTTAGGGCCTCCGTCGTAGCTAGCAGATCTTAGCGTTTGCGAAGACTTAATCTTCTATCAGCATAAAATTTGAGTGTGAGATATGTGATGACATGAGGAAGACATCACAGTAACTTTTGTGCAGTAGTGAGGTTGAATTTATTGTGTTTCCTTAAAAATTAATGCGCCAACGCTGGGCTTAACCTTGATACTACTGTGAGGATGTGGCTTGCTTTCGCCCAATGAAGTAACAAGAAGCGTACGTTTGGCAAACAAAATACGCGTAGGGCTCAAGGTGACCAAATTTCAGTTGTAGTTCACTGATACTGGACGGGATTACTGAGACTGAGCTCAAAGATGCACTCGTGGGGTGAGGTGACTAAGCCATGTCTCACTACGTTTGCATACGCATGCATAATATCCGGTATTTCTGGAACCAAGGAAAGTGCCCCGGTCTTCGTTTTGTATCGCTCAAGAATGAGTGTATTGTACATTCGTAAAAAAAAAGTCAGATAATCGAAAAGACGAGCAGCGTATTCGGTCGCGGCGTGGCAACATGAGATGAAACTGCTCAGTAGAAACCGAAACTAAGTGGCCAACTAGTTCCCAGAGTGCACTGCGTGGTATTTTGCCGCGATGGGGCGCGTCGGTTTTGGAAGAAGTCTATTGCAACGCTGCCATTTCTCCCACAGCAGCCACTAAGGAAACTACACGGCTACACTTTGTGGTTCCGTCGAGTCGCAGAAGAGTCAGTGGCGTTAAAGTTCCTGTATAGGCTCCCTACGGGAGCCAGAGTTGCGTGTTCATCCCCGTAGCGCCGTCTTTCCTGCACGGCATAAGGAACCGGTGAATGGCAGCACAGTGCGCTCAAAAGCAGGGGAACGTATGCCAGGGTGCGTGCACTGTGTACTTCCGTGCACGGCATTTGAGTCTGCTCCTCACATGATCGCATCTCGGTGAGTAGCGGTGCGGCGGTACGTGGAAAACAGTCATGCAACTATGGCTCCTGTAAAGAGTCTATACAAGAACTCTACGTGGCGCCATCTCGCAGGGCCATTTTGCAGTAGCTAAATAAAACAACTTGCATGTTGTAATTCGTCGCAAAAGGGTGGCGCTGTTATCGTATTTAGCTTGGTCTCTGTGGACGCCAGCGGTCCAGGTTCCAAGATTGGGTTTTCCAACCGAGAGTTTTAGTAATGTTGGTGTTTAGTGACATAACAAATGTTAGGTTAACACCCATAAATTTGCCCCTGCTCTGCATTGCCCTGCATGTTCAGGTGAGATGTTGGTTCCTGTTGACCTGTGGACTCCTTTGTTCTCTGCATTCATCATAGGTTACCGTCCTGAATCATGGACCAAGGCTGCACTTTAAGGCCTACTCCTTTTTGGTGGATCGGGTCTTGCCACCTTCCCCTTTCGTGGCTTCCTGTCGTAATTAAATAAATTGTCATATTTTTTTCTGATGGTGGTGCATACCTCTTGCCACACTTGACAAAAATAGTGTGGTGAATCCATGACACGGATTACTGTGAAATATGCGAGAAGGTAATTATTGAGAAGATTAAGCTCCGAAAAGTTTGATGGAAAGACGATAGATATACCCCGTTTAATATTAAGTTTCTGCTAAGGTGAATATGTGTCCCTTACATTAATTTAAAACGAAAAAAAAAAAAAAAAAATACAGATTACGTTTGTCCTCGTAGTTTTTACAGAAGACCCATCGCTATCACCATCACTATTTTGATTTTTCCAAGATGGCCGTTTTGCTTCGTGAACGTTCCGCAACTTCGGCGATTTACGCGACTTGCGAACAGCACTGCCTAATTGGTACGTTAATTTTGGTGGCTATTTATCGTGTAATGTCGTGGGTATCTTGTGTTTGTACAGAAAGTAGTATTTCAGGTTCAGATTGTTCTTTGTACAGCGTTAGCTCGGTGGGTCGTCTCTGAACTGCTTGCCTTTTGTCCACGTTTCTTTCCCTCCCAAACCCATCACACTTTCTGGTTAATTTTCCTGTTTTCAATACCTGCTATTTTGCTAGCAAATATCCACAAACGTAGGTACCATGCAGCTCTACCTGCACTGTTCTTTTTATGTGGCGCAATTGCAAGCACCGCTGTTTTTTAAATTATTTAACTTGCCGCGTTCTATAATATTGTTAGGCAGCCCAGTTATGTTCGCAAAGAACACGTGGCTAAGCGGTGGCGGATAGCACTTGTGTTGATGAAATGTTTTGCTTCCGCATATCCGGAAAGCATCTGGCAGCTGTCAACTATCTAGTGAAGAGCCGAAGCAAGACGGTAATGTTGGTGGTACGAAACTGAATAGTACCCTTTGTTAAATATTTATTTATTTGCTTGTCTGCTCGGCAGTGCCGCCTGTACCTGGACAATACCTTGGAAGATAATGCAAATACGGAGACAAAGCTGTACAGTGGTTATACTCAGCATCTGCACTCTGAATAACGTGATGTCTCAGTAACCACGCACGCTTTGTTACAGAGATTTGTTTCGCTACCCGCTAGGCATCACTGAGGTGCTTTAGCTGTGTGCCTTTATTTTAAGCTAATAGAATGTACTGCACCTACAACGAGCAGTTGTAGAGGAGTGCCGTTTAGTGTAGTGACTCCATTCGATCGTCGTCTGAAAGATGCTAAAGGCTACCGCACGATTCAGTGAGGCTTGTTGACCTATGCTTTGAGCACCCGCTCTTCTTTATTAGGCCGTAAACCAGGCAGAACGTAAAATTATTATTGTGAAAACAGCAGGGTTGTGACATGCACGAAAACTTGTCTATAATACTCTGAACATGCTGGCCGCCCAAGCGACCGACTTGCTGACTGACCGGCTCAGCTTTGTCATTGGCAAAGGCGGAACAAGCAAATGCTAGAGCATGCAGCCAAGTTCGGTGAATTGCGTATTTCTAAAAACAAATTTGCTAAAAGGTTGTTTGTCGCCATTTTCTCTTAAAGGGCAACTCCGGCCAAAACTCAAAATGAAATAAATTACTGGTATCGCTTTAGTGACACAAAGTACGACCCCAGCGAAAATATTACGTCCGTGGGATGCCGCATTCTCAACTAGTGCCGATAATAAAAATGCGACGAGCCGCTGCTCCTTAGCGGGCGGCCAGCGGGTTGCCGATCGCTAAAGCGACATTGGGCCGTGACGTCAGTATCATTCTCTTTTTTTTTTCTCCGGTCCAGGCGTTGCGCGGAGTGCGCTTCTCTGAGCCGCTACCACCGCTGCTTTGGCTCGTGATTGGCGTGTTTAGCAGTTGCTTTTATCTGTAGCCCATGTAGCTTCGGTATAGCCTTTAGTTTATTTGCTTGCGAGGACTCTAAGACTCGTTTTAGCAAGCATCGGTGCGCCCAAGACTGCCCAGCTGTTCCTCGAAAGATGCCGAGTGCAACTTGTAGCACTGTGGGATGCTCAAACAACCTGCGCAGCACGGAGGTGCTTTTTCACAAGCTTCCAACGTGAAAAAGTGGGTGAACGCTGTTTGGCAAGTGGACTTTGAACTTCGGCTTTTACGCGCCCGAGGAAAAAAAAAAAGAATGAAAAAAACAGACGCGTACAGCCCAGCACATGTGTGTTCGGGCGCCGCAGCCTACGCCGGAGAGCCTCAAAGCTTTGTGTCTCGAACTGACCCGCCGGAGAGGGCCCCCAGTACTGTACGTCACTGGCAGCGCGGCGTAGACCAACGCCGCTCCATCCACGGAGCCCCGATGACAATTTAGGCCGAGCGACAAGTACGGAAGACCGCACACACGGCGATAGCCGCCGAGTACGGCACCGAACGAGTTCACTTGTTTTGCAGTCGCTAGCTATTGGGTATACAAGCGACGGGTACGGCATAGCGCACGCACGGCGGCGGCAGAGTACGGCACCGTACGAGTTCACGGGTTTTCCAGTCGCTAGCTTTTGGGTATACGCACTAACTCTTGCTACATATGCTGGATAACTACCACATACACAGAATTAAAACAAAATCAGCTTACTTTCTATCTTTAGATGGCTAGCGGCCTGCGTACTCGTTGAACGAGAACGATCCTGACGTCACATTCACATAGCGGCTGATTTCCAGTGTTGCCCGGGCCTCGAGCGGCTAGTTTCGGTTTTGTTGGCCGCGCCCCAAACAAAACTTTGGGGTGTCGATATCTTTTAAACTACACACGATAACGAGAAAAAAAATTACGCCTTGCAATTCAGGGACGCTGACTGTACTAAAAACAGTCATAATCCCAAACTCTAAAGTATGGACCGGAGTTGCCCTTTAACTGAGTGTCTTCTTGAAAGGATTCAAGAAAAGGAGGGTTTCAAAACCAGTGCTTGGGAAAACAGATGCCTCCGTTCAGGCGGTACACGCCATTGTTCTCAGATCTATCGGTTGACAAGCTCCACGGAAGAGCAGCGTTAAAAAAAATGAGAGTTTACAATTCTCTGTAATGCGAAAGTAGAACGCAGCACTTGACGAGGAGGGGAGGGTTTACCTCTCCTTTCCCTCCAATTTAGCAGAAAATGTTAGCGAAATTTTCTGCCCAATTTAGCGGGTTAAGTTTCCCCGCTAAATTTGGCGGGGAAATTGACGTCAGGTGACCCAACACATATTTAGCGGAGGAAAATGACGTCAGATGACTAACACCCATGAACAAATTCAGTTTCTCCGCTAGACTTAGCGGGAAAATTGACGTCACGTGACCTCAACACCAATTCAATTTCCCGCTAAATTTAGCGAGGTAGTTACATGGACGGCGACACCGCTAAATGCGGAAACAGGTGCCCAAGAGCTATAAGAACCACAATAAAATCACTTTCCACTGCAGGTAATGTGCATCGAACATTCCACCGGATCTGTCCATAGGGCGGGCTGATAGTGTGGCAGGCGCCACTGAGCGGACGCACCGCAAAAAGGCGTCTGGCGTTTTCAGAAGCTTGTCAACTGACCTAGATGTGAGAATGTTTGTACATGCATTGCTACCATTGCCCAGCGGGACCGGATATTGTTGGAGATCTGTGTTTACTGAAAAATGTTTTTACAATGTTCACACATTGGTCAGTGCAAGCACATCTTTTTTTTTTTTCACTAATATTGACTAACAGCATTGTAGCAATCAATCCAGTTGACACCAAAATGTTATAAGCAATAAAGAAATTAAAACCAGGCTGTTCTGTGAGTGCAGATTTTATATCTTGTTTTATTGTTAAGGGCGGCACAGATTTGTTTGTTCCTTTATTCAAGCATGCATTTCATCTCCGAGAAATCATGATCTTCCAATGTGCTGGAAGAAGTCTCGTAGTACAAGTATAGGACGCTGGTGACATGTATAGGGTAGACAGTCATTGCCTCGTTTCCTTACTGTATGCTCGTTTGAAAGTGTCTAAATAGTTATACACAGACATGGGTCTTTTCTCTCCAGTTAAAAAGCGGCACTATTTAATGCAATTTTTTTTCGAAGGTTGTTCAGGAAAAACTGTTTTATGTAAATTTGAATACACAGCACCATTTGTTTTTGATGGAAGCAAGTTCATATAATTTATTTTGATTTATAACATGGTTTTGATAAGATCAACCACATTTGGTTTCGTAAAATCCTTTATTGCATGGTGCAGCTTTGCCACTTTTAAAAGTCGCTCACGAGGTGAGGACGCTGGGAGAAACCTCAGTTCCCTGCCTCCAGCATGAGCTTCCTACCTTCGGCAATGCATAGAGGCCGGACATTTGTAAGACACACCCAGCCATTCGCATTCCGTTAACGACATCTAATGTATCGCCCGAATCGTGTCTCGGTGTTCAGTAGACCATCACATGTTTTTGTACCAACTTGGAGTGTGCCTCGAGGACTAAATGTAAGACGAGAATGGCAGGGAGGAGCTTCCTACATTTGGCAATGCTTTGGCATCTTGCAAGCCTCAACAATCCATGCCGAGCGAGAGCATGAGAAAAGGCGACAAGTGCTTGCTGGAGGTTGGGCATTAAGAGATGCCCCACATTTCTCATATTGTCAGCGACTATTAGCACCGAAATGTTCTGGTGATATCCTTTTTTGTTTGCGACATCACGGGCAGTTTGATACTTCAGCCCCATGTTCCAGGTGAGAAAAAGAAAAGCCTTTCATGCAAGGCTTGCCAAAATATTAGGTGCCAGAAAATATCTGCCATCTACTTTCAGTCTTTATTAAGAATCCTATGTTCTGCGGCCGCATTGAAAAGCACTGCAAAAGAGCCCACATACCTGATCTCACCACAACAGTCTCCCCCTGCACAATAAGTTCTGTCTGCTATGGTCGCCTAATGTCAATAGATGCACATTCCAGTGCAGCAACTCAAGCTAGCTACAGCCACACTGTCTTCCAAATGCAGTCTGCTACTAATGCACCAGTAGCTTGGGCTACAAGCTAGGCTTCCAAACAGGCTGCAGGTCACCCCTCGCTTTGGCGAGGGGGTGACCATGTGGTCAGCTGCTGCAGTTACCCAAAAGTTGAAAAATATCTGCTATATGACAGTGGCATATAACGAAGCCTTAGCAAATAGTTTGAGCATTGAGGAAATATATTTTTCAGCACATTGGTGGTACAAAGTCACTATTTTGATGAAGTAGAGTGCAGCACAATGGGGCAAGCACTTTGGTACAGTGATTGCATCAGAGTGATGGTGAACCCCCGTCACATCCGAGCTAGCAGAGCAGACCCCTGTCAATGGTTTCATGCCATCCTTTTTATTTAGTTCTGAAATTCTAGATCTTTTCACCCTCCGTTGCATAGGCGCTGCCATCTTGGAATCACATGACACAGCCGCCATAAAGTGGCTTGCAATTGTCGCTCCTCTCTCCCCCCTCCGCTCCTAGGCAAAGGCATATTGTTTTTTTTTTTGGTTTTTTTGCTGCATTTTATTGCAATTTTTTGTTTTGCTTTGTGAAGTGTCTCGCACTTATTTTTACTTCCTAACTGCATGCCATCATTATGTGCACAACTTACGCACCTTATTTTATAACAGGTTACGACTATTTGCTCTATCGACATACCAGTGATCCGAAGAGAGAGTAGGGAAAAAAAGCAGACAATATGCTACGTTTTTTTTCTTTTTGCTTTGCGGCAATGCGATAGAGTTGTTCAAAGGCTTGCCGACTTTAGGCATACTTTAATTCAATGCCAGCTGTTAGTGTTGTTTGCACGAAAAGAAAGCTTAAAAGAAGAAAAGAATTCTATGGCAAGTTATAAAGTTTACTATGTATTTCTGAAAGGACAATATATAATTCTCATTTTGATCGAACCAGTCTCATGTAGCTCTAAGTGGCGGATACATGTTCTACGATCGCATCAGGCAGCAAACTATACTGTGCCTCATGAAACTTTGCAAAAGGCGAAAACTTTTTCTCAGTTAAGTACTGCCAAGCAAAGTACCGGCATCCAGCTATGGTCACCACACCACCACCAGCTGGTAGGGCACACTAGTTTCTAGCTCCACACTGTGATAAAGGAGAGTGAAATTAGATGTGTTCTATCTAAAGCACTGCGCAGGCCTACAGTAAACCTTGGTCAAGGTTGAGCTGCTCGATGTGCTATCTGTTCTACTTTCACACATTCTGGCAGACAGATTGGACAAATGTGATTCAATATGCCTCTCAGCCTTCTGAGTGCAGCCTACGTAAGCAACTCATTTTCAAAAAATGCTGCCACAACATGGCAGTCGAGCAGCCCGCTAAAGCTGCAATCTTGTTCAAACAAGTGTAACAGTGGTCTTTGTATGCTGACTAAGCGCACTTTGTTGTCAGGACGAACAGAACGGGTTGCCAGGAGGCCCGGGACTGGCCTTGAAAAGTAAACCCACACAGTGCTCTAATGTGCACCACCATAGGACCAAACAAGCGAGGCTCGGCAGCTCTGCTGGCATTCAGTCTGTGGCAATGAACTTACGCTTGTCCAGGGCCGGTGCTCAGTCTATACAGTACATATCCAGAAAGAGGAGATCGTAATTGAACTTGGCAGCTTACAGAATAGGTTTGTTTCTATTCCTTTATTTTACCCTCGGAGCCAGGGGCATTACACAGTGCAATTGTAAATGCAACCATAGGAAACAAACATGTTAAACAATGGTGTGAACTAGTTATACAATAGTGGTTAAAATGCAAGACCGAAATATATGAAACTTAAAGGACACATCGTAGGAAATCGCATACTGCCGCCGATACACCAGATCCCACGTGGTCCGTCAAACAACCAGAGTGGAGCCTGGTTCTTTCACGGGAGCGGGAATTCCGCTCCCTTTTATTTGTTCCTAAAACACAACGCTCAAAAACACTCAATCTAAACTGCAAAGACATGCGACATTACACAGATATTCGCACGTAAAGCCAAAGCTAAACACAAAGAGGGCCCGCAGGCCTCGTCTCCCACGATTACCTGAGATCCGGTCGCACACACTTGCCTGTTCTCGGCACCGCCCAGTCCCCAGAGGCCCCTCCCCCCAGTCCCCCGTCAATATATCGATGGGCGAGGAGGTTTCTCCTCGCCCGCCCTGGGGCGCCTGTGATGCACTCTAAAGGCACTCTAAAAATCAAACTTTTATCTCTTTACTCTGCTCACCTTCTGTGATGCGACACGCCATCACATTTTACTCAGTTTCACCTTGTGTTGTACTGCAGCTGACGATACGAGCCACCGCAGCCAATCCAACTCTTTGTCGCTGCCAGATGACGCCGTGCTCCATGTGCCGTTGCACCCAACGGACAGGCCACGTGACACACCTTCGGCACTGGATTGGCTCCGATGGCTCGCAGCATTCAGAGTAAAGTGCGGTAGTGCATTTTGTGCTCTAGTAACTCACCACTGCCGAGCTGCTACGCCAGAAGCACTCGGCAGACCCCACCAACTCTGCCGCCCCTGCACTCCGTTCACCCCTACGTTGACAGGGCGGTAGGAGCCATGTGGTTGGAGGGCCAAGCTTTTATTGCCTCATGTCTGACCTGCACATCTGTATGAGGAAGGGGCATGATAAGTGATGCAAGACTGACAATCGGCTGGTTCACCGAGCATGTAGCCTCCAGTGCCCTGTCAGTTAAGGGGTGAATGAAGTCTAAAGTTGGTATATAACAGCCGTCTACTGTCCCACTCTCAGGCAAGCCACCCTTGACCACTCCAGTCGTTGATCTTTAAGCAAGGTTAAGCAATGACTGCCTCGTGCCATCACACATGAAGGTGTCCACGGAACAAAGCCGCATTTGTGTCTACTCGCACCTTTGAGAAAATTGGTCCTGCCATAACCCACACCTCGTCGGGGTAGAAAACTTTCGGGCCCTTTATTTCCTGTGTTGTACAATACCCAAAGAGGTAGCTCTGATGAAACGGGACTATCTTGACCCCCTCGGTCAAAAGCGAGGCCCCTTGCGGCCATTCAGCGCCGTCTACTCATTCATAGATGTTGCTCCTTTCGACAAAATGTCTGTGGCGACAGCTGGAGGTAGTGAAAAAGCGGACACCATGGCTCTTCCCAAAGCACCCTGTTCTTCCTCAAGAGCGGCTAGTTCATCCAGGAACGGTGCTTGGTGGTCTGCGATCGCAGACCACCGGTCATAGCCGCACTAACGGCGGCGGCGGCGGCGGCGCCCCCCCCCCCCCCCCCCCAACTGACGTCACTCAGGTGACAAGCATTTCACTCTTATGACGCGACTCCAAGCCATATTCACTATGGCTGGCGACAACCCATAAAAGGCATGCACTGGCCCTTTGACCCACGCGGAGTGCAGTGCAGGAAGTGGAACGGCATCGGTGACCCAGTCGCTGCAGTTACCCGGAACTGTTTTACGGCTGTCTCGGCGAAGGTGCAGGCCCACTGTTTGGTGCACGTAGGTAGAAGCCATCAGCCACAAGCATCGGACACCTGGGGTGGAAAATTTTGCACCCAACAAAACAATAACCATGAGAAGAGTGGTCTAGCCGGAGAATTGCAAAAACATAAAAAGCAGGCACATAAAGAAGTATTTCTGTTACCTTTTCTTGCAAAAACAGTAAAAGCAGGCACATATAGAAGTATTTCTGTTACCTCGTCTCATGCTCAAGCATTATGTTGGATAGTATACATCAATAATGCCTGTCTCGCAGTGGCTTTCTGAACAAAATGTAGTAGAAAATAAAACCAGTTGAATACCAAAGGAGAAGTAAAACAAAGAGGTACTTATTTGTTGTCACTTTAACATTCACATTATGGAAGAGCACAACGCTTCGCGATTAACCTGTAGCAGAATCGCTTAGCAGTTCTGCTGTAGGTGTGAATGTACCACGAGGCAGAATACAGTATTTGTGCAGAAAACACCATCGCAGGCCTACCAGGACGAACAGCAACATATTTACCCGCCACAAATTCGACGCGCCGGGAGGGCCATTTGCGAAGCCTGATCTGTTTGTAAATCCCGTCTTTCGACAGAACGCTTTTGTGACCGCACGAGCTCGTCAAAAGCTGACATTCCCAACGCGCTTGGTCCTTCTTTAAGTGCGATTACTGAATGCAAATGCGGCGCAGGAGGCACCCGGGAGCCACATGCCACTCCCGTTGATTATCTCTATTATCTTCTTCTTTGTCCCCGACGCTACGTGAGGTAGCCAAGCGCTATCAAATTCCACCACAGCGGTGTCGAATCGACGATCGAACGCCACCAGTAGGTAAATTCCACTCACCGTTTGCGTTCCGAACAAGCGTCCCACGGGCCTCAATGTGGCGAGACGGGGCCTGCTAGCTTGCATGAATGCGCTGAATGTGCTGTGGACTTGACTGCCGACGCTCGTTCCCAAGCATTGAATATCACGACCAACTCCACTCGGCAATACCGCGGCACAGAACACGACAATGTATAATACAAGAAAGACCGCTGGAACCGACGCAACCGCTCCGAAAAGCGCCCAACAAACACTTGGAGGAACAAAAAGTAAAAACAAAAAGTAAAATTGGAAGAAGCAAAAAGAAACAAAACAAAAATGTTCGTCACTTCCGGTTTGTGTTGTTTTGCTTGTTTTTGCTTTTTTCTCTCAGCCAATCGGCATTGCAACCTTACTGCGGCGAAACGCTCGTCGGGGCCGGGGCCGGGGCGATGAAAACATGCGCTTGTATTTCCACGAGCACCAAGCATGCCTATTTTGGTCGTAATCCGGAACCGAAACCACTTTTCCCGCGATGTCTGGTTACCGTTCTCAACAAACATCCGAAATATTATAAACAAAGCGGAACGTTTTATTTATTACTATGATATTATATTACAACAATATTTTGTGCACTTTGTAGAATTTAGTGAATTTAATATCACGAAAAGTTGAAACACTCATCAACGTGATCTGGACACCATGGCAACGCTCCGAATTTTTCCGAACTTTTCCGAATCTCTCGAGATTCGGCTACTTTTCCGAATCTCTCCGAATCTTCAGATTCGGCTCCGAATCTCGATTCGGATAAAGATTCGTCCCATCACTAGTAAAATTTGTATTTTTTTTTTTTTTTTTTTTTTTTTGACAGGTTGAGAAAGTTTAGATGAGTCATTTGGCAGTAACTTTAGTTCCTGAAACTTCGCTCATTGTAAGAATACATGGACACATTCCCGCATGTTGGTTCGGTAACGACGAACAAACAATTTATCCGACAGCGGTATGCACAGCACAAACTGATGAGAAAGACCCAGTTGTTGAGTTGCGAAGCCGAAATAAAACAGACCCCCCCTAGATAATTTGAGGCCGCATTCCATTCTTGAAGTGTCATAAGCCTCCAACTTCCCTTTTATTGATGGTTTGTCTATTAATATAGGATCTATCTTGCTGTTTGAAATCGTAAAAGCAAAAGCAAGCTTGGATAAAAGCCGGCAAAAGGAACGCCACTCAGTAAGGAACTTGTGCGTCTTTCTGCGAGATGGCGGCACCGGTCCGTCAATATTTTCTCTCGGCCCGCGCACTTTGCTGTGGACCGCCTCCCATGTGGCAGTCTCCGCCGGAAACCGTTGCGGGGAGTCAGCCTCCCAAAGCATCGGCGGCTAATGTTTGAATCTTTCTCGTCACAAAAAAAACCTAGACACGTTTTTTCTTTGGCCCCCAAGTTCGATTTGGGTGTAACCGACGCTCACCCGCGCAACCGCTACACCCGTTCGGATACCTGCACTGATGGATGCCGAAAGCAGAGGAACCTGTGAGTCCCCCGAAAACTAGCAGACGACGACGAGTTTGCGCTCTCCCCCTATTCAACGCTGCAGAGGCACGCGTGTGTTTGTGTGTGTGTGTTGTGCGTGCGTGCGGTGCCTGCCCCGCCGAAGAAAGCGAACTTTCAAGTTGTTTTTCGTCGTGTATTTTCCCCTCTGTTTTGTCGTTTGACAATTAGCCGGGTTCCGTGGGTTCCCCGTGGAAACGTGTCCGCTCGTCGGCGCCTCTCGCTTGGATATTAAAAGAGGAGCGACGCATCTGAGCCGCCGGCTTCGAGTCTTGGTGGCCTGCTTGGAATGCCAGTCGACCGGACATCTTCTCGAACAAAGGGCTTGCAGCTGGGCGAAGACTCGAGCGACACAAGTTATTCTATGCCGCGTAGCGACAAGCACCACACCGCGACAAAGGTACGTTGAAGAGAACCTTGGCGAGCAAATCGCGTTCTTGTTGTTGGTCCTTGCTTCTTTATCGCCAGCGAGAGAGCAGACTTTGCCACTTGTAAAAAGAAAGACACCTCTCGTCATCATCGTGTCCGGGCCCTGTTCTGCGTGATGTAGAGATAACGAGGAGCGACAAGTTGAGCGTGTCGCCGGTCTCTTCGAACCGGGAGCTTTTTTGCCCGTGTTCCGTTTTGTTTCTGCTGTTGTATGCGTGAAGGGGGGCGGGGGATCGCGTCTGTTTCTGTTTTGTCTCGCCTGGTTTGTGCAGGCTTCGAAAACTTCCGACTGTCGGTTTTAACTTTCACTATCCTCGTCTAGATATATATTTGTAACGCAGTTATGATAAAAGCGTGGGTTTCTCGAAAGGAAACTTCTAAAGCCTAGGCGGCGAGGCCCCTGGGGAGACAGTGCGGGCGCATTGATTCTGTCTTGAGAAGGGAGTTGTCCGAGAAGTCCCCGCTTGTATACTTCGTTTCAGCTTCGGTGCAGACGCAGCCAAAGCTACAAGCGCGAGCTCCGGGCTTTCAGCATCCCTGCCAAGCACGCGCGCTCGTGCAGTGCAAGCACCGTTCTGGGCCACATGCTCGCGCTTGTAGCATCGTCTGCGTCTGGACCGAAGCTGAAACGGAGTATAGCGTTCTGTGCGCACGCACATCATATCAAGTGCGTTCGAGCGATGTGAAGACATGCTCCTATCTCCTTATTTCCTATGAAGCCTTCACAGGGCTGTCGACGGTCTGATTGACGCCGCATCCTTCGATTTGAATGCTACATTGTGTCGAGATATATACTGATGCCGGTCTCGCGCGGTTGCTCTCCTTTTTATGTTTTACTTTTGTTGTTACTTTGCATGAAGGAGATGATGATGATGTAAACTTTTATTTGAATATGGAAATATCCGAAGATGGGTGGGGCCCCTAGTCCAGGGCTCCAGTGCTGGCCGCTGCTGCCTTGGCCCGCTCAACCAGACTACGCTGGTCGTCCGGGTGCGAGCTGAGCAACGCAGCTTCCCAAGTCTCCGGAGAGAGATCGCCAGCTGCGAGCGAAGCGGAGCGTAGTGACCTTGCAATGCAAACGGCGGAACAAGGTTGAGGGTTTTGAGATTGATGGGGGAGAAAATGTCTGGACAAGGCGTGCTTGTGACGACGTGTTTGACGTAAAGCACGCGGTAAAGACTATCCCGGAAATTTGGTCAGTGTGCCGAGGCAAATCCGAGTTATTTTGCGAGCAAAAAGAGATACTTGCCCCGTTGTCAAAAAAGTCACCACGAAGGAGCGCCAACAACGTAGCAAGTTGCCGAAATGCACAAGCTGAATATTGCAGAATTGTTACACATTAGTGACTAAGAGATGACCTCACATACTGCCCCCCTTTAAAGTCCGACGACAAGACACGGGATTCTGCGAGGCAGAAGATCCTCTTCATTATGGGAAGGAGGAAACAGGCAACGGTGGACAGGGTAGAAAGGGAGAGGAGGAAGCGGGGGAAAAGTGGAAAGCGCGAAAGATTTTAAGGTTACGACGGTTTTTAGTGAAGCGAGTGTCCCTGAATTACAAGGGGATGATCGCTCTACGGCCAATGAGGTCGTGGCATTAGCCAAGTAGAACTTCGAAGAACTAATCGGGGTGATGATTCCTTATGCACGCTGTAGGGATGTATCCTGTCCGTGAATACGCACGAGCCTTGTCTTACCTGTAGGCAAAGTATTTATCAGTCGCGCGTTACCGCACAAATATTTCACACATAACAAACGAATCAAACACACTAAAAAAAAAAAAGGAAATCCGATAGGCACGGGATTAATCGGCCAGTGAAACATAATGCTAATTGTTCCTGCACACGTACCACTTTTTAACTTGCATATCGAGTTACGATCCTGTTCGCCGCAATCTGCGTGTCCTGCAGAAAACTATGCTCACACGCACTCACAAAACGAGAAAAAAAAAGGCATGCGCCGGCGAAAACACGCGCATGCAAAAGCACCACATACACAGCAATCTTTCCAGGGATGACCGAACGTCAAGCGCCGGAACGAAGCGATGCAATCGAGACATTTTCAACGCGAGCACGGCGCAGATCGACATGCATACGTAATAATTCTGGCACGCATATTTACAACCTATACGCGCGGAGGTGTACTCCGCCAAACAATCAAAAGTTCTTTTGTTGTCTTTTATTTTTTTATTTATTTATTTATTTATTTTTACCATTGGAACACGACGATTATGCGCGGCTGTCAGCGCCTCATTTGGCCGAGGAAATTTGTTGCGGAGACAATTGAGGAAAGTGAAACGTCGTCGCAGGTAAAGTCCCGCGAGACTTTCTTTTTACGACGACTATCGAGCGCATGACGTATCACATTTCACGGGAATAAAATGGCGCCCGCAACTGCATTCTGCCGCTGCGCGCCGCCATTCGCTCCTTAAAACCAGCGTCGTCACGCAGTCGGTGCTTCAGAGAACTTCGCTACTGTGTACGGAGCGCAGGTTCGTCTGCTTCTTGAGCAGGGGTGACGTCACAACGACGCCAAGCTCTGATTGGCTCTGATGGAAGGAGAGTGGGTAGACTGCGAGGCATCTAGCATTAAGGTTTCCCCGCTATCTTGGAGCCAATCGGAGCTCGGCGTTCTGACGTCAGTGCAACCCCTGCGCAAGAAGCTGACGAACTTGCGCTCCGCATAGTCTGCCTTCGATAGCGCTTCGCTGCACGCGGACCCAAACACGCCGGGAGGTTAGGAGGGCCTGCTCGACTATCTACCGCTGATCTTACGTTGCAACCAGGGATGGGCAGTATTTCAAGTACAAGTATTTCAAATACTTTGTGTATTTTGCATTTGTATTTAATTATAAATGGGGTAGTGTATTTCACGTGTGTATTTAAATACTAAAACGTGGGTATTTCAAATGCAATTGTAATTAAATACAATTTTGTGGGCGAAAATACGTCTCTCAAATTTATTTTCATTGTCCAGAGCAGGAAGAAAACTATGTTCTGCACCAAATGCAGTGTCTCACAATCAAGCACAAGCGTTTAGTGACTGTGATTACGGTGCTAGTCCAGGGCAAGAATAGTGACGAAATCGACGTTCACAGGCAGACTGGCTAAATAAGTGCCTGCGACAACTTGGGATGCTTTCCAGCCTGATTTCCATCCATATTTTTGCCTGGAACATTCTAAATGCGCGGGTCGTCCAGATTTTCGTAACTGGTGCGAGTTGCAACGATAAAAAATTCTCTAGCTAGTGCTGCGCGTCTTGGTCGTCTCGGTTCTTTGTTGGTCTATACCAAAATGTAATCGACAAAAAAGCTGCTTGAAGCTCTGTACTTTTTTCACCTATTTCGTCCAAACTGATTACATTTTTTCTTATTATATTTCTATTACGTTACTAGAGCCTCGCACACTAACTCCCGAGTGTGCGATACAAAATTAAAATGAGATACCCAGAAACCCGCTGCAGGTGCCCTGAAGTCGCTGACGCAAATTCTGAAGAATGTATTTGGAAAAGTATTTGGAGGAGACCAAATACATTTAATTGTATTTGTATCTTGTACTTAAATGCTTTTTTGGAAATTTAATTAGATTTGTAATTAAATACATTTTTGACGAAGTATTTTGTATTTGTATTTCGATACATATTAGCATGTATTTTGCCCGTCCCTGGTTGCAACCAATGTTCTAGGCGTTACAGGAAAAAAAAAAGAAGTTACGAAATACGTTATGCGTTACTTGCGAGTCAAAGGAACGCGTTACCGGTAAAAAGTAACGCGCGTTAGATTTCTGTTACTTTTTTATTTATTAAACGTTTTACTGCTATGACGTTACGCGTATGTTCCAAGAAACATTATGTCCATGCAGAAACTTTTGAAGGTGAGTGCAAGAATTCGGGGTATTATTATTAGAAAACGAGAAAGAAATTGAAGTGTTATTTCTTTGAAGTCTTGGGAAGGAGATGTAACGTAATCACTTTACCCGTTACTCAAAAAGAGTACCGTGTTATCCGTTGCTGTTTTGAACATACAAGGAGTGCGTTACTGAAAGAAGTCATGCGTTTCGCCGTTACTTGTAACGCTTTATGCCCAACACTGGTGGCAACAGACTAAAGCGCGAGACACATGCGCGAAAAATCCATCCGATCCGACGTCCGATCCGGCAATACGACTGCCTGATCCGAAAAATTTGGTCGCTTCAGGCGTCGGATCGGCGACCCGACGTGCGTCCAACGTAGAGTTCCTGTATAGGCTCCCTACGGGAGCCAGAGTTGCGCATTTGTTTTCCCCGCGCCGCCACGCCGCTATTCGCGGAGATCCATCACGTGAGGAGCAAAGCATCCGTTGGCGTGCAAGAAAGCCACCTTTACGGTCGCTCCGCCGACGTTTCTCTTGCCCCGGCGTATGTTTCCCTGCTTTCCGTCTCCTTTTCCTCCTCTCCTGTTTTCCATGCGCGGCGGCGCGCGCGGCGCCGCTATTCGCCAAATTTAGTCACGTGAGGAGCAAAGCATCCATCTCGTGCGGGAAAGCCCGCTCTACGGCCACGCGCCGAGGCTGAATGCGCAACTCTGCTACCGTAGGTAGCATATACAGGAACTCTAGTCCAACGCGCCAGATAGTTTCGCACGGCGGACGGATTGTCGGATGCGTCCAGCCAATTACAGCACAGCTAGCGCGAACGTCATGATGACGCATGGGTCTGGCGGGACGAAGCGAACGCGATAACGGGACGGGCGAGGGGAAGCCGGACGCGTGGATCCCGCCGACCCATTCGAGAAAGATGACCCCGGCAAAGAACGCACGCGCTAGCGAGAACAAGCTAATAGGGAGTTTTCGTAGATCGTTTTCGCCGTCCCGCAAGGCCCTCCGCAACCCGCTAGGATAGCGGGAACTCCACAGTCAAGGCTATCAGCGCGCAGGCGCAGTAGCAACTTCTTCGTTGCGGAACGCTTAGCGGAGGGGGCAGCGCGGTCTACGAAA